AATATTCTACAGAGTTAGGTTACTGTTTTTGACAAACCTTACGGCACGATACGTTAATAGCACGCGGATACACAAAAACCAAGAGTCGGTTCGAACGGCCGGGGGATACAATTGCCTCTCCTGACATCTTGCCTATATTTTTCCCACCTTCGGTATCCTTGTAATTTGTTATTGCGTCAAAGATATCAACATTTTAGATGCAGTAACCAGATTAACATGTTTTTACGCATTGCATAAAAAGCCTGCCTAAATCCTTAGGCTTCCGCCAGGCGTCGGCAGGCGCGGAAATGCAATTCGGCCCAAGAAAGCCTGAGGAGGCCTGCCGCTCCCTCACTCTAACCACAAGATTATTTCTTGATGTAAAAGCAATATTCGAATCAGGATCAGTATATAGAAGATCAAGTATTTTAGTGATATTTTGCGACTTTGAACCTTTTTTTGCTACCACTACCTGTTTGGTCTTCGTCATCGCTATCCCAGACTTTGCGATTCAATTCGCGCTTTTCTTTTATCTCACGCTGTAGTTGTCTAACGCGCTTGACCAAGTCGGAGTCTGATTTTTTGTCCTCAGTCGTCACGGGTGGGCTAGTTGTGGGCTGGTTAGATGGAAAAATTTCCTTTTGTATGCTATGAATTGTACGTGGTGTAAAAACAGGTTCGTTCAATTGTTTTACAAGCCTTGGAGTTTTTGTTTGAACTTGCTGGTAAGCTTCTTCGTAACCTACGGGAAAAGGCCGTTTGGTATCACTGGCCGCTGCCCTTGCAATTTCAAACAAGTTGCTGCCTTCAATAGTTTTACCTTCTGTATCCAAGACTCTATTCTTACTATCAGTCTTGATGTGCTTTGACAAAAGTTGATAGCTTTTCTGGTATGGATTTTGCTGCAAAGTTTGTCGTGGAGCCCTTTTGACAGGACCTAATGTTCCTTTCCTGGTATTTTGTATGGTTTCACGTTCTATCGGGACTTCAAATGCAACAGTTTTCAAGGTTTGTGTCGGTAAAGGGTCAAATTTGCGGATTTCTTGGACAAGCTGTGTCAAAAAGTTGAGAAACTTGTTATACATTTGCATTTTCATATCATCGGGAAGTGTACTTTGTAGTAAGTTGGTCATTTGCTGCTCAGTTTCTTTGGCTTGTTCAACAATTTTCTCACGAGGTGTGTGAGCATAACCTTCACCTTGTTGCTCGTCGTATGGCACCAGAACCATCTTTTCGAAATTTTTTTTCGATGTGGTCATTCTCAAATGCCAAAGCGGGTTTCGTAATAAGTTTTAAAACTTTTTCTTGTAATGAAAGTGTCTGTCGCGCCTTTGTAAAATCGCGTAGCTTACCCAAGGTGTGCAAGGTAGTCAAATGGGGTTGAAGATGTGTTTTCTCATATTTATAGAGAGGTACGGTACCTAAGGTCAGGTTGTAAATAAACTCGACAATAGTTTGTATTTCCTGGTCGGTTGCCTTTCGAATCACAACTTTTGGGGTTGAGGTGTTGTCAAGTTTGTGAAAAATTTGCCAGTTGCTTAGACGTCGTTGCATTTTCAAAATGACTACTTGGGTAGATAAAAAATTTGCCTTTTATCTGGGAAAATGTCTGCCACTAGGCGTTCGTTTCGATTTTCCAATTGGGGGTGACAATTGATTACGAGATATTGAAATGGTTTTGCTGTTGCGTCTAGGTAACTGTCCCAGAAATACGAAAATTGGTTGGGAAAGCATTGAAGACCTATTTGGCGGGCTTGAAGTAGGTCCGACACAGATCTCAAAAGTACAATATAATTCGCGTTGATACGGGCGGTACGTCGGGTTCGAAAAGCGTCTTGGCTTAGGAAAATTAGCGTACAATTTTGGTGGTGTGTAATTCGGGAAGTGAGAGCGGCCATCACGTGTTCTTTCATGTCAAGCATCAAATCGTCGAGGATAAGGATGGAATTTTTTAGGTTTTCTACTTGTTCGTCGCTCGGTGGACCTTCAAGTATATGAAAATTGGAAGGTGTTTCTGGAAACTTTTCTTCAATTTCCTTTTTGACCCCGTAAAGTAGTAAATATCTTGAATTTTTTCATACCCTTCGAGAATAAATTCTAAATATTGCAGAAATTTTATCGTCCATGTTGTCTTGCCGCCCAAGGATTGGCAAAACACAAAAATCGAACAGGGATGTTGAAATTTGAACGTTTCGCGTTCCATTTTTTTTTGGTTTATAGAAAGTTTTGCACTATTTATGCATCCAATGGTCAGCTGTGCAGTTTCGCAACTGACCCCTTCCCTAGTTTTTGGGGTCGCAAACTTGGCACTTGCCGGGCGTCAGCTGTTGCGTGGTCGATGAGTCATGCTTTGCAATTTTACGTGTACGAACGGGTTCTTGTGGTAAGAAACGTAAAACAAAAACGTCGAGGTATGCATTTGTAAAATGTGGATAAAAGGACCGATACTAGTAGTGAGAGTGATAGTAGAGTCAAACACTCAAAAACCGAAACGGCTCCATTGCAATTTCGGAGCGTTTCGGAGTGGTGGCGGGCCCCCGATTTGACCGCGCACCAGAATGGCCTTTGTTTTCCGAGGGGAAGGGGCGATCGGAGGGGGTATTTGGCCCTCGGGCGAGAGTGTGAGAGAGGGCTAGAGAGCTAGAGAGAGAGAGAGAGAGAGAGAGCGATGGTCCCGGAACGAGGGCCTCGAACCGGACCCCTCTGCCACAGCTCTGGACGCGATTTTTCGTGGCGGGACCCGGAACCCCGTGCGATACGAGCGCCGTGGTGCTTGCAGAGATCATTTAGGAAAGGGGGCAGGCTAGCAGAGATCATTTGGGTACGGAAGAGGCAGGCTAGCAGAGAGCAGAGACGAGCGGAGTTTCTTAAGAAGCCGGGGCTATCTAGAATGGATCCTTTGGGAATGCAAGTCGCCGCCAGGCTCGCAGAGATTGTTGAAGATTTTTTATCTGGCAAGCTAGCAGGCTTCCTTGAGGAATGACGAGAGGGTGAGAGAGAAATAGAGAGAGAGAGAGAGAGAGAGAGAGAGAGAGAGAGAGAAATAGCTAAAATCCTTCACCTCGACCTTCGCAGCACCGGCCCCATTCGCAAAGATACGCATTAATAGCCGGCGTTCAGCGAGGCTCGAATTACGGCTTGCAGCCCGTTCGTTTGCCCGAATTTCCAGGCGACGGTTTGAAGCCGTCGGAAAATGCTCTCCCCCAATCACTTTCAGCGATCTATTTACCGAAAAGCCGCGCCTCCTGACCTGCCAAGAAGCCCCGGCACACAACAAATATACCAACTCGGGTGGATCGGAATCGGTTTTAAAGGGACTGGCAAGGCATGATTATGGACTGTTAGGTATGGATATACTACAGATTTTGGCGGGGGAAACGCCAAAATGCCGACACCCGAAATCTCGACAGTCAAAATCCCGACAGCCAAAACCCGGACAGCTAAAATCCCGACAGCCAAAATACCGACGTTCAAAATCCCGACATGCCAAAATCCCGACAACCAAAAGGGGACGGCTAAGATCCCGACAGGCCAAAATCCCGAATCCAAAATACCGACGTTCAAAATCCCGACAGCCAAAATCCCGACAGCCAAAATCCCGACAACCAAGATATGATATTTCAGGTCGTTTTACCCATAAATGCTATGAAAATCTGGGGTTTCTGGCGGTCGGGATTTTGGCTGTCGAGATTTTTGTCGGGATGCTGGGGTTTTCCCCCTCTGCGACATTTTCAGGGATTCGGCAGCAAACAAAAAATGCATAGCCATGGCTTCCACGCCCTTTAAAAATACCGATCGAAAACGTGGAGCAACCGTCGTTCAAAACCCGTTTTTTTCCTAAGCTTACCCCACTAATCTTCAGCTGCATACTGTAGCCGGAGCTTCGTCTAGCGATTTCACGTCGAATCCTGGGGTCGGAATTTTGCGGCGCACGAAGTCAGCGAGAGAGTGGGAGAGAGATGACTTGTTGGACCTCGTTGCCTGGAACGAGCCACTTCAAGCCACAATTTCTATTTTCCGCGTGTTTTCCCGGGTCCTTTTGACTGGCGGCGCGAGCACGACGACGCGACGCTCCCTGTTGACACTGTCTGTATTGAAGGGAAGCCGATGAAAAGGGCAATGCGATCGGGGGCAAGCTAGCAGAGATCATTTGGGAATGGAAGGGGCAGGCTAGCAGAGATCATTTGGGAATGGAAGGGGCAGGCTAGCAGAGATCATTTGGGAATGGAAGGGGCAGGCTAGCAGAGATCATTTGGGAATGGAAGGGGCAGGCTAGCAGAGATCATTTGGGAATGGAAGGGGCAGGCTAGCAGAGATCATTTGGGAATGGAAGGGGCAGGCTAGCAGAGATCATTTGGGAATGGAAGGGGCAGGCTAGCAGAGATCATTTGGGAATGGAAGGGGCAGGCTAGCAGAGATCATTTGGGAATGGAAGGGGCAGGCTAGCAGAGATCATTTGGGAATGGAAGGGGCAGGCTAGCAGAGATCATTTGGGAGTGGAAGGGGCAGGCTAGCAGAGATCATTTGGGAATGGAAGGGGCAGGCTAGCAGAGATCATTTGGGAATGGAAGGGGCAGGCTAGCAGAGATCATTTGGGAATGGAAGGGGGCAGGCTAGCGAGATCATTTGGGAATGGAAGGGGCAAGCTAGCAGAGATCATTTGGGAATGGAAGGGGCAGGCTAGCAGAGATCATTTGGGAATGGAAGGGGCAGGCTAGCAGAGATCATTTGGGAATGGAAGGGGCAAGCTAGCAGAGATCATTTGGGAATGGAAGGGGCAGGCTAGCAGAGATCATTTGGGAATGGAAGGGGCAAGCTAGCAGAGATCATTTGGGAATGGAAGGGGCAGGCTAGCAGAGATCATTTGGGAATGGAAGGGGCAAGCTAGCAGAGATCATTTGGGAATGGAATGGGCAGGCTAGCAGAGATCATTTGGGATCAAAATATTTATTATTTTCCCGAAATTTATCAACCAAGAGATCAAATTATTTCAAAGGCATTTCCAAAGTGATAAAGGGTTAACACTGAAGCCTCGGTCTGACCATGATGACGCTCGATGGCTTTTTGAGGCTGACATCGTCGTCGTCGGTGACATACGTCTTGGCCCAGTTACACCACAACTGTCTTCGCTCACATGGCCCGTCCACGCCCGGCTCGTTCACCAGCTTGAAGGTATTCACCGGATACCGGGCCTGAAAGCGTTGCTTTGTGGTTGGTAGTGACCCGATCGAAACCATCGAACCGAAAACAACTAAAAAACGCCACAAACGCCATTTTCACTCCGTTGCAAAAACAAACAAAGTATTTCTCAAAAAAGTGCAAAAATTAGAAATGTTCTTAGTTCTTAGTTTTTTGGTGTCGCCGCTTTTCGGTAAGAAGGTTTTTCGACCATTTGGGAAACTTTAAGTTTCTGTTTCTTTTTGTTTCTATCTCTCGCTCTCTCTCTCTCTCTCTCTCTCTCTCTCTCTTTCTCTTCTCTTTCCTTTCACCTGTATGCGTGCAAAAATTCTGGCTGCGGTCTCGCCATCAGTGGGCGAGGGTTAATTGAGTGGAATGGCATCCGATAACGTCTTTTGAAATCAACTTTTATTTTTGAGAGACATTTCGCCGACCTGTTGATTAGATTGCGGAAGCTGGCGGCCGGCTTGCTACCTTTTTCAATGCCACGCCACTCGCATCGGAGGTGCACGCAGTTGGAAGCATCCATGAGCACCAGAATCGAGGCTGCAGAAGCAGAAATAACTACGGCCAGAATAAGGAAATGTGCGGGATTCCCCATCGTGATGCAGATAGCAAGCTAGGCGCAGCACCGAGCGACATGGTTGCACCAAGTGACCTTTCTAGCCGCCCCTAACTATAATATCTCCTCCGGGCCCATTACGAGGTCGGATTGTATGACTGATAAGAGAGAGAGAGACCGAGAGAGAAACAGAGAGAGAGAGAGAGCAAGAGCGAGCTAAAGAGCGAGAGAGCCAGAGAGGGAAAGAGAGAGACCGATAGAGACAGAGAGAGAGAAAGAGACGGAGAAAGAGAGAGAGAGAGCGAGAGAGAGAGAGAGAGAGAGAGAGAGAGAGAGAGAAGGAAAAAGAGAGGGAGAGATACTTCAGGATGAAAGGGGCAGGCTAGCAGAGATCATTTGGGAATGGGAGGGGTAGGCTAGCAGAGATGCTTTGACGAAGCATTTATTCAGAAAGTATAACATTTCAAAACCAATCACAGTCGAAAAGTCGAAAATTTTGCTGAAGGTGACCCGTTTTTGTAGATTTATGGTAGCACAGGACAGGATTTAGGAAGGCAACTTCAAAATTCAAAATCACAATAAGGGCAGGCTATCAGAGATGCTTGGGGATTCATTTCGGGATTTTTTTGAGGGCATGCTAGCAGAGATCATTTGGGAATAGGCCAGGATTTATTCACTCTTCAACTCTCCCTGCTCCATATTTGCCAGCCGGACGGCCATGTTGCCGGCAATGTCGGGCCGCAAGATTTGGTAGCCCTGGAAATTTTATTTTTGAAGTATTTTTTTAAATAATGTGAAGATCTTTACCTTTTCCTCCGTCCACAATTGTAGTGGAGTGAAGTAGCGGCGCAACGATTTTTCTGACGCGATCAATTTTAACCTGAAAATCGATGTATCCCATTTTTCGGTACATTTAAAGGGGCCAGCAGGGCGGAATCCACCCCATAGATCGACTAGGTCTAGACAGCTATGCGACCCGCAAACAGACGTGAAACTCTCGTCTTCAGGCCCATCGGGGCATTCAATATGGGTAAAACTCTGGCGGACAGGCTTACGGCTTTGATGTTTCGCGTAGCTGTCTAGACCTAGTCGATGGAAGCGTTCGATTCTGGTACTTCCCGGTCCCTTCAAAAGCCACGAACCTGGCGAACATCGGGTTGCTTATTTCTGGTACGCCGGACACCCAATCCCAGTCCTTCTTGTCCCAAGCCTCGTGCGCGAAGAAGGCCCGCGCGTTCGCTTCGGATAGCTGCGTGGCGAATTCCTGAAAATGGTCTCTGCAATCCTGCCCCTTCCATTCCCAAATGATCTCTGCTAGCCTGCCCCCTTCCATTCTCAAATGATCCCTGCTAGCCTGCCCCTTCCATTCCCAAATGATCTCTGCTAGCCTGCCCCCTTCCATTCCCAAATGATCTCTGCTAGCCTGCCCCTTCCATTCCCAAATGATCTCTGCTAGCCTGCCCCTTCCATTCCCAAATGATCTCTGCTAGCCTGCCCCTTCCATTCCCAAATGATCTCTGCTAGCCTGCCCCCTTCCATTCTCAAATGATCTCTGCTAGCCTGCCTCTTCCATACCCAAATCATCTCTGCTAACTGGCCCGCCCTCAATCGTACCTTCGCCACCGTATCAAAATTGCGCTTCTCCTCGTTCTTGTACATCTCCACGTACTGCCGCTGGACCATCGTGTACTTGTCGCACATTCGAATCGAACAAAGCGCTGAAAATCCAGGGAAATTCCACAATGACCACTGCTAGTCGGCCCTAGTGCTGTATACTCACCAAGAAAGGCGGCTGTGCCGTAGACGATCAAGATCATGAAGGCGATAATTTGGGATTGGGCTTCGAGGTAGAGGGTGTCGGTGGGCCGCATATGGCAGATGCATTCTGGGCAGAACTGGAAGGCGAAAGATCTCTCTAGCTCTCTCTCTCTCTCTCTCTCTCTCTCTCTCTCTCGCTCTCTCTCTCTCGCTCTCTCTCTCTAGTTCTTTCTCGCCTTTCCATCTTCACTCATCTGACCGTAGCCAGGGCTCGATTTGTAAAAATCCAAGACGGTCTGATTCTGGCATTGCACCGCTTTTTCCATCAGGCAGAATCCGCCGGCCCGGTAGCAGGTGTAATACCTAAAGTTTTTACGGTCGCTGTCTCATAAAGAGCGAGAGTGAGAGAGAGAAAGAGCGAGAGGGCGAGAGAGAGAGAGAGAGAGAGAGAGAGAGAGAGAGAAAGAGAGAGGGCGAGAGAGAGAAATCACGAGTACTTACCCTCCATCCAAAAACACCACGAACAGCCAGGCGATCGGCGCCACCGATGCCTGCGCCAACACCTCCACCCACGACACGCAGATTGTCTTCCAGGAATGCCGTGTTTTTGCGTGCCTAAAGTGGCAGGCTAGCAGATACCATTTGGGAACCTCCGAAAATTACGAACCTAAAAACACAGCCGTGCGCCAGTCGCCAAGTGGTCGTGTTGAGCATGATGCCGATGCAGAGTAGGCCGATTGAAGGGCCGACCTGAGGTATTTTATTTACTTTGTTTTACCTCTCTCTCGCTCTTTCTCTCTCTCTCTATGTCTCTATCTCTCTCTTCCACTTTCTGTTACTCACCATAAAAATTAATGAGTGCACTTCATTCAGCGGATATGCACACGGACACGCAAACGTCAATTTCCGGATTATCTGGAATGAAGGACCATAGCTTTCAGAGGGAGAAATGCGAATATCGACCCCTTTCACCACCTAGGTCTAGAAAAAAACGCGACAAGCCAAATGCCGTCATTTTGCTAGTCTAGCGAGGCACTCTGAGGCAAAAATCGAATGTTGCATGCATTCTTTGGTGGGTCGCGTAGCTGTCTAGATCTAGTCGCTGGAAAGGGTCGATTCGCGCACTTTCTAGTCCCCTAAAGGATCGAGGAAGGCAAAGTAAGCCGCAGACTCACGGACTGCCCTCCGATAGTTGTGACGATTAGGATGGCATTCAGCAGCGTGGTGCCCTGATTCGAGAAAAGGTTGCTGAACACCGACACCACCGAGTTGATGTTGGCCGACATTTAGATGTGATCGTCCTAAAGGCAGCAGAGATCATTTGGGAACGGAAGGGGCAGGCTAGCAGAGATCATTTGGGAATGGAAGGGGCAGGCTAGCAGAGATCATTTGGGAATGGAAGGGGTAGGCTAGCAGAGATCATTTGGGAATGGAAGGGGCAGGCTAGCAGAGATCATTTGGGAATGGAAGGGGCAGGCTAGCAGAGATCATTTGGGAATGGAAGGGGCAGGCTAGCAGAGATCATTTGGGAATGGAAGGGGCAGGCTAGCAGAGAGTATTTGGGAATTGTAATAAAAGCCTATACTACGATGGCTAGTCTCGAGGCCCACTCCAGTCCGAAAAAATAAGCTTTTGGGTGGCGTGTCAGTTGTCACCTGGCAACCAGCCAGCCGTATCCCGCTGGCCCTTTGAAAAGCAACTTTTCGCGGTTTCCCTGACCTCAAAAAAAGCTTGAAAATAGTCTAGACGCGCCGGAAATTGGCCAAAACACTTGGGTAATATTGGTAAAATTATGTAAAGAAAAATCATTAATGATAACTCGAGAACCGATTTTCGGCGATTTTCCAGGAGGATAAATATTCCAGTTTTAATAGATTCTGATGTTAAAATGAAGAAATTTTCGTGAATGAAACTGGCAAATCGATTGCGCTGGAGGCGATGTTTACAAAGCTGTCCGGGAGGGGGGGCAACAATGCCAGACAGTCTTTGAAAAAAAAATGGGGAGAGCGATGATGCATACAAGAATCGTTCTCAAAATCTCGTTGACATCGAATAGCACGATGGCACGATACGGTTCGCTGAAATCGGCATATTCAAATTCACCCGGAAACGGCCGAAAAGCCGATTGAGCAGTGGTGAGTCAGGGAGGGAGCTAGTAGGTTACTAGCCGCCCCTTCCATTCTCAAATGATCTCTGCTAGCCTGCCCCTTCCATTCCCAAATGATCTCTGCTAGCCTGCCCCTTCCATTCCCAAATGATCTCTGCTAGCCTGCCCCTTCCATTCCCAAATGATCTCTGCTAGCGTGCCCCTTCCATTCCCAAATGATCTCTGCTAGCCTGCCCCTTCCATTCCCAAATGATCTCTGCTAGCCTGCCCCTTCCATTCCCAAATGATCTCTGCTAGCCTGCCCCTTCCATTCTCAAATGATCTCTGCTAGCCTGCCCCTTCCATTCTCAAATGATCTCTGCTAGCCTGCCCCTTCCATTCTCAAATGATCTCTGCTAGCCTGCCCCTTCCATTCCCAAATGATCTCTGCTAGCCTGCCCCTTCCATTCCCAAATGATCTCTGCTAGCCTGCCCCTTCCATTCTCAAATGATCTCTGCTAGCCTGCCCCTTCCATTCTCAAATGATCTCTGCTAGCCTGCCCCCTTCCATTCTCAAATGATCTCTGCTAGCCTGCCCCCTTCCATTCTCAAATGATCTCTGCTAGCCTGCCCTTCCATTCCCAAATGATCTCTGCTAGCCTGCCCCTTCCATTCTCAAATGATCTCTGCTAGCCTGCCCCCTTCCATTCTCAAATGATCTCTGCTAGCCTGCCCCCTTCCATTCTCAAATGATCTCTGCTAGCCTGCCCCTTCCATTCTCAAATGATCTCTGCTAGCCTGCCCCTTCCATTCTCAAATGATCTCTGCTAGCCTGCCCCCTTCCATTCCCAAATGATCTCTGTTAGCCTGCCCCTTCCATTCCCAAATGATCTCTGCTAGCCTGCCCCTTCCATTCCCAAATGATCTCTGCCAGCCTGCCCCTCTCAATTCCCAAATGATCTCTGCTAGCCTGCCAGTCTCCATTTTGGTATGTTATTATGAGGGGTGACCTTCAAAAAACAATTACACACCGATGTGATTTGGCAGCGGGAAACTGGGGATGTGAGATTTATGAGGAGAGAGAGAGAGAGAGAGAGAGAGAGAGAGAGAGAGAGAGAAATCGTTCGGGTTTCCACCAAGAGACACTACACGGCACTCCAAAAGACAACAAACCACACACTCGCCATCAGCCCCCAAATGGGAAATCTCTCGGCACCTCACGAAACAACCGAAGAAAGCGGAATTGGCACTGGCCAATGAGTTGGGTATTTCTAGCATTCGGGCTGTTGATAGGTAGGTCGGATCAAAAACCCTCTGTTGTCACGGAGCTTCGCAACCCCCCCGCTAACAGCCTAGTCCCGACCTCATCGCTAGAAATTGTCCAGGCGCCATCAGCTGCCAGGGGTTCCTCGACATTCCAAAGGACGACCTATGCCGAGCCGAGCCGAATTTGGAAATGTGCCGAGGGATGCAGGCGGAAGCGCGGAGCTCTTCCGAAAAAGCCGACGATCCGTTTGCTGATATTGCAACGAGGTAAAATCCGACCCTAAATAGATCTCGCGCTCTCTCTCTCTCTGTCTCTGTCTCTCTCCTTTTTTCTCTATCTCTCTCGCCTGCTCTCACTGCTCTAATCCTTTCCTGCAGGGCCCCCGACACCGAGGCGTTCGCCCCATCCCATCGCTCCTCGTTACGGTAGGTGAATTCTGACAAGTTTTTTTATTAGTTTTTGATGCTTGTTGTTTTTACTATGCTTCATATTGTTTCAATTGTTTACAGCATACTTGACGAATTCAGGAAAAAGGGGCCGCCGAAAACGTGGCGCGAATACTACGAACGCCGGAATCAGCACGACCAGGATCGGGAGTATCGACAGCGATATCATTCGTGAGTCGTCTGGTCTCTCTCTCTCTATCTGTGTCTCTCTCTCTCCCCAATTCTGCTGTTTAGCGGTTTCTACAACCTATATCCCGGGCTGTACCCGAAAGACAAGAATTTCTGCGAGACCATGAAGCCGAATTTCGCCTTCACCTGCCAGCCGGGGAAATCCTTGCGGATTGATTTGGTCGAGTTTTGCAAGGTAAGGGCGAGAGAGGGGGGAGAGAGAGCGAGGGAGTGACAGAAGAAGATAGAGAGAGACAGAGGAAGAGAGAGAGAGAAAGAGAGAGTGAGAGAGTGAATGAGAACAGCATCGCTAAATAAGGTAACATGATCCGGGAATCGAGAAAATCGACCCCATCCATCGACTAGGTCTCGACAGCTACGCAACGCACTACGCTGTCGAGAATCGACGCTAGCAAACCCCTTTGGATCCTGCGAAAATTTTACATCTTTAGAGGCTAACAGAAGGAATAGACACCGTTTTTGGCGTGCCACATAGCTGTCTAGACCTAGGCGATGGAAGGGGTCGGTTCTCGCACTCTGAGATCCTGAAAACCCCGAGTTCGAAAATCGACGCGTTCCGACGACTATGTCTAGACAGCCACGAAAGGCAACTATTTTCAGGACTATTCCATTTTCTGCGGCCTCCCGAACTTCCACAGGTTGCCTGGGCCTCGTGAAGGACCATCTCCTGATGGTCGCGTGAGTTTTTTGCGGCGCCGAATTTTTGCCTTCAATGGTCCTTTAGAAACGAATTGGTATCATAATGTCGAAATTTCATAATGTCGAAATTTACATAGGCAAATATTACCGGTGAAACCGCCAAATCCTAGCCAACAAAATTTTTCCACATTCTATTCGTTTATCTTATTTCACGACAACATTTTTTGCCTAGAATTCGGGGACTTTACCGGGAATTTTAGCTTACGTAAATTTCGACATTCTGACATTTCGACATTATGAAATTTCGGCATTATGAAATTTCGACATTATGAGTTTCGACATTTTGAAAATAAGCCTTTAGAAACTAATCCGCCTTTTTCAGCCGGGTGGCCGTGTGGGCGTCAATCTCGGGGTAGGATTCTCGATTGGCACGGTGCCAGGGCTCGAGGTCGACGCTGGCGCGGGGGTCGATGTGGGCCCGATTCCGGGCATGGGCGAGAATGTCGGGGTTGGCGTTGGTGGGTATTTTGACGTTATCTCGATCTCTCACTCTCTCCCTCACGCTCTCGCTCTCGCTCTCGCTCTCTGTCACTCTCATGCTCTTGCGCAGTCACTCTCTTCACTCAAGTTTTTTCGCAAGCTGTGTCTCACTTACTCTCTCTTGCTCTCTCACTCTCTCTTGCTCTCTCTCTCTCTCCCTTTATCACGCTCTTGCTCTCTATCGCTCTGTCCATCTCCTCATCACCTCGCATTTCAGGGCTAAACCTCGGCCTCCTCGGCTCGAAATCTCCAGAAGCCTACCGTCGCGGAATGGACAATCCAAACGACCCGGGCGGTGGGCTTGTTGGCATCAATGGAGGCGTTGGTAAGTAAAAACGTACTTTTCAAGGGAACCGAAGGCCTGGAAATCGATCCCATCCCGGCTATGTGTCGACGGATATGTGACATTCGAAAACCAGAGCGTCAATCTAATTTTGCCCACCCCGGAAGGCGTGCCATTTTGGCAGAAACAAACAGCACCAGCCCACGTGTTTTGGCGTGTAGCGTAGCTGCCTAGACAAAGTCGAGATCAGGGGTCGAATCTTGCGTTCGCCAGCCATCGCTTTTCAAAAAGCGAAAAGCCGAGCAACGGGAGAGAGAGAGAGATAGATAGATAGATAGAGAGAGAGAGAGATAGAGAGAGATAGACAGAGAGAGAGAGAGAGAGAGAGAGAGAGAGAGAGAGAGAAAGAGAGTGAGAGATTGATAGATAGATAGATAGATAGAGAGAGAGATAGACAGAGAGAGAGAGATAGACAGAGAGAGAGAAAGAGAGAGAGAGAGAGAGAGAGAGAGAGAGAGAGAGTGAGTGAGAGAGATGGCCAGATAGAAAGAATTTGAACCATTAATGTATTTTTAGGAGTCCAAGCTCCCGGCGTGCCCGGCGGCGTTGGGGTCAACAGCGGTGTCGGCGTGGGGCGATGATAACGGGAAAATCTACACTAATAAATCGTAATAAAGCTGTAATTATTTATTTATTCAAAAAAGCATTCAATTCAGGGTATTTTCGGAGCACAAAATTCTAAATATTTATTTCGTTGCCCCAAAAATTAGAAAAGGTACTGTACAGTTTGTCTGAAGTTTACAGATTGTTGCGAGTGCCGTTGACGGCGTGGGCTCGTAGACGCCAGACATCCTGAAAAAAAGTGCATTTAACGGGCTCAAAGCAGGCAAAAATCGACCACCGCGATCCACTAGCTCGGGACAACTACGCGGCGCTCCAACGCACTCGGTTGTGGCCCCTTGAACCTCCATGACATTTAGGCCTATCAAACGGAGATTGCCAAGTGTTTTTGGCGTCTAGGGTGACTGTCTAGACCTAGTCAATGAAACCGGTCGATCCTTGCGCTTCTGGAACCCCTTAAAAACGCGTATGCCAGCAGAGATGCCTTGCCATACCCCCCGGGTCTGGGAGCCTACCGAAAAGTCAATCTTCGCATTCTTCGCGTCCTCCTCGCTGATTCCGAATTTGACCATGCGCTTACGGGCCACGTCGATGATCTCGTTGGCCGTTAACTACAAGAAATTCAAAGCATTTTAAGAGAGAGAGAGAGAGCGCGAGAGAGAGGCAGAGAGAGCGAGAGAGAGGGAGGGGGGAAGGACACTGAGAGAGAGGGAGACAGAAAGACAGAAAGAGAGAGAAATTGAGATAGAGAGAGAGATGGAGAGAGAGAGAGAGAGCTAGCGAGTGAGAAAGCGAGAGAGAGAGAGAGAGAGAGAGAGAGAGAGAAATGAATGCGTAAAGTTTAAAAAAAATCTACCTCCTGAACCTTTTCGACATCAACGTAGCGGCACAGGTCGTCGTTCGCATAGTGGCAAGAAATTGCCTTGCGGAAGCCTGAGATGATAAATGACCTCTGCTAGCCGCCTGCCCCTTCAATTCCCAAATGATCTCTGTTAGCCTGCCCCTTCCATTCCCAAATGATCTCTGCTAGCCTGCCCCTTCCATTCCCAAATGATCTCTGCTAGCCGGCCCCTTCCATTCCCAAATGATCTCTGCTAGCCTGCCCCTTCCATTCCCAAATGATCTCTGCTAGCCGGCCCCTTCCATTCCCAAATGATCTCTGCTAGCCTGCCCCTTCCATTCCCAAATGATCTCTGCTAGCCTGCCCCTTCCATTCCCAAATGATCTCTGCTAGCCTGCCCCTTCCATTCCCAAATGATCTCTGCTAGCCTGCCCCTTCCATTCCCAAATGATCTCTGCTAGCCTGCTCCTTCCATTCCCAAATGATCTCTGCTCGGTCCTACCCACCATTAGTGCGGTTGGTCCCGGAACCGTGAATCAGAAGCGGGTGGAAGAATACAGTATCCCCGGCGTCCATCTCCACGTGAAGGCGCGGCATCGAGGCGTCATAGTTCTGGATTCCGTGGTACATCGGGTTGACGCCGCCCTAAAGGATTTCATCTCAATATTTTTAAGGGGATCAAGAAGTAAGAGGATCAACCCTTTCCGTACACTAGTTCTGGGCAGCCAGGCGACACGCCAAAGCCGCTTTCTCGCGTCATAAAAAAGCGATCAACACGGATTTCGGACACCGCGTGTTTGTCTATACCTAGTCGATTAAGGGTCGATTCCGGAGCCTGTTGCTCTTCTTAAAAACCAACCTCCCATTTCGGGTATTCATGGGGGAGGAGCTGGCCCTTGTGAGTCCTCGGGACGACCACTAGACAACCGTTCGCACGGGTGATCTGGAAAATCAGGTAGGGAGAGAGAGAGAGAGAGAGAGAGAGAGAGAGAGAGAGAGAAGAGAGAGAGAGAGAATGCGAGATCTGGCTTACCTTTTCCATGGCGGTCCACGCGCAGCAAATGTAGTCTGCTGGCCGGAAGGGGAAGTACTGTAGGTCCTGGTGCATCGGGTGACGGCTGGTGAGGGAGCCTGCAAGGGATGGCATTTCCTCTAGGATCCCTGCTAGTTGTATTTAGTATCTCTCTCTCTCTCTATCTCTCTCCCTCTATTTTTCTCTCTCTCTCACTGGCGCTCTCACCACTATCCGGCGGCTTGTTGATCAGCATCGTGTGCATCGCGAGCAGATTCGACTGTGGCGTTCCGATCAGATCCTTTACCGTATCCACAATCTATACAAAACCCGAAATCCTATTTGTCACTTTTGAGCTCTTACCGCCGGATATTTACAGTAGTCAAACAGCACCGGGTCCTCGCCGAAATCCTGTACTTTCATGATGGCCTTCTCGCCGGGGACGTACCTGAAATGGCAATAATTCGTAATTCCCAAATGATCTCTGCTAGCCTGCCCCTTCCATTCCCAAATGATCTCTGCTAGCCTGCCCCTTCCATGCCCAAATGATCTCTGCTAGCCTGCCCCTTCCATGCCCAAATGATCTCTGCTAGCCTGCCCCTTCCATTCCCAAATGATCTCTGCTAGCCTGCCCCTTCCATTCCCAAATGATCTCTGCTAGCCTGCCCCTTCCATTCCCAAATGATCTCTGCGAGCCTGCCCCTTCCATTCCCAAATGATCTCTGCTAGATTGCCGTCAAAACTCCCGAAAAAAACGTACTCGCTCCTGTTGATCGCCATATCGCGCATCACCAGCATCGACCGGCTGACGTCCTTCATCTCGCAAATTTCCTAAAAACACCCCGACTTCCGTAACCCAGCTACTACGCAACACACCTGGAAACGACGCTTGTAGCGCTCCAGCTCGTATTGTGGTACGACGTTCTTGATGATCAGGTAGCCCTCACGCTCGTAGAACTGGAAAAGTTGGGATTCAATGCAGTGCACATTCATTGAAAAACATGGATTCTAAAAGTTGACCCAGCTACCGTACCCTTTTCTGCTCGGCGCTGAGGACATGGCCGTCGCGGTTCCAGTCGATTTGGCCCTCGGCCAGCTGGGTCGACATTTTTTGTCTGAAAAGGGATATATGGGAGAGAGAGACAGAGAGAGAGAGAGAGAGAGAGAGAGAGAGAGAGAGCTAGCGAAAGAGCGAGAGAAAGATAGAGCGAAGAACTATGCTAGAAAGGCAGAAAGACAGATAGTGAGAGCGGGAGAGAGAGAGAGAAAGAGAAAGAGAGAGAGAGAGAGAGAGAGAGAGAGAGAGAGAGAGAAAGAGAAAGAGCGGAGACCTAGCGAGAGAAAGGCAGAAAGACAGATATAGTCGACCGAAGGAGAAAGAGCGAGTGAGCGTCAGAGAGAGAGAGAGACAGAGAGAGTGAGAGAGATAGCGAGAGAGATTGATGCAAAATCTCCGAATACCGCTGTTTTTAATAAAAAAAAACACGTGTTCAGCGACGATAAAATATTGACAGGCTATGTGTGACCGCGCAATTTATCAGCCCCGCTGGTGTCAATGTCGCTGAAATGAGACGGGGAACGGAGGGCGGGAGAGACGCAGAGAGACAAAGGCACAGCATGCCAAAGTGCGCAATGATAACGGGGCGGCTAATGAGCAGACTACAATAAAATTTGATCGGTTATTTGGGGGGCGCCGGGGATGATGACCTACCACGGGAAATCTGCCCGCCCGGGGGGCACGTTTTAGACGAGCTGGCATGTAGTGGTTTGACGTCTTTTCTTGTGGGCTGGTATTACGGGCCCATGAAGGCTTCCATAATAAACTCTGCTAGCCTGCCCCTTCCATTCCCAAATGATCTCTGCTAGCCTGCCCCTTCCATTCCCAAATGATCTCTGCTAGCCTGCCCCTTCCATTCCCAAATGATCTCTGCTAGCCTGCCCCTTCCATTCCCAAATGATCTCTGCTAGCCTGCGCCTTCCATTCCCAAATGATCTCTGCTAGCCTGCCCCTTCCATTCCCAAATGATCTCTGCTAGCCTGCCCCTTCCATTCCCAAATGATCTCTGTTAGCCTGCCCCTTCCATTCCCAAATGATCTCTGCTAGCGAGAGAGAGAGAGCTAGAGAGAGAGAGAGAGAGAGAGAGAGAGAGAGAGAGAGAGAGAGAAATAGAGCAAGAGAGCGAGCGGGAGAGAGAAGGAGTAAGAGAGAGAAAGAAAGAGAGAGAGTGAGAGAAATAGAGAAAACAGAGAGACGAAAAGAAAACTAGCCATGATCCTTTGGGAATTAATCTTTTAAAACAAGCAATAACTGACTTGCGAGGCAATATGTACATCCGTTAATGGTAAACAGCTGGGAAACCCGGACCAGCGAACGCTCAAAAATGGTTGTCTGATAAGGCTACAACCGATTCTGCTATTGCCTCGAGGGTAGCAATTGCAGCTTGCAAAAATGGTGTAGTGTCTAGTGTACAAAATAGCATCAACGGTAAAAAAGACATCAACAAAATGTCCAAAAATCATTTATTAACTGGCTTGCGGCAGACGGCGTTGCGTTTGTCGTTGTTGCACTTGACGTTATTCCAGTTCTTCAGATTCTCATCACCCAGGAACGTCGCCGTGTCGGTGTAAATCGAAAAACAGATTTTTTTATAGGAATTTCTTTGAAATTGAAAAAGGTCTTGAAAATACCTCGACACAATTCTGATCGTCGTGATCGTCGGCCGGCTCATCCTTGGTCCACGTCGAATATGAGAACGGGGTCCCATCGGTCCAGTACCACGAGCCACCCTTGTAGTTACGCTGAAGACCAGGGCGTTACGCCCCCATATTACATTAATTAAAACCCGAAGTCCGAATTTCAGACTATCGGAATTTCATAATGTCGGGATTTACCTGAGCATATCCCCCCGGAAAATCCTATAGATAGACTGAGACTGAGACTGAAGTTCTTACCGATGGCAGAAGCCTTTACTCTCTCTCACTCTCTCCCTCTGTCTATCTCTCTTTCGCTCTCTCGCTCGCTCACTCTCTCTCTCTTTCTCTATCTCGCTCTATCACGCTCTCCTACCCTGTCTCTCGTGGTCTCCCTCGCTCACCTTGAGCCCGATCCACGTTTGCACGTCATGGTCCGTTGCGTCGAGCTTGTAGTTGGCGGTGCCCAATTCTAGCAAATCGCCATTTTCGGTAATGTGCCCCCAAATACCGTATACCCAGTCGTTCTCCGTGCGGTCGCGGATCGACGTGAGATTCGCGCCAAGGGAGCGGCAGTGCTGATCTGCATCCGTGAACGACGTAAAGTCGCGGATGACCTGAAAACGCTCCGGCATTCACTAGCTCCCTCCCTAGCTATCTTATCTCTTTCTCTCTCTCTCTGCCTCTCTCTCTCTCTCGCTCTCTCTCTCTATCTATCTCTCTCTCTCTCGCTCTCTCTCTCACTCTCTCTCTCTCGCTTTTCATCCAACCTTGTAGCATGCATTCTTTGGTTGGAACCACGCCCAGGTTGAGTCACAGATTGGCGGTGCCGGATCAAGAGCGCAGCTAAAAAATATATTTTTGTTTTTCGAACCGAGCTTTAAGAAAGGCTTAACATTAGACTAAGATTTTGAGGCTTAGGACCCGGCTAAAAATGCAGAATCCTGCCTAACCCACGCAAATGGCAGCAACGCTCCGCAGCTGCTCGTCGCCCATTTCCCATTTGCAAGCTGTCCGGTGGCGCACTCCAATTTCGGCTCGCAGTTGTCTTAAAATGCATGATTTTGCCATTATTTTCACCGCCACGAAATAGTTGCCGTCTCGCCTTCCCGTGCCGGTTAGAGCCAAAAATACGGCACCTGAATCCCAGTTTGTATAGGAGAACGGCGTTCCGTCCAGCCAGAAAAAGGGCTTGCCATTCGTCGACCTGGCTCCGATCCAGTAGAGGTTGGCGGAGGAGCCCTAGAACGCGGCGCTCTCTCGCGCTCTCTCTCTCACTCTCTCTCTCTTACTCTCTCTCTTACTCTCTCGCCCACCTGACTTTTAATCAGCCCGGCAACAGCACTGGCCTCAAACGCGTTCGTCAGCGAGGCGAGCCTCCCGCCCAGACTAAAAAGTGCCCCGGCTGATGTAACCAAAACGCGGCCAACTTGTAGCAGAACGTGTCCGCGTCGTCGAACTTCATCGGAAAATTGTAGAAGGCAAAGCATTTGTCACGTGACCCGCTTTGGGCCGAATTTCGAGGGCAGAAGCCGAGCGCTGAAACAGAAGGTTCCCAGGCTAGCAGAGATCAATTGTGAATGGAAGGGGCAGGCTAGCAGAGATCATTTGGGAATGGAAGGGGCAGGCAAGCAGAGATCATTTGGGAATGGAAGGGGCACGCTAGCAGAGATCATTTGGGAATGGAAGGGGCAGGCTAGCAGAGATCATTTGGGAATGGAAGGGGCAGGCTAGCAGAGATCATTTGGGAATGGAAGGGGCAGGCTAGCAGAGATCATTTGGGAATGGAAGGGGCAGGCTAGCAGAGATCATTTGGGAATGGAAGGGGCAGGCTAGCAGAGATAATTTGGGAATGGAAGGGGCAGGCTAGCAGAGATCATTTGGGATTGTATGGAATTACCTATCGCTGCCACAGTCGCCGTCAACAAGAAGAAGCGCAGCATCTCCGCGTAAGTTTGTCTCCGATTCCGAAACACTCCACCGGCAGGTCGGATCAATTTTATACAGGCGTCTTACCCCATTCAAAATTGGGCTTATCAGCCGGCGGACACAAGGCTAGCACTAATTACAAACACGCCCGACTGTTTTTCGCCGCCTAAGATTCGTGCCGGGGTCCCGCCCGGAAATTGGGTTAAAGGGGCGCGGAAGGAGCGCGAATCGATCCCTTGGATTGACTAGGGCTAGACAACTATGTGGACTACAACAAAAGACGTATGCCGCACATTTGGTGCAATTTCTACGTTGCCAAGGGGGGGGCGTCGCGTTGCTGTCTGGACCTAGTCGATGGAGGGGTCGATTCAGGTGATTCTTTGTGGTTATGAAAGCAGAGTTTCAGCTTTTCGACCCTCTATGATCTTAGTGGTTCTATGAAATCTATCACTTCCTTGGAGCATGACCCAGTACGTGACGCGACCGCGACGCATAGACGACAGCGCAATGGTCTGAATGTGTAACAATCGAATTTTAAAATACGTGTTTATGCGGCAAATATGTGCATAGATGGAATCATTGAATGAGAGAGAGAGAGAGAGAGAGAGAGAGAGAGTGAGAGAGATATCTGGGTGAACGGTCTCAACTCCGCGCCGGCTTTTTGCAGATGGCATTCCGCTTGTCGTTGTCGCACTTGACGTTGTTCCAATTCTTGAAGTTGTTCGAGCCGAGACCTGTCGCGTCATCGGTGTAAATCTGGAACATAGTTCTTTCGTCGGCGTTTAAAAGATTCAAAGGAGGGAGAGAGAGAGAGACAGAGACATAGAGACAGAGAGTGACAGAGAGAGAATGAGGAGAGAGACAGAGATAGTGAGAAGAGAGAGAGAGACAGAGAGAGTGTGAGAAAGAGAGAGAGAGAGAGAGAGAGAGAGAGAGAGAGAGAGAGAGAGAGAGAGAGCTTTCCTTACCTCCACACAATTCTGATTACTGTAGTCATCGGCCGGCTCGCTCTTCGTCCACTGTTTATAGTCCAGTGGCGTACCGTCCGTCCACATCCACTGGCAACTCTGGCAAGAGCGCTAAAGTGATATTTTATTAAGCTGTCTTAATCGCTTGATACAGTCAGAATTTGGCTTCAATTTTACCGTAAGCCCGATCCAGGTCTGCAGGTCGTGCTCGGTGACGCCTAGTTTGTAGTTGGCCGTGCCCTGGTCTAAAGGGGTCAAATTGCCAGAGTTCTCAACCTGCTTTTCTCTCTCACTCTCTCTCTCTCTCGCTCTCTTTCTCTCTCTCTCACTCACCAACAATCCAGTCATTCTCCGCCGGCGAGTGGATAGAGGCCAAGTGGGCCCCAAGGGCCTGGCATCCCTTCTCAGCGTCTTGGAATGAGCTGAAGCTGTGGATCACCTGAAATTTGGATGGATAAGCTGAGCTTATGCCTAAGCCCAAGCCCAAGCCTAATCCGAAGCCCAAGCCAAACCTAAACCTCATCCTAAGCCGAGGCCTAAAACCCAAGACTAAGCCTAATTCTAAGCCGAAACCCAAGCCTAACCCAAATCTAAGTCTAAGCCTTCTGCCTAAGCCCTTGTCTAAGCCTGCGCAAGCCTGAATCTAAGCCTAAGGCGGCGCCTAAGTCTAAATCTAAGTCTACGCCTAATCCCATGTCTAAGCCTGCGTAAGCCAAGCCCAAGCCTAACACCGAGCCTAAGCCTAAGCGTAGCCCAAGCCCAACTTAAGCCAGATCCGAAGCCGAAGCCTAAGACCTAAGCCTAAGCCTAATCCTAAGCCTAAGCCTACTCTTTAGCCTAACCTAAGTCCAAGCCTAAGCCTCGGCCTAACCCAAGTCTAACAAGTTCTGTAAAGTCTGTAAGGCTACGTCTAGGCTACACAGAACATACGAAAGAAAACCTACCTTGTAGCACGCGGCCTCCGGCTGACGCCACGACCACCCGGATTCGCAGGGCGGGGCCGATGAGGAGGGGTTGAGGGCGCAACTGAAACCCGTTTAGGGTAAGCCAACTTCCGATTTTTAGGCTAAATACTACAACATGCGCGCCATGCCGTACCACTCGAAACGTAGACGAGGTTGGGGAGGGTAGATGTGAAATACTCACGCAAACGGTAGCGCCGCGGGGCACTGCTCCGTGATCCACGAACTGTCGGACACTCGGGCGGCAGCGCAGGGGTATCGGGGCTCGCCTGAATTGGAAATTTTGTATAAGTATCGCTTTCGCTCCCTCTCGCTCTCTTTCTCGCGCTCTCTCTCTCTTTATCTCTCTCACTCCCTTTATCTCTCTCTCTCTCTCTCTCTCTCTCTCTCTCTCTCTCTCTCTTTCCCTTTATCTCTATCTCGCTCTCCATCTCTCATTCACTCTCTCGCCCTCTCTCTCGCTTTCTCTCTCTCCCTCCCTACCTGAAGCCCATTTCGTGTAGCTGAACGGCGTCCCGTCGACCCAGGTGAACGGCTGCGAGTTGAGCGAACGCGCTCCGATCCAATACGCAACGACGGCAGCGCTCTGAAGAATTTTTTGAGACGATAGCGATAGAGAGAGAGCGAGAGAGAGATAGAGAAAGAGAGAGGGTGAGAGAGAGAGCAAGTGAGAGATAATTTTTTCATAACCCACCTCATTCCTCCCCAGCGCATTAATGGTCGTCGACTCGAACGCGTTGGTGATGCTGGCCAGGTGACCGCCAAGGCTACAAAAACTCGCAGTTTACAATTAATGATCTTTTTATATCTTTTATTGACAATTTTTTGACCAGAACCCACTTGTAGCAGAATCGATCCGCCGCGTCGTAGGTTAGCGGAAAGTTGTAGAAGGCAAAACATTTGGAGCGCGAGCCGGATTGGACGGCGTTCAGCGGACAGAAAGCCGCCGCTAAATTGCATGTTTAAAGGGGCCGAGAAGCCAGTATCCACCCTGCCAGTCGCCTAGGTCTAGACAGCAACGTGAGGCGCCAAATGACGAATTTTGAATTTGATACCGATACGTCGGCGTTGCAATCAAAATGGGGCTGAGTCGAGTTTTTTACACTCGAGCAGCTGTCTAGACCGAGTCGAAATCAGGGGTCGAACGAACCCGAGGAGGCGAGGAGCAGCACCGGGAACAGGGAACGCATTGCGGTATCTGACGGCGTTCGTGTGTTGAGTACGTTACACCCCGCTCCCTTCCGGTGTCCCTTTAAAGGGCCGGTGGTTATCTTTTTGTCGCGCAAAATCGGCTCACCCCCGGATTTTTATCAGCAACTGGGGGTGGACAGGGCACACCGGCCCGGTGAATCATCTGTATTTTCGGGCTTTTCGATTACGTGGGATGAGATTAGGGCGCCAGTGGTCACCTTGGGATTTGTGAGTTGGTGGTTTGGGAATTGACGGCGCCGCAGGACTCCGAAATCTGGCCCACGGCCCCTGAGCGTTGATTCCTGGCAAACAGCCAAATGCTACCGCGCCGCATGATTTTTGCCCCTGTTTTGACGTGAAAACGCTTGAATTTCAACATTCTAACGTTGTTTCTGGAGACTGCACGCAATTTTGATCGTTTTGAACTTTCTAATTACGAAAATTGATGAGAGAATCACCGAGATCTAGATACTTGGTGCCTTACAAGGCATTACGACACTCAAAAAGCCTTCTTCGCCCCGAAAACATCTTCGCTTTCCTCAAAATTTTTACGTTTTTTTTTCACGACAAAATCAATTTTCTGGGTCTGCTCGGCAGTAACTCGTTCCTTATTGACCAGAGATTCAATCCCCGCACGCGCGAATTTTGAGTTCCTTGCCCCTTTAAATCTTTAAATGGGCTTCGGAGCGCGACAATCAACCCCCTCGATCGACTAGGCCTAGACACCTACACTGGGCGCAAAACACACGTCAATCTCAGCTCAGCCCAGTCGCGGTAGGTTAGCTGGATTTTCCCCAAAAATTGCTGCTAGCTGTCCGATGCCCTCTGCCCGCTGGCCATAGCAGAAGAGCACCAAAAGCGAGCGCGGGTGCCTGTCTCGTTTTTGGGCAGCTACGCGAGCAAGCGCATGCGGATTTTCGCCCAACCGCGACACCCCAAAAGTGATTTGCTATCATCCCATCGAATTACATCTGATCGAATTGCATCCCATCGAATTGCATCCCGTCGAAATTACGACTCATCGAAATTACGACTCATCGAATTACGACTCATCGAAATTACGACTGATAGAAATGTCAGCTAAGCGAATTTTCAAAAAATACTAATTTTTGCCCGGTCCAATTTTAGTCATTCTTGTCCGAAAAAAATCCGTTTCTCGACCTAAAATTAAATTTTTAATAAAAATCTGTATAGTTTTTATGCTTGGAAATAGTTAAAAACCATTTAGCAACGCATCCGCTATTCATAAAAAAATTTAGGCTTGGACCGAAAAAAATTTGGTTGACAAAAACCGATATTTCGAGGAGTTGTAATTTCGATGAGTCGTAATTTCGATGAGTCGTAATTTCGATGAGTCGTAATTCGATGAGTCGTAATTTCGATGAGTCGTAATTTCGATGAGTCGTAATTCGATGAGTCGTAATTCGATGGGATGCAATTCGATGGGATGCAATTCGGGCAGATGTGATGCGATGGGTTAAAAAATGCCCCCAAAAGTAAGGTTCGCGTCTGTCATTGAACGCGTCATTTCGGAACATACGGGCTGAATTACTGTAGTTTATTGCCGTGTGTATTAATGTGGAAAGTTTTGCTATCAGAATCTCGAAATTCAGAATGAAATCGGATCAATCTCGAAAATTCAGAATTTCGAAAATCAGAATCCCAAAGTAAAATCAGCAGCTCGAAAATTCAGAATTTGGAAAGTTCAGGATCTCGAGGATCCTAATCTCAAAAATCAGACTAAACTCGGGTCAGAATCTCGAAAATCAAGACCAAAATACACTCTTTATAGGCAGACAGGTGTTGGCCGGCGGCTTCCTAGCTTTTTTTTGATGGACAAAAAGTATATTTTTTCGAGATTCTGAATTTCGAGATTCCAATTTTCCAGACTCTGTTTTTCAGGATTCCGATAGCTTTTCGCCTTTTTGTACCGCCGCTTGAAAATAGAGGCGACACCCGCCGCGAAAACCCAAAACAAATTTATCCTTTCAATCAAACTTCCACGATTTCTCGAGCTTGCGCGCCAGACGCTTCTGCTCGGCCTGGCAGGCGGGCGCCGGCTTGTCGCCCTTGTACCTGAAATTATTCGCATTTTCAACGGGTCCAAAGCGCGAGAATCGAGACGATAGCAGAGAAGACGATTGAGAGAAAACTGACCACTGGCAGATGACACTCGTCAGGTCGGCTTGCAAAAACTGGGCCGACTCCAGCGAGACGTTGTTGAACAGGATCCACGGCACAAAGTGGTGCTTTTCCGGCTGAAAAACATTTCGTTTAATTTTCTTAAAAATTGCAACCCGTATGCAGGGTGTCCCAAACCCCCCCCCTCGGCATTTGGCCGTCTTCGATCCGATCGGGACCAAATTTTTTCCAGCGATGGGGACCCGCAAAAACTATGTGCAGCCGAATTTTCTAAGCAAAATATTGTAAAACAAAAAAGTTATATCCAAATTAAGATGTGTTTTGCCGATTTCACTAGGATATTGATGGATTTGGACCTCGAAATGTTTAGCAAAAATGAAGAGGGATTTTGGAGAAATTTTTTTGATTGACGAAAATTACGTCTAAATTGGGACTTTTCATTTCCACGAACTTTTTTCCGCCCAAGACTATATTTTTTTATATAAATAGTGGAAGTGTTTCTAAATCCTAATGACCAAATTTGATTCCAATTCTAAAGACCAAATTCTAAACTTAATTAAAAAATTTAATTTTAGGTAGAAAAATCAATTTTTTTCGGCCCAAAAATGACCAAATTTTCGACTTTTTCAAGTGTTTTTCTAACTTTTTAAAAAGTTTTTCCTATTCAAATAGGCTTAAATTTTGCTAAAAACAATGTGAAAACACTTTATATTTGATTCCTATCCCCACCAGGGCCGACAAAAAAAAAGTTGGTTTCCCCCGCCTAAAATCCCCCCCGCTTATCCGAATTGTACCTAGTTTTTTTTATGGGTCCCCACAACTGGTAAAACTTGGGTGCCGATCGGATGGAAGACGGCCAAATGCCGTGGGGGGGGGGGTTTGGGAAACACTGTATGTAACTTTAGATTTTAGAAAAACGCTATGGGTAATTTTAGAAGCTTTGCAACACCTGAACGTCGTTGGTACGCTTGGCAGCATTCATCTGGAGCTCACGGCTCAGCTTCGAGACCAGGCACGATCTAGGAAAATTTGTTTAATAATTTCAAGATAATTTAATGGATTGCGTTGATACCTATCAGAATCTCGAAAATCAGAATCTCGAATTTTGAGAATCTCGAAATATGCCTATGCAGGATCCAGGGCTTAGGAGTAGAGTGAGGGAGCGGCAGGCCTCCTCAGGCTTTCTTGGGCCGAATTGCATTTCCGCGCCTGCCGACGCCTGGCGGAAGCCTAAGGATTTACGCAGGCTTTTTATGCAATGCGCAAAAACATGTTAATCAGGTTACTGCATCTAAAACGTCCGTGTCTTTGACGCAATAACAAATTACAAGGATGCCGAAGGTGGGAAAAATATAGGCAAGGTGTCAGGAGAGGCAATTGCATCCCCCCCGCCCGTTCGAACCGACTCTTGGCTTTTGTGTATCCGCGTGCTATTAACGTATCGTGCCGTAAGGTTTGTCAAAAACAGTACCCTAACTTTGTAGAATATTCTTGGACCCAATACAGCTCTTCGACCCCCCGGAAGTTTAAAAAAATTCCTTATTTGTTCGGCAAATCTTCGAATATTCTACGACTTTACATAAAATTCCCCGATAAAGCCTGACTAATTAGAGGTCAGGCGTACTTTGCATAGCCCAGGCTCAGCCTAGGCGATGCAAATTAAAAAAGCCTGAGGAAGCCTAGGCAAGCCTAGGCTTTAGCCTAGGCCTCCCTCACTCTACTTAGGAGTGCAATTTCCGGATCGTTTAATGCTGATTCAACAACGGAAATTTCAAGATTCTAAAAATTAGAGATTTTGATTTTCGACGTTTTGAAATATTCCCGATCGCGTAGCGTGTGCGTTACCAAATCCATAGCGACGAAAAGCCGTGACCTGCCCGTTCCCCTTAAACCTCACTGCGTCATCCGCTGCACATCGTCGGTGACGTTTAGCGTCCGGAAACATTTCGACTGCGCCTTGTCGAAGGGGATCTTGTTCTGAAATCGGACTTTGCACTAAAAACGGATCAAAGATCTCCAAGCTCTCGAAAAGGCCTAAAAAGGCGTTGTTAGTTCCTCAAAAACGATTGATTTTTGATTAATCCCTCAAAAATCTGTATTTTCGGCATTACCTCTCCTGACGGCCGAAGAGCTTCTTTTAAACCGTATAAAATTGTTAAAATGCCCCTACGAAACACTTTTAGGATGAAAACGCACGCTCAGCTGCTGCTCGAGGCAGAAAATGTAGGGCATGAACACGTCTTGCGTCTCCATACTGTCGATCACGCAGCTGTAAAGCTTCACATTCATTCATCAGAAATTGGGCACCTCTCGAATTTGTTGATTTGGCATTCCTCGGCGCCGTGCTGGCACACGATCTCGTCGCCCTGAATTTTTATTCTATTTCAAGTGATATCTCAAGTGATTTCTTGCGAAATAAACCTTTAAAAAAATCGGTTACCTACCTGGATCTTTGCATTCCCATACGGGACCAATTCGATCTTCAAATGGGTGCTGGGAAACGCCTTGAAGGCTGGGTAAAGCTGAAAAGCTCGTAGTCGTGCCCAGGCTTGCCGCTCGGGGCATCCGAAATGCATCGGTATCCGTATCAGTATCCCAAAAGCCTCATGTACTGATGCGTGACGTGGCGTGACGCCTAGCTACGCACCTGCTGTTGAATGAACCGCTGACATCCGGGGCACAGCGACTCGTAGAGAAGGGTGATCTGCACCGGCTTGTTGTAGACCCCCTTCTTGTACCTGGAAATCGGATAATTGGACGTATTTTTGCCTTAAAGGGCTAGTTCAACTTTTAGAGCTTGGGCTGGTACCTTGGGAAACTATGGACGTAGGCACAGTGCGCCCGAACAGTCCCCCATTACGACAGCTATTAGAGATCGGGGAAATGAGAGAGGCGCAGACACAAAAACGCAGAGAGGGTTCGACTCCTGGCCGCGGAAATTTTTTTGTTTTATTGGCTGAACTAGCCCTTTAAATTTACTAGACATTTCTAGACACAGAAAAAAAGTTGGTTCTCATCTGATGCATTATAGAAGATCTGCTCTGATGGCAAAGCTGTAAAAGAACCCAAAACTCGTTGGCTCACTCGCTGCACGCTAGATCCCAGCCGCACTCCTTCGCCAGCGCGTCGTTCTCGCACCATAGTCCCGGCGGTGTTGTCGAGCACAGCGCAGAGTTCAGCTGCTCGGGCACCCGGCGCGCCTTCAAAGGCCCTCTGCCCAGCGAGCCGTCGATGAAAATCAGGGCGCAGATCGCGCTTCGGAGGATAGACATTTCCAAACTGTTCGCCAATGGTCATCGCGCTTGCTAACCGTCCGCGATTGCTGCTGTAAACGAAATTCAAGCCGGTTGTTTGGAATTTCGGGAAAGTATAAACATTTGGCTAATCGCAATCGGCTTCGTCTTTTTCGGTCGGAAGCTTTCCAGACGCACCCTCCTTGGGAAAGCGTGCAAATTACTAAAATAAAGCCTGGTGAAGGCACAAGAACTGAGATATGGCTGTCAATTCAGAAAAACAACCAAAACTAAACCAGAAGCAAATCCGTTTTGTTGCAATACCCTTCCGCCTAGCAGATTTCCGTTCACTTCGCATAACTTCATCTCGCATAATTTCCATTTCCCCTAACGGTTATTTCGTTTTACGCTTGGTTGATACAAACTAAAAATTATGCGAAATGATTGTTGGGTGAAATGAAAATTATGCGAAAAGCTCGTTAGGCGAAATAAGCGTTATGCGCAACAATAGTTATGCGAGTTGATGATGCCAGATGGAAAAATACCCGTCTAGCTAAACCTTTGCAGGCCATTCGTGCTAAATTAACCATTCCTAGAAGCCAAATTCTTCTGCCTGGAATATAATGCAAAAATTTCATATGATTACAACTTTTCCGTTATTTTTTTTTGAGGCTTTTTGACGAAAAGCTGACCATTTCTCGAGTTCCGGCGGCGGCCTTCGACAACGCACCAATACACGCAACGCCGCAGCCCCGTCGCCCCTTGACATCTCCCACACCCTTCCCATTTTTCGCTCGGCAATCCTAAAACGCCGATTTTGTGTATTTCGACGGTATTCTCGTCTATTGCGATGACGAAACGTCGTCCAAGCAACAAGAAGCCCGTCGGCATGAACAAGTCGCTGGGGAACGCGCTGATGAACGAGCGTGACCGGAATCGCAAGTTACACCAGAAGGGCAAATACGACGAGGGCGACATCGAGAATGCAGCTTTTTTGGAGGAAGTAAGCTAACGTTGACCAGCGCTGACCCCCTGCTCCGCCGGGCTTCAGCGGTGGAATCATGTTTTGATGAATGGCGCCCATTATTACCATTAGTGCGTGACCTGAGGCGCAGATGTTCCCCTCTTGCCTCGACGCCCCTGTCCCCTCTCCTCAACCTCTCATTAATGCAGAGTTGAATTCCTGGATGGGTGTACGGACATGAGAAAGGGCGGGGCAAAGGGGGCAGTCCCGAACTGGCGTTAAGGGGTTACGAGACGCTCCGCTAAAACGGATAACGTAGGGCCGCGTAGATCAAGGCTTCTCTATAATTGGCAAGTAGCCAGCTGGGTCAGAGAGGGCGCCGAGACCGCCTTTACCGGTTTTTGGCTGATCTACATGGGCCCGCCCGATCCCTTTAAGCTACTTGGTTATTAGATTAACTTAGTCTTAAAGTGGTAGCGTTGGCATTTGCCAATCGGTTACGCGGGGAAAGTCGATTTCTCGGCGCCTCTCCCCTGGTTGGCAATTTGCCAGGCTGACCCCCTCCTAGGTGGGGGATCACCAGATGCTCTCATGTGCTTTCATACTTTAAATTGCTTTAGGATGTCAAAAAAGGGGCTGATTTTGGGGCTTAGCTTAGAGCTACGTGTGGGGCGTCTTGAAGGCAACATCCGGACTCCCCCTAATACATGAGCACCTTTTATCGTTCATTTTAGGAAGAGCAAAAGGTGATCGACTCGATCATTGACGAGAGTGGACTGGAAGAGTTCTTGGCCAAGGCCCAGCTTGCAGGCACAGAGTTTTCGGCCGATCGAGAAAACGTGCGGATCATCAGCCAGTGTGTTTTTAGGGTTGTGGGGGGGGGGGCAATTTTTCCAAAACTTACAGGCCTAAGCTAAGTCCATGCTTGCCCAATCCTAAGCTAGGCCTAGCTTAGGCCGGTGCAAACTTGAGGCTCAGTCTAGGTCTAAAAAGAATTGCCCCCCCTAAACATCAATAGCTCCTAGCTGTGTTCTTAACAAGCTTTTAGAAACAAGAGTGTGATCGTGCCGTCAAAGAACGATTTCCTCAACAACCTCGAATTGCAACGGCAATATGAGGATAAGCTGAGGATCCCCCGCCGTCCACCACGTGACCAATGGGAGACAACAGAGGAACTGTCGGCGCTGGAAAATCAAGTGTTCCTAAAGTGGCGCGAGGATTTGGCGATGCTGCAAGATGTGGATGGCCTAACACTGACACCTTTCGAGCGCAACCCCGAGATGTGGAAAGAATTGTGGCGAGTGGTGGAACGGAGCGATTTGGTTGTTCAGGTACTGGTTGTCCGCGATTTATTTAATGTAGTTTAGATCGTTGATGCTCGAAATCCGCTGCTGTTCCGCAGTAAGGATCTGGAATCTTATGTGAAGGAAGTGGACCCGGCTAAGAAGAATGTCTTGCTGGTCAACAAATCTGATCTTCTGCCGGAAGAACACGTGCAGGAATGGGCCGATTATTTCCGCGACAATGACATCGACGCTATATTTTGGTCGGCCACCGATGAGGCTGAGGAGGCACACTCCTCCGGGGATGAGCAAGAGCCCACGAGTAGTAGCAGTGCAAACGACCAAGTGTGCTTCTTCAAGAATAAGGACGACTTGCTTGCTCACTTCAAAAGCATCGGTCACTTGCAAGGCTACAGTGGAGGCAAGCAGTTTGTGGTCGGAATGGTCGGCTACCCCAACGTCGGCAAGAGTTCAACGATCAACAAGTTGGTGGGCACGAAAAAGGTCTCTGTGTCGGCAACACCTGGCAAGACGCGTCATTTCCAGACGATCCATATCGACAAAGAGGTTATAGTTTTTTGAAGTTCACTTATTTAATTTTAGTTATGCCTTTGCGATTGCCCGGGCCTGGTCATGCCCTCTTTTTCCTTCGGCAGAAATGAGATGTTTTTGAACGGTATACATTGCGCTCGCACACTTGAAAGTTTTTTTAGGAATTATGCCGGTCGACCAGATGAGGGATCACTTTGCGCCGACTTCACTTCTACTTTCCCGCGTGCCATTCGAATACTTTGAGAAGAAGTACTCCATGCTACTACCTGCCCGCGAAAAGCCCTCGCCATATGACCTTCTAACGACGCTCGCGTTCAATCGAGGATTCATGTCGGCGTCGGGGATTCCAGATTGCTCAAGGGCCGGCCGATTACTGCTGAAGGACGTGGTGAGCGGGAAGATCTTGTGGGTAGCCGCCCCACCCGGCACCGAGCAGGAGGAATTCGACAAGGTGCTTTACCCCACAACGGCCCGCGATGAGAAGCAGCCCGGCGCGGTCCAGTTGCAAGAAATGGAAAAGCGCGGCCTTTTGGAAGGTGACAATGCCGTTGATCGTAAGCTGGATAGCGGCTTCTTCACCGTTGAAGGCGGACATGCGCATGTCAGAAGTGCGAGGAGTTTGAACGCGGACAATACTACACCAACCACAACAGCCGTGCCATCATTGGCTGGCGAGAAGGGGACGAAACACCACAACAATCGCAATAGAAAGGAAAAGCTGAAGCGTGTTTTCGTGGGCACTTACGCCTAATTTGCTGGCTTTTTAGCCTGCCATTGTTACCTCGTTGTTACCTGTAAATAAAATTCTGACTTTGGCTTTCAGTGTTGCTTTTTTTGATTGGTTTTCAACCGTGTATTCACTCATAGCTTCGGACATTCGCTTTTTATTTTTGTTTTTTTCAGGCAAGGCTTCATAATGGGCAAGATTATGCGACCCGGAAAGGTGGTGCTGGTGCTGCGCGGCAAGTACGCAGGAAGGAAGGCCGTCATCGTCAAGTCTTACGACGAAGGATCAGCTGAACGGACCTACCCGCACGCCCTCGTCGCCGGCATCAACAAGTATCCACGAAAGGTTGGTTCTTTTTTGGGAACCTTGTGGATTGTATGCTATTGATTTCAAGGCTTAGGCTTAGCTGAAACTTTGCATCGGCATTGGGGAGGGGCATTTTTTTGGAGGCTTTCTGGCCTAAGCTAATCCTAAGCTGGGTCTAAGCTAATCATGCTAGGTCTAGGCTAAGTCTAAGCTAGGGCTAGGCCAAGCCGAAGCTAAGTCAAGCCACGTGTAGGCTTAAGCTAAGTTTAGTCTAAGTCAAACGTACGCAAAGTTAAAGCTAAGCCTAAGCTTGGGCCCTAAAACAAAGGCGGCCCACTCAGCATCATTGGCTCCAAACTCTGTTTGGGTTTCAATCATCATTCTTTTCCAGGTGACCACCCGGATGGGCAAGAAGCAACAAGAGAGCCGAAACAAGGTGAAGCCATTCGTCAAGGTGCTGTCCTACACCCATCTGCTGCCCACACGCTACACCCTCGATGTCAACTTCGAGAAGGCTGCCGTCAACAAGGAGTCGCTGAAGGTATGGTCGAGTTAATCTTTTCGGCATGCGATAAGAGTAGTCTGGTTTTTGCGAAAGCATTGCGTGCCGTGTGCTGGCACGTCAGGAACTTTGAGGGGCCCTTTGCTTGGTTGCGGATATTTATTCGTTGCTTTCAGGAGCCCGGAAAGAAGACTCGTGCTTGCATCGAAGCGAAGGCCCGCTTCGAGGAGCGGTACAAGACCGGCAAGAACAAGTGGTTCTTCACCAAATTACGTTTCTGAATCTGATCCTTTTCGTTGTTTTTGCAGACGTTGTTTCCGGGCTTCCGGTTGCGCTTGTTCGATAAATGTTTGAGCTAATGAAAGGTGCATGATAATTCGAGCCTGATTTTTTCTTAAATTGGATCTGCGCGGGTTCCAGGCTTCATGAAACTTCCGTAAGTGGATGGTATCGACGATCGCAGATCTATTAGGCATTTACGTAGGCGTGGGCCAGTGGGCTGTTGTGTGGGGGGATGTTTTCACACTTTTCTTGAATGATAATTGAGATGCGTTTGTGATGGAAGATTGCCGACTTTCAAGCAGCCGCGACGGCTTTTACGTGTTCTCGTAGCGTGACCGCAACTGTTTATTCTGGGAATAACGGATAATTAGGCACCAGATGTATCAGCGTCCCGAAGCTAGCTGCGCCTCGCCCTTGGTCCACCATCTCACGGAGCTAGGCGCGCTGCGTCCCGAACCCGGAAACCTTTCGTCGCAAAACCTGACGCCGCACTACCGATCTCAAAGAATAGATTCAAAGATTTCAAAGAACACGATTTATCGGCATTAATGGCATATCGGCATATCGAATCATTGACATTCTCGCTTGATTATCATGATATTCATATACCGAGGGTGGGCACAACGACAATTTTAGGACATTTTGACAGATGTTAAAACCAATGCGCCAATCTTAGCTTCTTCTTCATCACGGGGCCTCGGCGGCATCATTCTGAAAACTTTTTTTATTCACCGCGAAGAAGCAACATTCGATTTTTCAATCCTTAATCACCAAAGCGGCACCTTGATGTCCTTGACGGTCTCCGTGATCTCCGCGACCTCAGCACCAACGGAATTTTGGTCACCGATCGTCTAAAAGAAGAAAACATGCAAAAAAATACTAGCTTACCGGGCAACTAATACGGCTTTGCTTCATTGGTAGGTCCGTGAGGCATGGTTTCGAGCTCTTCTTTGTCTAAACTATCTATATAAAAGCCAGCGAAGTCCATACCTTGCCAGCTTTCCCTTTTGACAAGTGTTGGGGGATCACCCCGTCCTGGCCTTTCGAATCGATCGGCCCCTGCAGACGGTAGCCCTTCTTCGGTCCTAAATACACTGACTTTTGAAATTTAGCAGAAAACTACCGTGTGCACCACCAAACTCGACTAGGCCACCGATCGACAAGTTGACGTCTTCATATTCCAGTACGAGGTTGCCGTTCACTTTTGAACCGAATGAAGACCCTAAAATTTGTTGAGAGCAGCGCAAAAAATATACCTAGATCTGTATAGTGCCAGACATCCTTGTCGTTCTCCGAGTCTCTCCCAAAATACAGCACGCCGTGCAGAAACGAGACAGTCGGGTCCGGGATCACGAAGTCGCATGCGCCGCCGCGCCCAAACGTGAAGTAAGTACCTGTAAAAATCGTTGAAACGCCTCTCAGCCCCCGTTGAAAAGGGCTTAAATCACTTACCGTTGCTGGGAACGCCAAGCTCGAAGTTTCCGAGCAGAACCCTGTCATCACTCAGCTAAACTGATCTTTTTGCGCAAAAAAAACAAACAAACTTGAAGACTCCATTTTCCCTGCTCTGGCAGTTTGGCCCAGTCAGGCGCCGTCCAGACGAACTGAAAAGTGATCTAGACAAATTGCAAGAAAATCTACATTTTGCAATCGTTCCTCATTTTTGATGACTTGCTCGAGTTTGGCAATGTAGGCTTTCGCGAGCTTGTCCAAATCCTCGTGCTTGTTCTTCATCAGCTTCCCGAGCGTTCCTTCTCTTATATGCATAAGCCCGTCCACAGATTTCATGTTCCGGACTATAAAGAGAAAGTTATTACACATGACCAGGCCCGTAGGAGGGCGGCAGAGGGGCCACCTTGCCCCGGATCCAGGATGCAAGGCCAAGATTTCATAAGTGCAGCTTCCCCAGTGCCATCTGCGCATCTGCCAAGGCCTCTCCGGCAGCTAATGATAACATTTTGCCGCACTAATTACCTAACAACATCTTGGAAATTAAAGCAATGGCTAATAATAATAGTAGTAAACAAATTGTTTAAATACATAAGATGATCGAAGTTCTTCAGATAGTAATTTTTTTACAATACACGGTGTCTAGGTCAGTAAAATATTTCCTGCAAAAATGCCGTCAGCGGCTACACCTATGTATTTAAACAATTTGTTTACTAGTAGATTTTCATGACTTTGTTAGGTAATTAGTGCCGCAAAATGCTATCATTAGTTTCCGGGAAGGCCTTGGTAGATGCGCAGATGGCACCAGGGAAGCTGCACTTATGAAATCTTGGCCTTGCGTCCGTCGCCCCCGAAATTTCGGGTCAGCTACAAGCCTGCACATGGCCGGGCGTATTTTAGTCATTGCCTGCACGAAAATATTTGGCCTAACCGAAAAACTAACTTATTAAAAGGAAAAGTCAGATAAACTCACGGTGTGTTTTCACGTAGGTTTCCTTCAGTTTCGCTAGCAGCCTCTGTCGCTCGAGAACTTTTCGCTGCCTCTCGGCTTGAATGGCGACTTCTTCGTTCCTGGTTTGCTGATCCTTCAACGGCGAGAGCATCGTAGACAGGCCCTGCATTACCTGAAAGAAATAAATTATGTCATTGTCACCAAAGCCCTGTGCAGGCGTGAGGAATAGAACGAAAGCTTCCGGGCAAGCCAAGGAGCGTGCCAAAGAAAAAAGGACCATACAGTTGCAGAATTGAAAAATCCCGGTAGCGCGTGAATGTCGAACCAATAATAAAAAATCTTTTAAAAACGCGGTTTTTATTTTCGCACATCGAGAAACTAGCGTGTATAACAATTTAAACTGTTCTTTTAACGCACCCTCAATAGGGGAGTCAATTTTATTGTCAAGAACGTCATCAAGGGCAATTAGTAAAGCCCGAGCGGAGGGAGCCGGGGAGCCGAGGGAGTCTGGGGAGCCAAGGGAGCCGGCGGGAATTCGAATAGAATATATAAAAAGTCCGCATATTGGTATCAGACTTCTTAAGTACATTCTAGATTTTGCTATAATTCTAGCACGTTTTTTTCTGCGCGAAAACCTTTGGAAAACCAAAAAAGGCGTAGCCGGAAAGGAGTGCCTCCAATAATAATGCTTACGAATCTGACATTAAGTTACGTTGCACGCTGACGGATGTCACATTATTTTGTAGGCCCATTTTGCTAGAATGGATTTTTTGAACTTAACCGGAGAATCAATTAGTTTAGTAAGTAAAGATAGTCTAAATCAAAAAGTTCAGAGTCGGTGCCGAGCGCTCTAGAAATGTTTTTGAATAGCCCTTCAATCAGAAAATGAGTATACGCAGGAACAAAAACAAAAAGGGTGGCAAAAAGCTACAGCAGATCGTCACACGGAAGTCCGGTAATCGGCGCCAAAGGGGTGGCTGAAAAAAAACACGAAACCTATAAAATCATGCGCGAGTTCCACATCAAAAGTAAACCCCTAAATTATCGCAAAAAGTAATTGATCCGTTTCGAATAACGTGCTTTTCTTCAATTACATTATTTTTCGCGCGTTGGTGGAACCCGAGAAATTAGGTTGATTATTAGGAGAAACGAGAAATGCAGGAGATAATTCGGGACCAGTTTCATGCCAAAATTCGACAGCGTCGATAGTAGTGTTAGTAATTTCAACGGCGTGCGGTAAATTTTATTTCAAATTCTTGTAAAGTAAAAAGTTGACACACGCAAAGTTTGTTTTTTTAGGCAAAAAATGCCGCCGAAGACTACTATCGCGCTTCCCGAAGCCAAATGAGATGTGCTTGGCCTTGGCACGTGCGTGCCGCGCCCGTTGGCCGCGACCATTTCTACATTATCTTTTCCTGGATAACGCTTAATATTTTTGCTTTTACGTTCCTTGATTCTCTCAAAGTTTCGGACATTCGCTTTTTATTTTTTTTTTCAGGCAAGGCTTCATAATGGGCAAGATTATGCGACCCGGAAAGGTGGTGCTGGTGCTGCGCGGCAAGTACGCAGGAAGGAAGGCCGTCATCGTCGACCCTCGTCGCCGGCATCAACAAGTATCCACGAAAGGTTCGTTCGTTTTCGGAACCTTGTGGATTGTATTCGATATATTTTAAGGCTTAAGATATGCTGAAACTTTGCATCGGCATGGCTTAGGTTTTGGCTTGGGCTTAGTCTACTGTCGCTTAGGCTGAACCTCGCTTAGGATTAGCCTAGACCTAACTTTGCTTAGCTTAGGCCGGTAAGATCCTAAACGATAGGTTATGCCTGTCGCGGAACTTAATTGATAGAAACTGTCTTTGGTTTTCAGTCATCATTCTCTTTTCCAGGTGACCACCCGGATGGGCAAGAAGCAACATGAAAGCCGAAACAAGGTGAAGCCATTCGTCAAGGTGCTGTCCTACACCCATCTGCTGCCCACACGCTACACCCTCGATGTCAACTTCGAGAAGGCTGCCGTCAACAAGGAGTCGCTGAAGGTATGGTCGAGATAATCCTTTCGGCATGCAAAAAAAAGTACCGTATTTCCTGTAATATAACCCTGGAGTTTATATTTTTTCGATCGTCTCGGGGAAGGGTTGTATTAGAGGGGGGGGGGGGGTATATTTTTGGTTCCATACCGGTTTTTGTATGAAAACGGGAATTTTGTACGAAATCGACGATTTTGTATGAAATCGGGGATTTTAGTTTGGAATCTTCGAAATCGGGGATTTTGACCAAATATTTCTCAAAAAATATTTATTTTTAATCAAAAAATGTTTTTGATCGACTCAAATCCCGAAATTCAGGAGTAAAATGTCCGGATCACGTCCATGTGCGTATCTCCAAATCACAGTTTTTCCGCTATTAGCTTAAAATCACTCAAAATCGCAGTGTCAAGTATAAACTTCACTTTCTTTGCGTTTTTTTTGTCCCGTGTGTTAGTTATAATAGAGGTTATTATATTAGAGGAGATACGGCAGCCTTTTTCTGCGAAGGCATAGCGTGACGGGAATCTATCGAAATTAGAATCTTGGAAACTTGAATTTCAAACTCTCGAATTTACGGAATCTCTATTTTCAGAATCTCGAAATTTGCATGCGCTGGATGCAGGGCGTACGCGTGCAATTCCTGCAGCTCTTAATGTTGTTTCATACTATGGAAATTTCGAGATTCGGTAAGAGTCTAGAAACCCCCCCCCCCCCCCAGCCGGCACCAACTTTTGTATCTCGGCCCCCCTTTGTGCTAGCGAGCTCTAAAGTATACTAAAACGTTCGCCGTAGGCTAATTAGTAAGACTACATTGCAGTTCGGTCGAAAAAAGTAGCGAAAAATAAAGATAAGAAAGGTAGAAAAGTTGAAAAGTCGGCTGGGGGGGGGTTTCCCAGACTTGAGCCCGAGATTATTAAAATTGGAGATTTTGAAAATTTGAGATTCTGAAAATTCGTGGTTCTGAAAGGTAATCTAGCGTGATATGTGCTGGCACTTCAGGAACTTTGAGGAGCCCTTTGCTTGGTTGCCCATATTTATTCATTGACCAGCGCCCAAAACCCGCTTCGCGGGCCTTGGGCGCTGGAATGCGGCTTTTGCATGAAAAATTTGAATTTCCGATAGCTCGGGTCCTGCGGACTCCCCCCCCCCCCCCACCCCCGACCAAACTCGCGAGTGCAACTGGCAAGAATGAGGAAATTTCTATTTTTTCACATTATGCAAATTAGCCCTCAGGTACACCCAAAAATGAATAAAACCGGCTCTAACTTTGTAAACTTGTATTTTATCGAAATTCTGAAAACGTCATCTGAAACAGAAGGGTCGATTCCCCCCGGGTGACGGAGAATTGGACCGTTTTGGCCACGGGAAGGCCCTCAAATCGGGCCTCGAAACTGACATCCACACACACACACAAAGATACACGCCAAAATTATATAAGGTAGGATTTCAGGAGCTCGGAAAGAAGACGCGTGCTTGCATCGAAGCGAAGGCCCGCTTCGAGGAGCGGTACAAGACCGGCAAGAACAAGTGGTTCTTCATCAAATTACGTTTCTGAATCTGATCCTTTTCGTTGTTTTTGCAGACGTTGTTTCCGGGCTTCCGGTTGCGCTTGTTCGATAAATGTTTGAGCTAATGAGATGCGCATGATATTTGTGTGTTGGTCCTGGAGAAATGGTTTTATTCCGGGCGCAAGGAGTAAATTGTTCAAATTCATTTCAAATCGTTTTGTCTAACGTTGTTTCCATGTGGTCACCGATCGAAAATCCACAGAAACTTCTCTATAGAGATATACCCGTCGTCTTCGTCCTCTTCCTGCTCCGGCGCCCCTACCTCGAGGGCTACGAGGAAACCTAAAGCTGCCATCTCGAATCATTATCGTTTTAGAAATTTTTGGGCCGTTTCAGTCAGTCTAGCCTGTCTGGCCGCCATCATTGATCGCGATGGAACGGACCTACCTTTTCCACCAACAAAAATCCGGAAATAGCCATGAATCCCGTGCGCCGGTGTTAACTGAATAGCGGTGTTGTGACATTTTACGATTTCGTGCGAATAGCTGAACGATACGTTATTCCATCTTCTACATACATGGAAGATCAGGTATAAGCTATTTGAATCGCGGGTATGCAATTGGGGAATCTGTCAAAATCTTGAAAATCGGAGATCTCGATAATCAGAGTCAAGCAATCAGATCTACGATTTTCAGAATATCGACATTTCCATAGTCTGAATCAACATTAAGAGCTTCAGTGATTGCCCGCCTACATCCAATCGGAGTATCGAGATTCTGAAAATTCGACACGCTAATTTTCTCGATTCTGGCCGGAAATCGTGCAAGTGGCCACAATTCCTGCAATTTCATACAGTATTCTTACTTCTGCGCAAGCATTAACCCATTCTTTCGAGATTATGGCATCCGGATCCGTTTCATGGAGCCGTTCGATGTTTATGCCGGGTGCCGCGTCCCGAAGTCGTTGCTCGAATTCTCGCTGTAAAGCCTGTTTTTATTGCCCTCACTGAGAAGGGCAATCATTGATGCTCCTGAACATGAGCCCTGTTCTCAGCCGCCACAACACATTTCCATGACCGTACCATGAATTCGTCGGCATCGAACGAGGGGTAATCAATCCAGATTTCGTGTGCCAGCCCACGTCTCGACGGTCTCCCCAAGCAAAATGACATCTAGATACATGGTGTTTGTGCCGCGAAATAGACAAGGAAAGGCCATTAAAGGCCGCCGCCAACTAGCACCAACCATAGTCAGCTCTACCACGTCGTCGGTGCTGTGTGATTTATGAAAGCGGAGGATCGGTTGTCGTCCCGGGCGCCATCTTCCACACCAGCCCGTCCACAATTCCACACAATCCGCCTCCATCAACGCAGCGTTTCCCTGCACAGTTTTTTAGTCATTTTTCATTATTGCCAGAATCGTAGTATCGTAATTATAGAAGCCCCCCATACCTAAAGATCTGCAGCCGTGCCCGATTTTCATGATTTAGGTACCAATAGAAAGCGCTCGAAATGGCGAGAATACAAGCAGTTTTGTTTTCTAGATTAGGTCATTGAATTGTGCATTTGTATGGCTGAAAACTGTGAAAAGAGCTGATTCATGCGAGATCCATATGTTAACTGCAATATGGGCATAGAAAAAACGCTTAATATTAACAATGCGAATAATTTAAGAAAACGAAACCCGCTTTTTTTCTGGCCTTTTCAAGGGTATTTTTTTAACCCATCGAATCACATCTGCCCGAATTGCATCCCATCGAATTACGACTCATCGAATTTACGACTCATCGAAATTACGACTCATCGAAATTAAAACTCCTCGAAATATCGGTTTTTGTCAACCAAATTTTTTTCGGTCCAAGCCTAAATTTTTTTATAAATAGCGGATGCGTTTCTAAATGGTTTTTAACTATTTCTAAGCATAAAAACTATACAGATTTTTATTAAAAATTTAATTTTAGGTCGAGAAACGGATTTTTTTCGGACAAGAATGACTAAAATTGGATCGGGCAAAAATTAGTATTTTTTGAAAATTCGCTTAGCTGACATTTCTATGGGTCGTAATTTCGATGAGTCGTAATTTCGATGAGTCGTAATTTCGATGAGTCGTAATTTCGATGAGTCGTAATTTCGATGGGATGTAATTCGATGGGATGCAATTCGATGGGATGATAGCAAATCCTTTTCAAGGGCTTTCGAATGGGGTAGAAACCACCCCAATCCGAGCTTTCTCCGGACCCTTGGGTTGGGGGGGGGGGGGCAGGGTCCGATTTCGGGCAAGAGAGTTCGCTCACCGTGACCTTCAGCTCATCAAAGCCATTCGAATAGTTGGCGTGGATTTTCCGGAATAACTCCGCGCTCGAACCTTTCAGGTCCATCTCCTGAACAGCTTTCAGTCCGCGGAAAAATGGCGCTAACTGAAATTCGGCTTTTTTTAGTGGTTCTAGAAACGAAGCCGTAAAGCCGGTTACAACGTCTCTTCTCCATATTCAGTTGTAAAATACTCACGTCGTAAACGCGGCTGTCCTCCGTATGCCCTTCTTCAACCTGATACGCTCTCGCGCGCAACTGAAGCAACCGTAATTAGCGCGTGGGTTCTGTTCTATTTCGAGTGGGGGGAAAAATGTGCGAAGGGGGATTTGCGTATCATCACCTGATCGAAAATCGTCTAAACAAAAATCATCTAATCGAAAATGATTCAAAATCAAATTTTAACTGGTGGTAAACCTTTCCTGGCTCTGGTGGAATTGCGAGAAAAGCTTGACTTTTACGAAAAAAAGAATTTAGGAGAACAAACGGATTGCGCAAACAAACCACTGAACGGTAATCCTTCGTCACTATCTGCAGATAACGCACACACTGTATGTTCGTTAGGAGATGGAGAATCTGACCGAATACGGTGGAAAATCCGCTGAAAATAGGGAATCGCTTAGAAGATTGACGGTACCTGTCATAGTTCTGAAAGGAATATTTCTCGCCATACCCGCCGTGAATTTCGATCAGCGTCTTGCGCACCAGAATCTAGACAGGCACCATAAATTTGTTTCTAAGTGTCTAAAAATGTCCAGTCGCGTAATAGTAAGCGCTTTAACAGGTTTTTCAATAAATTGAATTATTTTAAGCGCACAACTATCGAAAAGCTGAAGATTTTCTTTGGTGAAATTTTGGTAGAAAATCGATCGGCTATTGTTGGCCAAAAGAAAAATCGATATTTTTGTCTCTTTCCAAACAAAATTTGTAAAGGTTTAACATTTAGGAAAGGTGGAACAACTTAGAAACAATTCCTCTATTGATATCATAAAAATTGGATCCTTAGAAAAAATGTTGGTTCTCCCCTGAACTGAAAGGTTCGCAAAGCTAACTCGCTTCTAATCGATAAATTCTGGCTGAATCGAAAGATTTGTCAAAAATATAAACTTTTTTCCCTTCATCTTCTACATCAGCATCATCGAACGGCAGATTGGCGGCGACATAGATCCAGGACACCCTTCGTGGCATCGCTCCTCGTCGATTCACGACAGTTCTGCAACGAGTCAGATAATTGCATCAACTAGAATTGGAGCTTTAATATTGCATTATATTCCTAAAAACCCAAATCCTCGCCTATATTCCTTGTTGACGCGTTGTAGGGCGTGCAAATCGTGAAAGCCGAGCCGGTCAATTACTGCCGACTGCAAGTCTCCAGGGAGACGGGCCATTGCAAACATTTCCCTCAAAACAACAATACAAATTGATATTTCGTAAGACAAGGATTTCTACAAGCTTAGACAAAAAGTGATCGATGGGGGGTGTGGAAAGCTAGCCCGATCGATTGCTTTCTAATGCATATAAAATCATGGAAAAGGGGAGCTTTTTCGAGGCGCAGATTGAAGAGCAAAATAATGTTGAGGGGACGTTATACGTGGGCTACAAGGGGTCAACCATTCTGGCGGCAAACACGAAAAATCACTTCTGGCGCCATCTGGAAGGGCAGCGGGAATTATGCCTCAAGGCGATAGCATTAAAGGGATACCGACGGCATAGTCAATCGATTACGCGCTGGAAAGAAAATGTCTCTGCGCCTCTCCCCCCGGGCGCGCTCTCTGCCCTGTTGGCTACTTGCCAATTTGTTGATGGGGGGGGATCGACACATGCCGTCCGCAGCCCTTTAAGGGATGGGCGAGTATGGGTATGGAAGGCCTCCGCTCGCCGCCCGTCCAGGTTCAGAATCCAGACGAGGAAAACGGAACATATTTTCTTTGCCTACTTGCATGGTCGGTTTTCCTTCTATCCGCATTTCGTTGAGTTGCCGTGGTAAATATTCGCTCGTTGTATCCCCCAGCTTTCTTTTGACTGTAATTTTGGGGATACTTTGTGATGAAATTTCTCGGTCTTCTCAGTTGCTCCCCTCGCATTACCGTTGCGTTTTTTGTTTTGCGTCAGACAAGACGCCCTCGGTTGGGCTGGAAAGTGGAAAAGGCAATTTGGCAACGCATGGTAGTTGCCGGGTTACGGTCGTTTCTAAACTACCAAATTACGCATAGTCACGCTTCTCTCATCGGTGCTGTAGGGTTGAGGACTGCTCATTGATGGTGGCCCTGGGATGTCTATAACGCCCGCGAGTGATCACCATAATTCCCGCTGCCCTTCCAGATTGGCGGCAGAAGAGATTTTTCGTGTTTTCCGCCAGAATGCCTGGTCCCTTGTAGCACACGAATCACGTCCACTCAACAATATTTTGCAACTCAATTTCGCATCGAAAAAGCCAACCCTTTTTCAATGCGTTTGTAACTGGGTTTGTTTGTGTTTCCAATAAAAAACATAGTTTGTGTGTATGTCTGTGCCGCTGTCAGCATGTCGGGAGGATATCTAGATAGGTAATGGATTTTGAAGGTACGTATCACAGCGGCCCGGCTCCTAATAAAACGTCCGGTAGCTTTGGAAAAGAGGGAAGACCGCAACGCGTGCGATAGACGCGTCGCGCAATTGCGAAAGCAGGCCTGCGCAGCTATTCTATGCGGTTGCTATTCCGCGCACCCGCACGCAACGCGCGAAAAACACGTACAGTACGCCCTTTCCCTGAACCATCCGGACCGAACCCATGGGCGGTTGTGGTATGACACGTCAGGAAGTGCGTAACGACTCTGGGATGACTGCACTTTTATCAGAATTGACCAAATTACTTGTTTTAAATAGTTAATTTCTGCCGTTTTGTAACAATTTCAGCACCCATAATGTTAGGAAAAATTAGCATCCGCCGGAAGTGGGGGGCAGCCTAGATATAACACGAGAGAGTGGCATTTTTCATTTTTCTCACCCGAATTTGAGAGACGTATGCAGATGAAGAAGATTATCGCGGCTAGACAGCGCCAGGGTTGAAAAGTCGCGCAGCGGTTTTTCAACCCTGGTATAGATTATAAAGCGTTGGACCGGGCTGGCTTTCCACACCCCCATCGATCCCTTTTTGTCTAAGCTTGTAGAAATCCTTGTCTCACGAAATATCAATTTGTATTGTTGTTTTGAGGGAAATGTTTGCAATGGCCCGTCTCCCTGGAGACTTGCAGTCGGCAGTAATTGACCGGCTCGGCTTTCACGATTTGCACGCCCTACAACGCGTCAACAAGGAATATAGGCGAGGATTTGGGTTTTTAGGAATATAATGCAATAATAAAGATAATTCTAGCTCATGCAATTATCTGACTCGTTGCAGAACTGTCGTGAATCGACGAGGAGCGATGCCACGAAGGGTGACCAGGATCTGGATCACCGCCAATCTGCCGTTCGATGATGCTGATGTAGAAGATGAAGGGGAAAAAGTTTATATTTTTTGACAAATCTTTCGATTCAGCCAGAATTTATCGATTAGAAGCGAGTTAGCTTTGCGAACCTTTCAGTTCAGGGGAGAACCAACATTTTTTCTAAGGATCCAATTTTTCTGATATAAATACAGGAATTGTTTCTAAATTGTTCCATCTTTCCTAAATGTTAAACCTTTACAAATTTTGTTTGGAAAGAGACAAAAATATAGATTTTTGTTTTGGCCAACAATAGCCGATCGACTTTCTACCAAAATTTCACCAAAAAAATTTTAAGGTTTTCGATGGCTGTGCGTGGCTTAAAATAGTGAAGTTTTATTGAAAACACTATTAAAGAGCTTACGGTATATGTCGGCTACGCGGGGGGGGGGGGATTTTACGCGGGGGGGACGGACTATTGGGGCCGAGCTAACTATTTTTTTGCGTTTCTTTTTGCTAGAAACAAAACTTAGTATATTTTTCGACGCTCTGTCGAATGGCACTAAAGAAATTTTGTAAAAATGTCGAAAATGTCGAAAACTTGATTTCCTTCTATGTCCTCCATGGAAACGACGTTTAATACTTGTTTTTGTTATAACTATTTTATATTACATTATTTTGAGCTAAAATTAAAACTCTTAGTATATTTTTGGATGCTCTATCGAATGGCATCTTTAAAATGTCGAAAAAATAGCGTGAATGTCAAAAACATCCGCTCAAACCGATTTTCAAAGCTTATTTTTGTATTTGCCATAACTTTTTTATATTACACTAATTTGAGCTAGAACAAAAACTCTTAGTATATTTTTCGGTGCTCTATCGAATGCCGTTGAAAAAATTCCGAGAAAATAGCGAGAACATCCAAAAAGGCCTGCCTGTCCCGTCCCCCCCGCGTAAAATTTCACCCCCCCCCCCCGCGTAGCCGACATATACCGAGCTTACTATTACGCGACTGGACATTTTTAGACACTTAGAAACAAATTTATGGTGCCTGTCTAGATTCTGGTGCGCAACACACAGATCAAAATTAGCACCGGGTATGGCGAGGAATATTCCTTTCAGAACTATGACAGGTACCGTCAATCTTCTAAGCGATTCCCTATTTTCAGCGGATTTTCCTCCGTATTCGGTCAGATTCTTCATCTCCTAACGAACATACAGTGTGTGCGTTATTTGCGGATAGTGACGGACGAAGGCAGTTTAGAGGTTTGTTTGCGCATTCCGTTTGTTTCTCCTAAATCCTTTTTTTCGTAAAAATCAGGCTTTTCTGGCAATTCCACCAGAGCCAGGAAACGTTTACCACCACTGTACTCTTTCCGGGGGGTTGCGGTAAGCTACTCCTTTTTGCTACAGCTATTTTATAATACGTTATCCTGAGTTGTAGCGAAAACTCTTTCGAATATTTTTGACGCTCCTTCGAATGACCGTTAATAAATTTTGTAAAAGTATTTAAAATATCGAAAACTAGCTTCTCACTTAAGGTTCGCATGTGGAATTCATGTCTAAATCTTGTGTTCGCTAGAACTATTTTATCTTACGCTTTTTTCAAATTAAATTAAAACGGTTAGTATAGTTTTTGACGCTCTATCGAATGGTCTCTTCAAAATACCGAAAATGGCGAATATATCGAAAACTGGGATGCCTCCCCCAGTTTCAAAAGCTATTTTTGTGATCGCTCTAACTTTTTAAATTACAACCAGCGCCCAAAACCCGCTTCGCGCATTTGGTTTTTGCCTGAACAAAGAATTACCTAATCGTGCATAACACAAAAATTTTCTGATATTTAGATTGCTAAAATGGGTTAAAAATTTATTTTGATTTATTTTCGATTAGATGATCTTTGATTAGACGATTTTCGATCAGGTGTATTTTCGATCAGGTGATTATACGCAAATCCCCCCTTCGCATAATTTTCCCCCCTCACGAAATAGAACAGAACCCACGCGCTAATTACGGTTGCTTCAGTTGCGCGCGAGAGCGTATCAGGTTGAAGAAGGGCATACGGAGGACAGCCGCGTTTACGACGTGAGTATTTTACAACTGAATATGGAGAAGAGACGTTGTAACCGGCTTTACGGCTTCGTTTCTAGAACCACTAAAAAAAGCCGAATTTCAGTTAGCGCCATTTTTCCGCGGACTGAAAGCTGTTCAGGAGATGGACCTGAAAGGTTCGAGCGCGGAGTTATTCCGGAAAATCCACGCCAACTATTCGAATGGCTTTGATGAGCTGAAGGTCACGGTGAGCGAACTCTCTTGCCCGGAATCGGACCCCCCCCCCCCCCCAGGGCCCGGAGAAAGCTCGGATTGGGGTGGTTTCTACACCATGCGAACCCTTGAAAAGGCCAGAAAAAGCGGGTTTCGTTTTCTTAAATTATTCACATTTGCTTGATATTAAGCGTTTTTTTTCTGTGGCGACATTGCAATTAACATGCGGGGCTGGTACCAGATTTCAAAATTTTACTAGGGTAGTAACCGGTTTTTACTACCCCGATTAAAATTGTTACTACCCTGGTTAAAAAAAATACTACCGGCTAAAATTTTGGTACTAGGGGTCCTAAAAAAGTTACCACCCCGCGGAAAAGTGCCGATTTTTAGTCGAAATCAAGCTAATTGCTCCGGAATAAACTAGTGAAGCATCACTACGGCCAGTAAAAAAGTACCCGAACCAGCCAGGTACACGAACCGGCAATTTTAGCTGACAGTGTGGTTAGCGAAACTCCAAATCTATAAAAAACTTCTAAGAAAGGATAAGAAGTTCTAAGCAGTGCCATCGGCTTCATTGCCATCAAAGCTTTTTCCCTTGGTGTTATATACGATGAAGAACCAAAAATCCAATCGGGTCTTGAGTCTCACTCTGACAAAAAAAATATTTGGCGGTATTAGTCTCAAATTATTGACCCTGGCCTCTTTCACAAGCACCATAAAGTTGCCGTAGGAATAACCACTACCAAGATAATCGGTTCCGGCCCTGAGTTAAATGCCGAAATATGCGAAAAAAGTAAATCGGAACAGTTTTACGAACTGGGTAACGCGATTTTTCATGATTGGAAAAAATAAAAAATCTGGCGGATCAGCCCTGCAATTCCATCGCTAGGGTTAGATAGAGCATTTGGGTACCGGGACACGCGCGCTGCGGACGCTTGCGCCGCTAAAACAGTTTCGTCTCACCGGTTTTCTAAGATTCGATAAGATTTCCACTCACCAAGTATATTAGTACATATTTCTCTTCACTTGTGAATTTTTGATCAACGCTACCGATTTAAGGTCCTCAAGATAGATCTTGACTTAATTTTTCAAAAAATATCGCTACTTTTGAAAGGAGAATTTTCGTTAAAAAAAAGGAGAATTTTCTTTGAACTGAGCGAGAAAACAGTCAAAAAATTGAGAATTATAATTTTTACGAAGCCGTTGGGACGGACATTTTGCTTTACCAGTACTGAAAATGTTACCACCCTAGTAAAAAAAGTTACATGAAAAAACATTGATGTATCTTTTTTTTACTAGGGTAGTAACTATGTTTAGTGGCCATTTAATCATGAAAATACATAGTATGTGACTTTTTATTGACAGAGACCAGTAGACCGATGGCCTATCTTTCATACGAAATCATGTTTAGCCCGCTTGGTGCCCATTGACCGGAATTACATCGTTTTCTACAAAACGGGTTACTACCCCCTAGTAACAAAAAGTGGCACACCACCCCAGAGAAATTTTTTTACTCCGGGGTAACTTTTTTTTACCCGGGTGTAACTTTTTTGATCCCCCTAGTAAAAAATTATATCGGGGTAGTAACTTATTTAGCCGGGGTAGTAAACTTTTTGTCGGCGTTCCCTGTCGAGCCTTGTCGGTATTTTTCGTATCTGTCTTTGCAAAAACACGGGTTTGCCTCTCAACAACGATGCGACACCGGCCCCGAACTTTTTTTTTGCGACTGAGACCTGTTAAATTTATTTTAAAATTGCGCTAAAACGTCCCGCTCGGGGTCCGTAATCCGGGTCACGGGCCACTTATCGGGGTAGTAAGAAATTATACTACCCTAGTAACTTTTTACTACCCTGGGCCGGGGTAGTAAACGAAATTTGGTACCAGCCCGGATCATATACAGCTCTTTTCACAGTTTTCAGCCATACAAATGCACAATTCAATGACCTAATCTAGAAAACAAAACTGCTTGTATTCTCGCCATTTCGAGCGCTTTCTATTGGTACCTGAATCATGAAAATCGGGCACGGCTGCAGATCTTTAGGTATGGGGGGGGCTTCTATAATTACGATACTACGATTCTGGCAATAATGAAAAATGACTAAAAAACTGTGCCGGGAAACGCTGCGTTGATGGAGGCGGATTGTGTGGAATTGTGGACGGGCTGGTGTGGAAGATGGCGCCCGGGACGACAACCGATCCTCCGCTTTCATAAATCACACAGCACCGACGACGTGGTAGAGCTGACTATGGTTGGTGCTAGTTGGCGGCGGCCTTTAATGGCCTTTCCTTGTCTATTTCGCGGCACAAACACCATGTATCTAGATGTCATTTTGCTTGGGGAGACCGTCGAGACGTGGGCTGGCACACGAAATCTGGATTGATTACCCCTCGTTCGATGCCGACGAATTCATGGTACGGTCATGGAAATGTGTTGTGGCGGCTGAGAACAGGGCTCATGTTCAGGAGCATCAATGATTGCCCTTCTCAATGAGGGCAATAAAAACAGGCTTTACAGCGAGAATTCGAGCAACGACTTCGGGACGCGGCACCCGGCATAAACATCGAACGGCTCCATGAAACGGATCCGGATGCCATAATCTCAAAAGAAAGGGTTAATGCTTGCGCAGAAGTAAGAATACTGTATGAAATTGCAGGAATTGTGGCCACTTGAACGATTTCAGACCAGAAACCAGAAACAGAAAATTAGCATGCCGAATTTTCAGAATCTCGATACTCCGATTGGATGTAGGTCGGCAATCACTGAAGCTCTTAATGATTCAGACTATGGAAATGTCGAGATTCTGAAAATCGTAGATCTGATTGCTTGACTCTGATTATCGAGATCTCCGATTTTCAAGATTTTGACAGATTCCCCAATTGCATACCCGCGATTCAAATAGCTTATACCTGATCTTCCATGTATGTAGAAGATGGAATAACGTATCGTTCAGCTATTCGCACGAAATCGTAAAATGTCACAACACCGCTATTCAGTTAACACCGGCGCACGGGATTCATGGCTATTTCCGGATTTTTGTTGGTGGAAAAGGTAGGTCCGTTCCATCGCGATCAATGATGGCGGCCAGACAGGCTAGACTGACTGAAACGGCCCAAAAATTTCTAAAACGATAATGAATCGAGATGGCAGCTTTAGGTTTCCTCGTAGCCCTCGAGGTAGGGGCGCCGGAGCAGGAAGAGGACGAAGACGACGGGTATATCTCTATAGAGAAGTTTCTGTGGATTTTCGATCGGTGACCACATGGAAACAACGTTAGACAAAACGATTTGAAATGAATTTGAACAATTTACTCCTTGCGCCCGGAATAAAACCATTTCTCCAGAACCAACACACAAATATCATGTACATGCCATTCGCTCAAACATTCAACCGGACGCCCGCAAACAGCGTAATACCATTTCCTAAAAACAACGAAAAGGATCAGATTCAGCGCATCCAAATTACGTTTGCTTAACTGGGTTGCGGTAGCTTCGAAATTGCCATTTTTCGTGATTTTCGGCATTTTCCGGATACTGTAGTTTCCAAATTACGGTTTTTGTGTTGGGTAACGGTAGCTTCGAAATCGCGATTTTTCGCGTTTTTCCTTGAAAATCTCCAAAATCTTCGAGAATGGATTTCCAGACCAAGTAAAGTTTAATAAATCTAATCTAAACTAATCACTTTTTTGGCAAAATTCACACTGAACCCGAATCGTTTATTGGCATGTACAATCAAATACGGTGAAAAAGAGCGAATTCTGCCGTCATTACTGCTTGCTGGGCGTGATGAGCGCGTACTCGATGCCCGACTGTTCGACACGTCCATCCTTGATCAGCTTGTCGAGGTGGAGGACGACGTTGTTGCGGGCGGCCAGGCGGACCGAGGGCGGCGTTGTCTAAAAAGCACCAAATGAACGTTTTTCCGAGATGTGAAAAGTCAAGGAAGAAAAAATAGTTTCAGTAACTCACCGAATACACGGTGTTGACAATATCCATGCTGGTGACACGCCCGGCTCCCGTCATGAACTCGACGATGTCGTTCTCACGTTTTGACCGATGAAAGATGTACTCTTCGACCTTCTTCCGCGCTTCATTTACGACTGGGCCGTGTCCTAACAACACAAAAACCCTAAGTAAAACGCCGCGCACCTCACCTGGATAAATGACGGTTGGCTCGAGCTCCAGTATCCGCTTCAGACTGATCATATAATCGCGTAAACACTCGAAAACGGAAGTGCCTTCGCCGAGGATGCAGTCACCCTGAAGAAAAAAAAACGATGAAAACCGATAAAAATGTACCGAAAACAGCGCCCGATCCTCTTCTAGCCAAATTGACGAATGGTCGGCGGTGTGGCCCGGTGTCGCGATGAATCTGAAACCAAACTTCAGTGTTTTTTTCACGAAAAACATACTTTAGCGTGGCTCCATCAACGGAAACCTTGAAGCCATCATCTACATAGTTAAAATCGATGCCCTCGTTGTGATGATCACGCTTGATTTTATATATTGGCACAGGCTTGCCGATGACCTAAAAATACTAATGTTGCCAGCGAAAATCTAAAACCGGTACCTCATCGATGACATTCTTCAGCCCGCCGACGTGATCCAAATGCCAGTGGGTGACGACGATCGATGAAATTGTGGCTTTCTCAAACAACTTTTGGGAGAAAACAAATGAATACCTACCTCGTTCGCGAGCACCGACTTCAACTCCGAGATGTAGGCGTTGTTGTTCTGCTCGCCGGCGTCGATTAGTATTCGTCTAAAATGGTTTGAAAATTAACGAAACCGCGGTTACTCTGCGCCATGTCCGACGAGGTATGTGTTCGTTCCTTGGAGTGTGAAGGGGCCGGGGTTTTGGCCAAGGATTCGGGTGACACGGGTTGAGATCTAAAACGGACTACTTTCATCAAAACCCGGAACGGACGCGTATTTTGAAGCGGCTTTCTGAGTCGAGGATACAGTTTGCGCATCTCGAGTTATTTTTTTTGCGTGGTGTAGTTTGACGTCAGTACTTCCTTGCCACTGATAAGAAACGCGTGTAGAAACGCAGGAGTCCTGTAGTTCACTTTCTGCTAACAAAGAGCCGTTCTTCCAGGTGATCGTTGGGACATAAATGATTCGAAGCAATGCCTTAGAAAAGTTGCTCCAATTTACGGAGCAATTTTACCCATTTTTTTACCCCGCCTAATAAAATTCAAGGATTAAGCAACTTTTTCTCGCTGATTGTTAGACTCCAGCAGATTTTGCAAGACCGGATGTGTGCAGAATTTAAACATCTTTCAAATGAGCCTTGCCACGCCGCGAAAAATCCAATATAACGCAATCGAAAAGCCCGAACCCTCGAGAAACTCACCTTTTCCACCGACTGTAACGGGGTCAGCGACGCCATGGCTTTGTGGAGACGACTGGCCCACAGGTAGGAGACGGCGGCCGTCGAGAGGCCGAAGATGTAGCGCAGATATACCGACATGCCCCGCCCGCTGCTCGCCAACGCGCTTATCGCTCTCACACTCGGGGGACGCGGAGCACAAACCACAGTACGGAGCACGGGAGGCTGAAAAGGGGGAAATTGTTATGGAAATCCGCCAACGAAAGGTCAACGCAAAGGAAACAAGATGAATTCTTCCGCATTATTGGGGAGGGGGACCAATGCTCTTTCTTAGGATCCAATTTTTTAATTATAAATAGCGGAAGTCTTTCTAAACTGTTTTCGACTAGTCCTAAACGGAAGAACCTACAAATATGTATTAAAAACACCGATTTTTGACCAGATATCGACTTTTAAAAAACTTTTAGATAGTTTTTCTAGTTGAAATATTTTATATTTCACTAAAACCACTATTAAAACACTCCCTATTAATAGGGTTAATTAAGTTACTAGGCATTTCTAGAGCTACACAAAAAATTAGGTTTCTCCCCCCGGTAATGCAAAAGAACCGAGAAGTGTTATACGAGAACCAATGGTTGGCAAGTGCCCAAAAACACGGAAAAGTTAGAATCTATAGCGTTAGGTGTTTCCATAAGCCCAAGAGGTCTAAAATTCCGCGTGAGGAAGTCATACAGCTGGCTGGAACCTCTAGGTAACTTATCTACTTTAAAAAAAGGTGAATTAATAGGCAAACTGTCCATTAATTATGTTTGCTGTGGCAGTGCGAACCAATGAACGTACCAAAAGTTCTCAAGGTTGCGATCGAAAAGATTAGCAGCGTTTTCACGTCGCCCTCGACCCGGGAATACCTTTAAAAATACCTCTTTAAAATGGCATACATTAACTTCCTAAAGTCTTTGCTACAGAGCATCGACAGAAAAATTTGTACTTATTTTTGTTTTTGTTCAGGGGTTGACAACGGGCCGGGCCTCACGGCCCGGGCCTGGATTTCGGGATCCGGGCCGGGCCGGGCCGGGCCCGGGTTTTTGTGCCGGGCCCGTAGGGCCCGGATCGGGCCCGATTTTGGCAATTTTTAGGCGATTTTTGCGAATTTTCGGCCAAAAATCGTAATTTTTTTCAATTTTTTTTTCGGAATTTTTCCAAACTCTTCCAACTTTTTTAGATTTTTGGCCTTGGATTTTGGCTTTTGGGCCGGGCCGGGCCGGGCCTGGGGTCGGCTGGGCCCGGCTTCCGGGCCTCGGCCCGGCCCGGCCCGGCCCGTTGTCAAGGCCTGTTTTTGTTGAAATTATGTATTTTTTTCGTGCCTTTCGGCGCTAGTACGTGGGCGTACTACTGACGCTCACACCCTGTCCTCTCCCAAGCAGACAGTCCGCAAATTTTTGTCATGCAGCTTTTATGAAAAGCAAAATTCTGAACTCCCTTCTTTATTGATGAAATCTTCTCTTTCATCTCAATATTTTCGAATCCTTCTTTATCTTTCCCTTTCAGTGTCGACCTCTAGCCCAACACCCCCCACAACGCCGACATGTCGATTATGAGCTACAATGGAGGCACGGTGCTCGCCATGGCGGGCAACGAGTGAGTTTTCGGATCAATTTTTCAATTGTATTTTTAGGTGCGTGTGCCTGGCGACCGACTTGCGTTTCGGTGAGCAGATGACGACGGTCGCCGTCGACCAGAAGAAGGTTGATCCTTGTCTTTAGCCCTTAAAAGTTGTTTCAGATTCACAAGATCTCCGATAAGGCGTACCTTGGACTGGCGGGATTTGCCTCTGATGCCAAGACTGGTTGGATTCCTTTTTATCGGTTTGATTTTCGTGTTTAGTCCTCGAGAAGGTCCAGTTCCGGAAGAGCCTGTACGAGCTGCGCGAGAACCGCAAGATGAAGCCGGAGGTGTTGGCCACGATGGTCTCCAACTTGTGCTACCAGCACCGCTTTGGTACGAAAAGCGTTTTGTGCGAGGAATTCTTTTTAGGATCTTACTTCACCGAGCCGTTGGTCGCAGGGCTGGATCCGGTGACGCACAAGCCCTACATTTGCGCCATGGACACGATCGGGTATTTGGAACTAGTTTTATGAATGTCTTTTTAGTTGCATTGCCGCACCACGAGACTTTGTCGCCGTCGGCACTGGGCAAGAATACTTATTGGGCGTCTGTGAAAGTGGGTTTCTAGCTTTCAAAAAATTTTATTTTTATTTAGCTTTCTGGCGCGAGAACATGAATGCCGAGGAGCTGTTCGAAGCAACTGCCCAATCAATGCTGTCGGCCCTCGAGCGTGACGCTGCCAGTGGATGGGGAGCCGTCGTCTACACCATCACCAAGGACAAGGTAACGGTTTCGTTTTTCGCCTGTTTTGCAAGGAGAGCAATGTGTTGCCGACGTCTGCAGGATGTCCCAAAACACACCCTCTGGGAGGTGGCTCCGATCGGAGTTACAGTGACACCATCAACTATAATAAAAAAAGTTGTGGTGTCTGTCCGTCTGTCCGGTCCCGAATTCAACTCGAAGGGGAAAGGAGCTAGAGCTTAGCTCTCTTCGGATTCGGATAGAGCGTGGTCAGAAACCCCCAAACTGATAAAAAAATTATGAAAAAGTTTTAGTTTAAATTGTTAAAATTAACTTTGAAAGTTTTTTTCCTTAGTAAAAGGGGTGGGGGTCGGAGGTTGGGGCGATTTTGGACATAGTAAGCCAGGTGGCGCGCGTTTCGTGGATGAAAATTTTCACGGGGATTTCATTTATTTTTTTCTCTCATTCCATCCGGTCGGTCGTTATTTTTGTTTTTTAAGGAGATTTCGGCTAGGGGAGGTATCTAAAGTCTTCAGGGAGGTATTTAGGTAGTTTTTGAAGGGTTTTCGGCTATGGGGGGTATCTGAAGCCTTAGCGTGGGTATTGTTGGAGGTAGGGAAGGATGTGGTGGAGTAGAACATGTAGGGTAGCCCGAAGGCCAGATGGTTGCAGTCGCGAAGCGACTGTAACCATCTGGTTCCTTGAGAGATCATTGAGATTGCGGGGATATACGTGACTGTCATTGAAACTAGGACGTTTTTGTAACGAAGAAACCCCCGTTTGCGTTCAATTCACGTCTACTTCCGTCTATTTTGAAGTAGAGACAAGTTAGCTTTTGTCAAGAGGCGTGCCCTTTTACAAAGTATAGGATTGCGCTCATAAAGCAACTCCACCAATCCTTTAGCTTTATACGAGCACTTTATGCTTTGTAAAAGTTCACACTCGCCGTCTTATAGACTTATTGGGAATGATAGCTGGGTGTCGAAACCCGTGACGAGATAGTGTGCCTGTTTAGGGGGCACCCTGTGTACCGGTTTTGTTCCCTACTCGTTAATTCCTGTTTTCCAGGTGAACATCAGCACAATCAAGGGACGCCTCGACTAATCGCCACCACTGCCTTTTTATTCCGGACTGCGTTTTACTGCATAAATTATACATCACCCGAAATTAACTGAATTGCAAAGAGACTAGGAAATCACATTATATGTCCACTCATCGAAATTCAGATGGTGCGCGTCGGTCCGCCAGCCGATCTTTTGTAACTTTGCCGTGAAGTCGTTGAAGTCCCTGGGCTGCGTTTGCACTTTGAGTTGCTCGAGGGCGAAGAAGGCTTCTAGCTGGTCGACGGCCTCGCTTCCTTCAGCCATTGCCACCCAGGCAAAGCCTCGTCGCTTGTCGTACAATATCCGGCTTTTCGCGTGCTCTGTGTAGATGGTGTATTCAGGAGACCTGAAATCTCCGCTATTCAAGTCGCCGGAATTCGCGATGTCTTCGAAACTATAAGCCGCATACCTCCTTTGTTTCTCTTCGAGAAGCGACAGCAGCGAGCATCCAAGATGCCTCAGCGGGTAGAGCCCATGGAAAAGTGGCTCCCGTTCGTTCGCCTCGTCAATGTCGAGAATTCTGCCAGTCTCCAAGTAATTCCTAAAACCGAATCTACATTTTTAGAAGCCTAGAAATACCTTATGACAAGCGCAGCCCTTTTCCCGTTGAGCACATTGAAGCGGAGGGTGCGCATCGCACGATAGTTGGCGAACAAGTGCAGGGCGGTGAGGAGCTGAAAAAGCGGCTGGAAACGCTCCATGAAAAACTGACCGCGAACAGGCACCAGATGACGAGATGACGTCCGGAGACGGCGGGAAGGAGCACGAGCGACACGACGAGCGCCAGCGCGTTCACCAGCGTCTCCTGGCTGCCGTCCTTGGCCGCCACGTCAGCCAGGTTGTTGCGGCGGGCCTGAAAAATGGAAGAGTTGCTAGTTCAAAAGCTTAATTTGTTCTATACCGGTAAGCTGGATTTTTTATGAAATCGGGGATTTTGGTTTGGAATCTTCGAAATCGGGGATTTTAGCCCGTCCGATCGGCCCTTTTAAAAGCCCCGATTTCGATTGCTCCAAAATCTAGCGGATTTTCCCCCTTTTTTGAATCCACGATTTCGGGAAAAATCACCGATTGCTGGAAAAAACCCCGGATTTCGAAGATTCCAAACTAAAATCCCCGATTTCATACAAAGTACGGCCCCGATACAAAAAACTGCTTAATTAAGCATGTTTTCAAAGTCCAAATTGCACGAACCTGATGTTGTACAATGGTGGTGCGGGTCGCCCCGCCGGCCACGCCGACCACGCAGCGGAACAGCGAGGAGCAGCACGCCGAGAGGAGGAACCTAAACATGAGAAAATTTTTCGGAATGCCTCACTATAATATTAATTTTTCTGTAAATCCCCCAGCCTCTCTTAACACCCTACCAATTCGGCCACAACGGACTGAGCAGGTCGATGAAGAAGGCGCAGTCGTTGAGCACGTCGGCGACGAGTCGCCACTTTTTACAGTCGTAGTCGAGTTGGCTGCCTGGAGAAGAAGAGCTGTAGTTTGTGATATAACAAAGGTTTACCCTTCGCGGACGCGAACAGTATCCGGCCCACCATCCCCAGTCCGTCCTTCACCAGCCACGTCATCGACGCCGCCAGCGCCGTGGCTGCCTGGAAATCCATTTTAATCAAGGGGGAAACCTATCTAAGAAACTCACAAAAACGTTTAAAAGTTGAAACTATATCGAAAATATAATTCTTTTTTAGTGTTGACAAAAATTAGGAGCGTTTTGACGCTTCGAAACATAGAATAAAAGTGGAGAAGCAGAATTTGGAAATGCTAGCAGCTGGTGTGCGTTGCGAAATATTTGCGAGATTGCATACGGATTCGGTGGTCATTTTCGGGTTGGTTTCTGCGGTTTTCGAAAATTTTAAAACTTTTTCACCGTAAATTCACCATACTAATTTTTCAAATATTTTTCTAACATTTTTTGGACCTTTCATTTTTTCTAATATACTATAAACAGTATAAAATACGGTTCTCCCTGTAATTAGCTTTCTCCGTATCTCCCCCCTCACAAGGCCACCCCTAGCGATTCCGCCACCATCCGGCAATCCCCGTAATCCACGCATTAGTCTCGCTTCACCGTGCCTTTAATGCGGCCGCCACGAGATAGGAATTGGATCATATTCGGGGTATCTTGGTGTCGGATCCGCGTCTTCCCCTGGAAACCAGAGGGGGGATGTCCTGCGAAAATTTACGACCCGCTCGCCGGCCGGGGGCATATGTAGCCGCCCGAGGGCCCATGACGGGAGACGCCTCTTTGCATTTGCAAGTACCTCAAAAGTCTGTGGGGCAGGCACACATACGCACACATGCCAACACGTAGCTCCCCGTAACTTTTGCGCCTGATGCTTTGGACCTGCTAATCGGGGGGTAGGCTAGCAGGGATTCTAGCGGAACCCTCACAGCCGCAGTTTAGCGGGCAAGCTAGCAGAGATTCCGGTTCTGGACTGTTAGCGGGGGGAACCAAATTTTTCCCTGTGATCATCGACGGCCCTATAACAAAATATAGACGATTTTTACGGAATCTTACATCGTTTTGTGATATATAAAAACAATGCAAAAATCATCAACGAATTTCAGCCTTTTTGGGCAAAAATGTAGGAATAATGACCAAAAAAGTAAAAATTTTCAATATATCAAAATTAAAAAAAATAGTTTTTAGAATTTTGATAGCACTCAAAAATCACTAAAAACACTAGAAAAATACAGAATATAATATCAACAGTTGGAAGAACAAAAAGCGTTTTTCTCCCCCTGCTAAAAATCCCCCCCCCCACCGCTAACGGTCCAGAACCGAGATTCTTGCGGGGTAGGTACGGATCCAGTTATATGGGTAAGCTAGCAAATATTCTTGCTGAAGATGAGGGGATTCCGGATTAGGCAGACTAGCCGGGATTCTTGAGGAAGACCAGCTGAATCGAGACTAGGCAAGCTAGCAGGGGTTCTTGAGGCAGTCGAGGGGATTCTCGAACAGACAGGCTAGCAGGGAACCTTGGAGCAAGTAAGGACGGTTCTAGTTGATCGGGCAGGCTAGCAGAGACGCTTGGAGAGGGCGATGGAATCTGGGCTGCACAGGCAGGCTAGCAGAGATCATTGGGGACCTCCCAAAATTCACCTCTTTTCCAAGCGTAGGACCCGATGTCAGCCCCACTGGAGCGTTAGATGGTTTTGTTTTTCCACAGAAAGCTTCCGTTCCGGCACTCCACATATATCCAACCCTTGGTTAGCCACACCGGGTGGTCAAGGGCCGGGGTCGAGCTTGGGCCATAGGGCTGTGATTGAAACCGGAAACCTGGGGAAGCAGGGCGAGGGCATTTTCCGCTTCCCTCCCTCTCCCTCTCCCTCTCTCTCTCTCGTCGCTCTCTCGTCGCTCTCTCGCCGGCAAAGGTACCGCCGGAATGGTGCCAGATGGTGCCCTGGGGGCATGTCCGCCCAGTCCCCCCGCGCAGGCCCATTACTCTGCCCGTTTGGGCGAACCGCTGTACCGGAATAAACGATAGGTGAATGTGGGGTTAAGCGTGTTCCAATCTGTGTTTTTCTCTCTCTCTCTCTCGTTTCTTTCGCTCTCACTCGCCCTCCCTCGCTCGCTCTCGCTTTCCTCAAAGTGGGTTGAACAGTTGGTCATTTTTCATACATTTTTCAGCAAAAAGTCAAAAATTTTCGAAAATTTTATTATTTTTTATATTGTTTTTATATCTAAAAATTCGGTAAAATTTTGTAAAAACGGTTTATGTTTTGGGATATGGCCGCAGAGAATCACAAGGTAAAATTTAGAAAATTTTTCTCTCTCTCTGCTCTCTCTCTCCCTCTCTCTCTCTCTCTCTCTCTCTCTATTCTCTCTCTCTCTCTCTGTCGCTTACCTTAAACTTCACCTCAAACCCGATATTTCTAGCTTTTCGGATCCTCAGCTGACCTCCTCCCCCGGCGCCTCCCCCCAGCGATTCCATTATGCACGCGGCTTGGCCGAGGTGTTTATGCGCGGACCCATGGTCCCCGCGGCATCCCCGGCTACGACCCCATACTATTCCCGTTTCCACGGGTTTCGCGTGCGGCGCGCATTTTAGCCACAAACCCTTCCAGATCTCTTTAAAGAGGCGGAAAGTCCCAACGATAGATCGTTGTCTATGGATTGCCACCGGCGTTTTCCGCGACCGCGACACGCAACGCGTACGAGAGTCTTTTGCCTCGAGGAATTGGTAGACCTGCTAGAAAGCCCGCTAATTGTTCGTGCTCCCCCTCCCAAACTTCCGCTCGTTTCCAAAATTTCCGCTGTCCCCCGTCAGCCCGAAAAACCTCGTGCTCGTCTGCTGGGGATCTCCGAAAATTCGGACGAAAATTGTGGACAGGGCCGTTTAGGGGTCCCCGGGGAACGCGTCTTCCCCCTTGGACCCCTCAAAGATTGACGCTCCGATTTTGCCTCCTCCTTCCAAAGGCCCAAGCACCACGCCAAAATACGCGCAATTCCCCGGGTATTAAGAAAATATTGGCTTCTCGGACCTTAAATTCGTTATATCTGTCAGCCAGCCCCCTTCCTTCCCCAAATGATCTCTGCTAGCCTGCCCCTTCCATTCCCAAATGATCTCTGCTAGTCTGCCCCTTCCATTCCCAAATGATCTCTGCTAGCCTGTCCCTTCCATTCCCAAATGATCTCTGCTAGCCTGCCCCTTCCATTCCCAAATGATCTCTGCTAGCCTGTCCCTTCCATTCCCAAATGATCTCTGCTAGCCTGCCCCTTCCATTCCCAAATGATCTCTGCTAGCCTGCCCCTTCCATTCCCAAATGATCTCTGCTAGCCTGCCCCTTCCATTCCCAAATGATCTCTGCTAGCCTGCCTTCCTACATAAAAACGCCTCCAAAAGTACTTTTTATTTTTATCAAGTTTTCCAAAGCTCCACAAAAATCTGTTAGCCTGCCCGGCCAATTTTGGAGCCCAAAATCCCACCTCATTCCCGACGCCGGCCCCCTTCAGCACGGCTTCCGTCGCCAGGGCGCCTAAAATTAAAATTTTCATTTTTTCCGGGCCTAAACTAGCCAATAATCGAGCTCGCGAACGCCTGGACGGTGTCCCAGATCTGGTACTCCAGATAGTCGGCCGTCACGGTGTGCGGGTAGCCTGAAAAATGCGAAATTAGCCCAAACTTCTGATTTTTTTCTTAGCAAGTTTCATCGTCCTTCCCCGTACTAGACGGTTAGCAGGGGGGGCTAATTTCCGTTTTACAGCCTGTCCATATTACGTCGTGTATTATTAAACTGTTTTTAGTAGTTGTTGATTGCTACTAAGTTAAAAAATATTTTCAAAATTTTGCAATTCTGAAAATTTTACCATTTTTGGTTTGTTTTCGTACATTTTACTAAAAACTAGAAAAATTCATGATATTTCGAAATTTTCTTTACTTTTTTATGCGATTTTTATCTCTAAAAATTTTGTAAGAAGCTGTCCAATAGCGTCTATTTTGCCATAGGATCGTAGAGCCTGGTTCTTTAGGATTCCCGGGGGGAAAGTATTCCCGGGGGAAACCAATTTTTTTCCTGGTGGTCCCGGTGGACCTAGTAATCAAATATAAAGTGTTTTCGAATTGTTTTTAGTAAGTTTTAACTATATTTAAAGCAGAATAACTTTCAGAAAAATTTAGAAAAATGTTTGAAAAGGTCGAAAATTTGGTCATTTTGGGTCTATTTTTCGACCTAATTTTTAATTTTTTACATTTTTTTTTGGTTAAAATGTGTGTAGTTTTTATGCACAGGAATAGTTAAAAACAATTTAGAAACGCATCCGCAATTTATACAAAAATCTAGGCTTTCGCCGAAAAAAATTTGTTTTCCCCCCCCGGGAATACTTTCCCCCCCCGGGAATCCTAAAGAACCTAGAGCCTTATTAGGCAAAATTAGTTTTCGATCAGCTAACCCCCCCCCCGGCTAATGGTCCAGTACCAATTTCTCTCGTGCCGAAATGACCAAAACCGACCTTGCGGCAAAAACCACGCGCAAAAGAGGAGCCTCAGCGTCGTCGAGCCGCTCTGCGTGCTGACCGCTTCGACTTGGCCATCTTTTATTTTGAGCTTATGCCGCCCTTTCCTCGAATACGATTCGGCATATGTTGTCATTCCGGGTTTGGCGTCTAAAAAATAGTTTTGGCACGCTAGGAAGAGAAAAGGAAATGCGAAAAAGCCATATACGTTGCTAGAGGCGTGTCTTTTTGGTACTGGTCTGTTAGCAGGGGGGAACTAATTTTTCCAGCAATCCTGCACGGTCCTATCAGAAAATAGAAGGCATTTTGATAGCGTTTGACACCGTTTTTAGCTGTAAAAATGCTAGAAAATCTATCAAATTTTCGCAGCTTTTTAGCTTTTGGTTTAAACATCTTGATCCATGAAAAAGGACCAAAAAAACGAAAATTTCGAATTTTCCCCGCTGTTTAAAATGTTTTTTTTTGTAACTTACTAGCAATCAAAAGCTACTAAAAACATTATAAGAGCTGATTTTTACTAACAGACAGGTGGGGGCGGAAAAACCCGAAAGTAGCCCCCCCCCCACTAACAGTCCAGTACCGTCTTTTTGGGACACCCTGTAGGGGCCAAAAACACGCGAAACCGCGAAAATACCGAGGGTTTTGGCAGGTTCTTTGGCAACCTAACCAGACGCAACGCCTCGACCCCCAATTTTCGCAATATTTCCCGAAAAATGATCACGTTTACCGCGACGTGGCCCTCGTTTCAAACCCCCGGCCCACCGCTTACGCAACGAAAACCCGGGGGGCCGGCGGTGCGGCGCGGCGCACACAATCGCGGCGTGGGGTGTAGCGGCGCGTACCCCCGGGCAGAGGCGGAAATGGGTGGGGGAAGTGGAGTGCGTGCCCGCATCACTTCCCACGCTCTGCGCCCGGCGCATGAGTCATCCAAATAGAAAAAGTTTTAAATTACGCTATCGGCCGTCGATTGGGGGATGGGCTGGGCTTCAGAATCGCGCAATTTTGTTTGGCATTTTCAGACGACCAATGGTATTCTGTGTAGATTTTGATGGTAATCAGCAAATTCCGTTTTTCACGTTTCCCCTCACGCTTATCACTATGACTTTTGCCGTAAAATCATTAATTTTATACTTTTGAGCTACTTTCGGTTACTGATTACGATGTTTTACACCTAATCTGCCTTTCGCATCGTCTGGAGACCAACGTTTTTTCCTTCTTTAGTATCTTATTCTTTAAATATAAATAGTGGAAGGGTCTCTAAGCTGTTTTACTATTCTTAAATCCAGAACCTTCATCAATTTATTCAAAAAAACAAGCTACAACATTGATTTTGCGACCCAAAATGGCCAATTTTTGTCCAAATCAAATTTTTCTTACTGGCATCGATCTTTTCCAGTTGAGATACAGTGGTGTTGGTTATAAAACACACTTAAAAAACGTTTAATCCCATATTTAGTTAGTTATAAATTATTTTCGTTATAGAATTGCGAAAATTAATATTAAAATTGTGTCATTAAGTTAGTGTGGACCGTTTGCCCGGATTTTGCTTGTTTGGGCCATAGTTTTTTTGTCTATTACATTAGTTTGGGATGTAATTAAGACCATGTTTTTCGATGTTTTATAAAATGACGACGAAAAGACCCCTAAAATCGCGAAAATATCGACAGTTTTGGGAGCGAGGCCGACACCCTCGTGACCCCCCGAAATGTTTCTTTCCAACGGAATGCTGTGCCGATCAGTGAATAGACCCCGCCGACAAAATATCGAATTCCTTGGCGGTTCCGGTCTATTTAGTTTTAGCAGCTGATAGAAAATAGCCGGAAACTCGTTCTAGAGTTTGCGCGGGTGCACTCTTTTGCTTATTTTGGTTCTATCTCCTTAGCGGGGGGCACTAGTTTTTTCTCGAAGCCCCGAAATACTTAGTGATGTGATACCGCGTGTTTTCTTAGTGTTTTTAAGAAAATTTCATTTGCTTTTAGATGAAAAATTCTGTTTAAAATATGGAAAATTGGAATGTTGGAATGTTTTTTTTGCCTTTTTCCGGAAATTTCTAAGGCTTTTGTGAAGTTTTCGGGTTTAGGAATAATTAAAACAGTTTATCAACACTTCTTCCTTTATATTAGAGGGATTGGGGCCTAGGCTAGCGAAAGCTCCCCCCCCCCCGATAACGCCCCAGATCCCTAAAAATTCACGAACTGGCCGATTTTTTCTGATTACCAGTCTTTTTCCCAGCTTTTTCTATGCTTCGTCTCTCTGTCGTTTGGTCATCAACCTCCACCAGTCCCCCGGCCATGCGCCCAAAAATGGCGAATTTCCCGGAGGGCCGCAACCGACCAGCCGGAACGCAATTTCCGGCGCCGGCAGCCATTTGCGGGTTTATGTGCTCGTTCGGCGGGACCCTGATGCGCGCAAAGGTCGGAAAACTTTCCGGGAAATTGAGAAACAATTTTTGAAACTTTCGCAGGAATTTGCGGGCCTCTTTGGACGCCTCCGCCTTGGCCTTGTTATTCTGTCGCAAAGGCTACCGTTTGCTTCCACTTGTTGTCGCATTTTTTTTGTGGAATCCAGGCAATTGGTCGCTAAATTATTTGGCGAATTTCGAACTTCTCCAGTTCCTAAATTCTCTCTGCCAGCCTGCCCCTTTCCATTCCCAAATGATCTCTGCTAGCCTGCCCCTTCCATTCCCAAATGATCTCTGCTAGCCTGCCCCTTCCATTCCAAATGATCTCTGCTAGCCTGCCCCTTCGATTCCTGCCGACGGGAGGGCAGCCAGCCAAACCAAAACGGGCAGGGTGCTGCGGGCTCAGATTTCAGAGATTTTTCGCGCGCGCCCCCACGGCGTCGAAAGCGAAATTTGAGGCGCCGCCGGCGATTCTCGTTTTGCGTGTGTTGCCAGACTCGTATTTACAACTGTGGAAATGGTTACCCGCAATCACATAGCAACAAGCCTCGACGGTAGATATCTGGCCCTAGCAAAGAAAGGCGTCGATTCTGGCGCTTCCTATTCCCTTGAAAGCTTAAGAATGGGGGGGGGGGGATAGGCTAGCAAAGATCATTGAGGAGATTTGCATTTGAAACTGACTTCCGACGGCACCGCCATCCATGCGCGAGTATTCCCCCAATGGCCTCTGTTTGTTCGCCCTCCCTCGGCTGGCGCTTGCCGTCAGGCTTTAGGCTACCGCCACACCGACGAAACCGTTTTCGCGAGTCCGGCCGCCCGTGTTCTCGCTATTTGCACAAGTTTTTCGCTTTTTTTCGCGGCTTCAAAGGTACCGGGAAGCTCCAAATTGGCCCCTTCCGTCGACTAGGTCTAGAGTTTTGGGGGTCTTTAGTCAGTCTAGACCTAGTCAAGGAATGGGGTAGATTTTTGCCTTCCGAGGCCGTTTAGACCAACGAAATATCCCGCGTTGATAGGACTAGGCTGGGAAAAATTTGCTTCCCGCCTCCAAATCGGCTTATTTGGGCGCGACCCGCTGATTGAAATGTTACCACCCGGGGCTAATCGATATTTTGCGGGCATTTCTGCGGGTATTTTTGTTGATAATTTGCTGTCCCTCTCTCTCTCGCTCTCTCTGTCTCGCTCTCTGTCTCTCTATATCTCTGTTTCTCTCTCCCTCTCTCTCTGTCTCGCTCTCTCGCTCTCTGTCTCTCTCTATCTTTCTCCTTCTCTTTCTCTGTCTCTCTCGCTCTCCGTCTCTCTATGTCTCTCTCTGTCTCTCTCTCTCCTTTATCCAAAGTCTTACGAGTTGCTGAGAAATAACAGGTTTTCCAGGTATCACCTTAGAATTGTTGGAATCAATAAAGTCGAAGGCTACACAAAAACAAACGCTCCACCCGACACCGCGATGACGGGCGGCAGCTCGTGCACGGAGGTGGTGCGCTCGCTGCTCCGCGCCCACTCCGACCACCAGGGGCCACACTGTTGCGTCGAGGTGGGCCGCTGGGGGTTTCTTTCATAAGGTCGAAATTTAGAAGTCGAAATTTACATAAGCTAACTAACTCGGAAAACTCCCCAAATTCTATGGAAAAAACTTTCGACACCATCGATTTTCGACATTAGCAATTTTCGATACGGCATTATGAGATAGACAATATCGATAATGTATTTTATAGTCGTTTTAGTGCTTTTGGATTGCTTTAAAGTCAAACGAATATTAAACAAATTGAAAATTAAAAAATTTTGGCCGTTTCTGGACCATTTCTCATGCATTTTTGTGTAAAAAGATTTACAAATCTTCGGCAAATTTTATAAGTTTTTTGGAGCTTTGATGCTTGAGGGCTTTTATGCTTTTTATGAGCTTTAATTTTCCAAAAAGCCTTCAAAAAATCAAATTGGATTACTGCGGGACCCCCCCGCTAACAGCCCAGTACCTAAATATCTGCGAAAAACGTAGTACCAATCAAATTTCAGCTTTTCCTCGATTTTGCCGAGCCCGTTCCCACCGACCAGGAGCGCCATCTGTACGAGTTGGCGGAGGCCGTCCTGGCAAAGGCTGCCGATCTGCTGCGGGATGTCAGGGGCTACGAGAAAGGTAAGTCCTTCTCTTTGTTTTATCCACACATTCGTGAAACGGCTTATTTTCAAAATGTCGAAATTCATAATGTCGAAATTCATAATTTCGAAATTCACAATGGCGAAATTCCATAATGTCGAAATTTCATAATGTCGAAATGTCAGAATGTCGAAAATTACATAAGCTAAAATTCCCGGTAAAGTCCCCGAATTCTAGGCAAAAATGTTGTCGTGAAATAAGATAAAAAAATAGAATGTGGAAAAAAATTTTTTGGCTAGGTTTTGGCGGTTTCACCGGTAATATTTGTAATATGTAAATTTCGAGTTCTGATTTTCGACATTCTGATTTTCGACATTATGATTTTCCACATTATGATTTTCGACATTTTGAATTTCGACATTATGATACCAATTCTCGTGAAACGATCCTAGCAAATGAAAGATCGATTTTCCAGGCGCCTCCGACGTCATCCGGTCCGCGCTTCAGAATCCGAACGACGAGGAGATGCAGAAGACGGCCCAGCAGGTCATTGGCGTATTCGCCGCACGGATTAGGGCCTACTACGATTTGTCGTTGCGGATCAAGAAGGTGGGCTTTGATGGGGCTTGAATTTATCTCTCTGTCTCTCTCTCTCTCTCGCTCTCCCTCTCGCTCTCTCTCTCTCTCTCTCTTTCTCTCTCTCTCTCTCTCTCTTTCTCTCTTTCTCTCTCTATCTCTCTCTCTCTCTCTCTCTCTCTCTCTCTCTTAATTCGATCCTTTTTCAGCTGGTACCCCTACTACTCTGGGACCTGTGCAGTGGACCGTTGTCTCCAGATGAGCAGTTGAGATCGCGACAAGCGTTGACCAGGTGAGAGAAGCAAGAGAAGAGCGTGAGAAGAGCGAGAGAGAGCGAGAGAGAGCGAGAGAGAAAGAGAGAGAAAGAGCAAGAGAGTGAACCTCACATAAACCTTTTTTGTTCCAGACAATTCGCCCGACTCGTAGACTTTGTGCTCGAGTTCGACTATGTGAAAGTGTGCACGACAGCGCTGCAAAACGATTTCTCGTTCTACCGTCGTTCCACGGGCCGTGATGAGAAGGATCCGAGGTTGGATGATTCTAGCTTCGGAATCCAGAATTCAAATTTCGACTGATTTTGTTGCCAAAAAAAGCTAAAAATCTGTGAAAAAAACGGGATTTTTTTTCGGGTAAAATCGACTCTTTGGACCCGCGAGAGTTTCATGTCGTAATGCTCCGTAGCGCGCTCCATTTCTCGACCTTCCTAATTCCTTGGCCAATTTTGATAATGCGAGAATTCGAAAAGCTAAGCTAATTCAAATCGTCATATTTACACATTTCCATGGGTTGCCTGGCTGTCACCTTGCGTATTTTTTTATTACCGTATCGTAACGTATTTCCTGTCGCATAGCTGCCTAGGCCTAGTCGCGGAAAAGGATGCATTTTCCCGCCACCAAGCCCCTTTAAAAGCGTCACAAACACCCGCTTCAGCCTGGTGGGCCTGGCGAACGAGATCAGCCTGTTTCTCGCCTACCCGTCGCCGATGCTGAACGCCCTCTCGGCGGCCACCACCGAATTCGTCCAGTACGCCACTTTCCAAACGACGCTCATTAGAATACCCTCGTTTAGGGCCCATCCATCGCTGGAGCGGACGAACACGACGTCGATGCTGGCCACCATCGTCAGGTCGGTGGGGCAGGGGGTTTCAGGGGAAATTCATTGCCATCCGATTGGGACCAAATTTTTACCGGAATAGGGCCCCCTAAAAACCTTGTGCAGCCGTTTCTTAGCAAAATATTGCAGAACAAAAAATTTATCGCTAAAGAACTGAATTTTTGAAAAATTTTTTGCAATTTTTGCCCTCTTCATTTTTGCTAAATATTTCGAGATCGGAACCCGTCAAAATCCCGGGGAAATCGGCAAAATAAACCTTAATTTCGATGTGCCTTTTTCTGTTTTTATTTTGCTAGAAAATTCAGTTGCACGTAGTTTGTATGGGACTCCATCGCTGGCCAAAAAAAGGCTGGTCCCCATGGGATAGAAGACGGCCAACCACCGAGGGGGTTTTTTGGGACACGCTGTACTTTAGTGGAAATTATCTATTTCTTAAACGTAAAACTATTTTAGGCTTTTAAACCTTCAAATTTGAGATCCTTTTTAGATTCTTGAAACAATTTGCACGGTTTTATACCAGGAAATCGTAACTAAGCGTCCATTTGAGCATGTAAAATTTTCGCAATGGAATAGAGAATTGTGGCCCGCCGCCAGGCACTTCTAAAGTCCCCAAAATACATAATTCGGCGAAATGAAAATTCGGCGATATGAAAATTCGGCGAAATGAATGTAAATCTATGGCGTGATAGTACTTATTTGCAGCGTGTGCGGGTACATGGTGCGCGAAGAAGAGACGACGCACCGCCTCGACGACGCCACCGGCGAATTCTGCGTGCGCGTCATGGTCGGCTGCATCGTGTTGTATGATCATGTTGATGACAAGGCAAGACATATCCTTTAATATCAATTAATACGCATACTTATAAAGCTATTAAAAGAAAAACCCCGGTAATTTTGTTATTTTAGGGCGCATTCCATCGCGACTCGCTGATCGACATCAAAAAAGCCATCCAAATCGTCCGCGAGAACAGCCACGAGCCGCAGGTAGGCTAGATAAAAAGCAGAAAATAGCAAAAACTTGCAAAATTGAAATACAACAAAAATGGCCCATTTTCAGACGCTCTCCCTCCTCAACGCCATCCGGTACTTGACGAAAAACTTCAAATCCGAGACGACCCCGAAAAGCGTCAAGCAGTCGCTGGCCTAATTGGCGACACACGCTCCCAAGAAAAAGCTATATTATCTCGCTTTCTACTCCTCATTCCTCGTGTATATTCTCAAAGAGTTATAGTTCTGTTTCGCTCCCGTTTCAAATAGATTCCCCACGTTTACGGATCCATTTAGTTGCCAAAGCCCGCCAAAACCCCCAAAACCATTTTCGTCCTGTGATTTTGCGCCTACTCCGGAAATTCTGAGGGGATTATCAATAATATAAAACCTGATATTTAAAAAAAAAGAAACTTACTTTTCCGCAGTACGGAACACTCCAGTAAACGATATTCGTCCAGTGGAGCGTCGCGTCGGGATTTTCGATTTTCGGTCAAATCCGCAAAATTTTATTTTCATTTTCCAAGAATTATCTGCCTCAATCATTGTCTCTCCCGAGTGTTTAGAATGTTTTTTTTTACGAATCTAGTCCCGCCTAGCTCCTTTTCGGCCTTTCACGTTTTCCCTTCGTCTCGCGATAATAAAAGTTAATGTTTTTCGAAAAGCAGCGTAATTTGGCAGTTGCCAACGATTGAGACACGAGAAATTTGTCGATTATATGGTTAGACGACTTCTTGGCGATGCAAAAGTCACAATCCGCGCGCAGAAAACTTTATTGTGTTTTTTCGCGGCGTGTGTTTGAAGTTGTGCACCAGTAGAAATCATTTCTGGTTGCAGTAAACCATTTATATAATTGCTATACTTTTTTATAGTATTACACAGTTTTTTACCTTAGTTTGCTAGGGTAAAACGTAGCAGATTTACTTCGGATCTCTGGAGACGATTGTTGAATGCGACCTCTATCACGGCGTCTTAGGCCTTACTTGGAGCGCGCACGGGGGGATCGGGAGGGACTGGGCTAGGCCACGCCCCCTTTTGGTCCCCAAAATGTATGGGAAAAAGCTTTCTAAAGGCTATAACTTTTTTTCGAAAAACAATTAGAAATGTTCCGCCTGGAGATCGATAGAGAAGACTCTAGGGAACATTTTAGTCAAAGAATTTGGGCGATCGCCGGGAAAAATAAGGACTTGAAACGTTTTGAAGCAAAAATCAAGATGATTTTCTGATTCGGCCTCCGGGCCGCCCCATCTGTTTAATTTTCTACCTGGAATTCGCTAAAGATTTGTTGTCGGTGCCTTTCAGAAACTTGTGCAAAAAAAGCAAAACGGTGTCGCGTCTTTATGCGAGGGGAGGAATCGAACCAGGACCCCGCGCCTGTCACTCCGACCGCCGCCTTAGACCATTAGGCCATGCCCGTCCCCACCCCCCCGTGCGCGCTCTAAGACACCGTGCTATGCTCTTCCACTCTTTTTCTACGTCACTTTCCCTGGTGTTTTTAAACGCGTCTCTTTCCAGGTTATAGCCCGCGCCATGGCCATCACGCCGCAGACGGCCCTGCCGTCTGACCAGGAGCTTTCGGTTTGGATTTTCGTTAGCTTGGCAATATATGGTCTTTTAGGTTGACCAGGAGATCACGCTGTCGACGCCATGGCTGAAGGCTGTCGCCCCGTACATGGCCAAGAGCTGCGAGCGCACGATCAACGTAAATTTTTCATTTCCCTGTATTTTTGTGTTTTTTTTTTAGGAATTCATGCTGCGCCGGCGCGAGACCGAGGACCCGCGGGCCGTGCTGAAGGAGGGACGAGCCGTGACCGATTGCGGAATCGAATTTCTTTTGGTACGTTTATGTTCTCAGGAGTTGTAAAGTTCTTTCACAATCAGGATATTTATCTCTAACAGCAATTAAATTCCGACGCTCTGAAATATCTTTCGCATTATCGATCGAGGCTGAACTTTTTTTGAAGTCTAGAAATGTGTAGAACTTCATGAGAAACTATCTCAAAAAGTCGCAGAGTTTTGAAAAAGCCGAAGTTTTGGTCAAAATTGGCCAGTTTGGCCGAAAAATCCATAATTTTTATATTTTTCCAGTAAAGATTTGTAGTCTTCACGCTTAGGAATAAACGCTCTTTTTAAATATTTAGCTAAAAGTTCATTTTTTGCTTTTCAGTCGCTGAAGAAGCACTGCAAGCTGGAGACGGACGCCCTGGGCCACTGTATCGACACCTCCAGCTCGAAGCTCTACATTAGCCCGTCAGTTGCCTCTTCTTGAACGAATTGTAGTTTATTTTAGTTGTCGCCGCGAACAGAAGGCGCTCGACGCGTGTGCCAGCCAAAATCTCAGCATTGATCGACCGCCGCTGGGGTATTTTAGGTAAATCTCTTATACCGGTTCGCGTTTGCCCATGCGCTATCACTTAGAAACAGTTTCTTTTCAGCTCGCCACATGTGCATGAAAGCTCGGTGCCATTCAGCCCGTCGCGGCCTCGCGATTACAAGGCGGAAGCGGCCAAGGTATTTTGTCGGCTTTCGGACAGTATCATTCTTTCTTCAGGTACTGAACGAGCTGCCCGCCGACTACCACTTGCGCAAGGACTACAAGAAGTACAACGACTGGAAGGTGAATATGTGGGAGAGCTGAGTCACGCCGCACTCGTCGTCACCAACTTTAACGCCTTTTCGCCGCTCGACATTATTTATTGGTATGAACATTAGTGTTTTTGTAGCTGGAATTAAACTTGTGGAATAAAGTTTTCGTATGTTTGTTGAATTGCTGCTGGTATATTTATTCTTTAGACTTCCAAGAACATGCGTTTAGACAAGTAAAAAAAAGATGCGACCCGTGAATTAGTTGAGGAACCGTTGATCGATACGTGGAAAGGATTTCACTTCAAATCTGCAGATTGGCCTTGGCGGCTTCGAACTGCTTGCGGGCCTTCTTCAGCTCTTCGCTCATCGATAGCAGCTCCTGCAAAAATTTTCGATGAAAAACATATCCCCTTCCGGCATTGAAGTATTTGCAATAGCTTACCTTTACTCGCGCGAATTTCTTGGGATCCCTTCGTATCAGGTAGTGGATATCTTCAAGGCCGATTTTGCCGGGCTTGCCGACCGCTAGACACCGATCGACGAATTCCTATTTTTACGATATTTAAAGGGGCTCCGAACTGCCAAATCAAAGCCCTTTTGGGAGGCCTCTTTGATTTCTGGCAAATTGCCAGCGGGCGCTGCGGTACAAGAGCCCTCACTCTTTCGATTTATGCGCGAAGTTGTTTTTGCCCGGTTTCTTGGTTAAAACACTATAATTCGCGCATTCTGAGCCCATTTTTGAAATCCTCATTTAATTTTAAATAGTTTTGGTGTTTTAATCATCAAATTTGGCCCAGAAACAGCCGAGAACGTGATTTCGAGGTGACAACAGGCAATTTCAAATTTTGCGAGCTTCCCGGCCCCTGGGCGTACAGACCCCTCCGAAGTACAGGGCTCCGATTTTCGGGCCGTCATTCAATTTTTGGCATTTCGTAGCCCCTTTAACGAAAAACTTTATATACCTTGACGTAATCCACCATGATTGCTTCGACCAACTCGAGCGTCTTGTCATATGGCACCTAGAATTATTAGCGGTCATAGCTTTTTGGAAACTAGCAACTGTAACTTTGACTGCGAACCAGACCTTGTCATCGCCAAATCCATACAGCATATTTCTCAATTCCCGGCGGAAGGCGAATTTCTTGTCCTCTTCACGGGTTGGCTCCTAGAACAAAGCTCTAACATCAAAGTCTGGCTCGCCAACCTTTTTCTTTTCCTCTTCCTCGTCAATATCAGAGCCGAAGACGTCGTCCTCCTCGTCCATTTTGTTGAGTCTTATTCTGGAACGATGTGGATTAATTTTAGCAACAGGCCCGAGAACAAAAACGAGTTTCTAAAGTTCCATGTGTAGCTGAAGCAGGTCACTAATGTCAAATGGTGCTAGGGTATTCAAGCGCAAGGCGCAATCGCGGAAATAAAAAGCCGAAAATCGAAATAGAATATTTATTACAGACACAACAAGACGTGTAGATTTCTGTAAAGTAATAAGGCCACAAATGCGTCGGGCGAACGGTCATTAGGTGCGCTTCAGCCACCAGGATCAGGCCGAATGAGCAGAGCAGGAAGGAACGTGTATCACAGCAGCACAATTCGTTTTTTAAGTGATTTGATGATGTACAATGTGGGGCCGGGTTTGCGATAAAAACGGGGGAAGATCTATTGGTCCGGGTAAAGCCAGTGGGGTAACTTCTCGCCAATCACAGCCAATAAAATATGAGCAACGAGCTCGAGATTTTGAGTGTTCAGGGAAAAAGGGGACGGCAGTCGGGATCGGGGCTACAAAAGGCGAAAATCAATTAAAGCGATACAACGGAAAGCTAGAGCATTAATGGGGTGACAGATGGCCAATTCAATCTGCGTAGCCGCGTCAACGCTTGCGAAGCTTGTCGTTGACGGTCCGGATGATCAGCGTCGTTTGGAAGATGAGCTTGTTCGCCGAGACGGCCACCTAGAAAAATTAACGTCAAGCTAATTTAAAATAGTTTTCCTTTACCTGAAGAGCATTCTGGTCGCGGAAATAGTCCTTGAGGGTGTTGCTGAACTGCTTGGAGTAGTGCACAAATTCGCGCTTCCGCTTCTCGACCGCTAAAGAGCTCCATCAGCCAAATGGACGTAAACAAACCTTGCTGAGCACTTTCGGGGACGACGTGAAGCGTGGCGTTCGTCGCCTCCAATAGCTTCTTTATCGACGTGGCAATTTCCTAAAAACAAGCATGCCAAAGATTAAAACTCTTTTTACCTTGATCGTCTCGAGGAAAGTTCGACGGTCGGACATTTCCTCGGGCACACGCGCCAGCACATGGCGAAGGTTGATGGCCCTGGAAAATTGATGTAATAAAACGAATTATTGTGTACCGCTCGCTCAACTCCTTGAATTCGCGCACTTCTGGGGACGCGTGGATGATGAGATCGTCGGTCGACGCCGTCGCTTGCATGCGGAGATACGCTTCCTAAAAATCACGTTTCAAAATGTACCCTAAATTACCTGAATATTGATGTCGATGGCCGCATCAGAGAGAAGGACACGCGTGAAGTCGAACAGAAAACCGGGCGACGTCTGGTCGCAGGCCTTCAACGCCGAGCGGATTTTCTAAAACGGATGTTGCCACGGATCGAGAAAATAAGCACCTGGATGGCCATTGAGGCGGCGGGGTCGTTTCGATTCTTCTCCCTAAAAACACGAGTTTTAATTTGGAAAATTTGTCCGACTTCAAGCGATCCAGCACCCCGCTGTAGACGCACTGGTAGGTGACCTGGCCCAGGTAGCCGCCCTCCTCGTTCATACCTGTAAATTCGGATTTATGAGGCGTGCGTGACAATGAAGAGAACAACGAGAACGTATAAAGTGAGCGTGTTACCGGAATCGAGATCAAAAGACGTACGACAAAATCAAAAATATCGGGTTAACAAAAGAAGTTACGTAAACAAAAATTACACCGTGAAGAAACTGGACACGTAAGAGCAATGTAATTAACAAGAAACCCGTGGATTTTGAGGTGGGATACGGCTGAAAAGGAAAGTTTTTAGTGTCCTAGGAGTTGCAAACTGGGAGAGCAAGGCTATTTTTCAAATCTACGAAACGAATGGAATGGAAAAGTTATCAAGCTTTTTAGGGGCCGAAAATGGTGAAAATGGCCTGATTTGGGCGTTTTTGCCCTTTGAAGCTTCAAGCAACGTTTCTATTCGTTTGCAGATTCTCAACGTGCGTTTCATCATCATCGTCGAAAAATCCTGCTAAAAATAGGCTTGGTCACGCTTCAAAACATCGTAGGACACTAAAAAAAGCCTCCTTGTCAGCTCCAACTGGGGTTTCGCGCACCCGACAATGGTGGCAATTACAAAATACAACCGAGTAAAAGAAGTATTTCGGGAGGGCAGAGTGAAAAATCAACTGAATCAAGGTCGCAAAACAATTCAAGAATTTTAGGTGCTTTGGGCACAAATCTTTCGAAAAAAAAAACAGTTCGCTGGAAATTGAACCGTTCACGCGCGCAGCCGCATCGTCATGAAAATGTTCTGGTATTGGTGTAGGGTGTCGATGGGTAGATATGGCTCCGGGTGAGGCGTGCGCTGCTCCCGGAAGAATTCCGGGGTGTGCTTCAGCGTCTCGGCGAAGAACATTTGCAGAAATTCCGCCAGCATGGAAAGACCCTGGCGCGGCATCCACGTCGGCGTGTATTCCACCTGAAAATTGGCGTTTAGAATAAAGCGCTAGATTGGGTGTCCTAAAAAGTTTCACCAATTTTTAGCTCGGATCCATTTTTTCAAATATAAATAGCGGACCTGGTTCTAACATGTTTCTTTACTTTTCCTAAACGTAAGAACTGCACATATTTTTACTGAAAACTACAAAAAAAATATCTATTTCCGACCAGCAATGGCCGTTTTTTAAACAAAAATTTCAATTTTTCGCAACTTTCTAGTTATACTCTAGTTTTGTTTTGCTAAAAGCTTTATGAAAATGCTTCTAATTAAGCTACTAGGCATTTCCAGACTTATACAAAACTTAACAATGCGAAAGAAGTTTTTTTTTCGTAACCCCCAGTCAATCGTGAAAACAAAGAATTGAAACTCCCCACCTCAACGATAACCCCCTTGACGGAGCCGTTCTGCGTCGCGGTGCCGATGCGGACGCGAAAGTCCTTGAGCTTGTACTCGTTGCCGTTGACTTCAAACTTGCCGCTGTTGTCCATCTGCAAAAACCGCCGGTCCTTTCGCATCATCGGGGGAACGGGGGGGGTTTCGTAGGAACAATTGTTCAATTATAAATAGCTAGTGTTTCTGAACGGTCATTTATATTTCTAAACGTAAAAAGATTCCAATTTTCATAAAAAAAAATACAAAAATACAGATTTTTCGACCAAAAATGACAGTTGTTTGACCAAAGTTTCGACTTTTTGAAAAATTTTTTAGTTTTTAGATAATTTTTCTAGTTGAAATAGTTTTATTGCACTAAAAACATTAGGAGAGTGCCACCCATTAAGTTACTAGCCACTAATCCACATTAAACCGCAGGTTATAGCGAAACCAGCCGCACCTGAAGTCCGCCCGAAAGCTTGGAGAGGATCATATCAAATCCGCGATCGCACGTGGACCTCGGCGTTTGCTTGGGCGGGAACGTGCCAATCATAATGGAGAACGTGCTTTCCGGGTAGTAGCTGTGGTGGAGCACGGCCAATTGGCCAATGTGCTGGGCATGCGCATCGCTGGGTCTAAAACACAGTTCCGGTTAGAAATGGCTTGTCTTGGCGTTACCTATACGAAGAGCTGTCGACCCGGAAGGGCCCCAATAGGCCAGCGCCCCCGCCGGTGATGATCAGCTCGGCCGTCGTCTGCGCGTGCTCACACTCGAAAACCCAAGCGACGCCCATGTTCGTGGTGCTGAAAATAGGAAGATAAATAGGATATAATTTGAGATCCGTAGCAAGAAGAAAATTAATCGAAAAGAAAACGTGCGTGGACGATAACTGTAGATAAATTTTTAGTTCAAGACTTCGGCGAGTTGGGCAACAATCAATAATTCAATAGTACATTCAGTTTTCGTCTTTTTAGAGCGCATCAACATTAATATTCCAAATTATTAGAGCAATAATACATCGAAATCACTAATCTAATGCATCAGAGCATGCTTTACGGGTAACAGGAGTTGTTTGTAGCGTCCAATACTTATCTTTATAAGCATGCCTACACAACCGTGCGACATTTGCCAATTTCCTGTTTTAGCCCTGCATAACGAGTTCAAAAAGGTGCTGCAAGCGGTAACGTAACGTAACGTCACGTAGTGTAACGTACCGAGAAACCTTCTTCAGAAAAAACGAAAAACTTATAAATAGCTTTTTGATTAAAAAATATTCTAATCTAACTAAGCGCCTCTAGAAGGTAAACTATCCGACACATTTCAATAACAATTTCAAAAATGGGGCAAGTTGGCTTTTGCGTTGCAAAGGTACAAAGCCACGAAAGCTAAGTCACCCCGGCGATTCTGAAGCTTCAAGCGAGTCTTCTTCGGACCCGCCGATCCGGGGTGTCCCCTTTCGCTACGTCTGGCGCCTTTAGACGCGAGACTGGGTGCACACGCGGGCCGTAGCACCCCAGGCTATGGCCACGCCCCTTTCCCCTGCCATAAGCCGGCTTTATCGCGACCTTTCCATCCAACCACCAATGCGCACAGCCGGGGAAAACCTTCGGGGGAAAGCTTCTTCGCTCGAAGCTTCCTCAACCCGCACCAATCTTCTGTCCTTTTTCTTGTTTCGGTACTATTCGAGTTTAGGCGCAACATTTTCCCGGTTATTTTGGGTCAGTCTTCCTCGTTTGTTGCGTGCTTAGGCTTAGTTTAGGTTCGTATTGGCTTAGCTTAGGATTGGCGTAGGCTTCGCTTTTCAGCTTCAGTGCGTTTGGCTTCGACTTAGCTTTGGCTAGGCTTCGGAGTCAAGTATTGCACTGGATCGCCGAGAAAAACTGACCAGATAGCCCGGAATTTGTCGAAAATTTTATCCTTTTAATTGTTTTCCACATCTTCCTCGAAATGTGCGATGCCTTCCCGCTTCTTAATGTGCAATTTTCAGGGTGATGGCCAGCACTTCCCATTGTATGGGTCCACCGGACGGAGCGGCGGGCGGAAGCGGCGGAGGTAAGCATTCAGAAACAGCTTCGGCTAAAATTCGGGCTCTTGTATGGCCAATATCTCAGAAAGTTAAGCGGATACCAGATCAGCTGTAAAAGCTTTTAAAAACTTATTTTCGCCGGATATACATCTTCAAAAAATCTGATGTTTTTTTCAGTGGACGTATGGGGGCAATTTTCCCCGAAATCCTGGATGCATATTTGTTGAAAATCGCTCAATTTCAGACGACCGCGACCACAACCAGGGCTGTCCGAAGGGCCTATTCAATCGCGTTAGCGTCGCGACGACCAGCGATGATTCCGATGCGTCGACTGATGAACTCGGTTCGTGATGATGCTTAACTATTTTCTTAAAGATTATCTGTGCGCTTCGCTGACTTTTTTTTGAGCTGTTTTTTACGAAGTAGTTGCTAAGCCAATTGGCACGATAGAAAACTTGATAGACATAAAAACCCGTGCCCAATTTGCCTGAATGGGCTTCCACATGCCAAACTACATTCACATTTTCAGGAGGCGACCGGCGCGACAGTGAGGGCGCCTCGTCGTCGGGCGGCTCGCAGCGTGGTGGATGTCTGAAGGCGCGCCGCTCGCGCCACGACAACGCCAAGCGTCTCCCGGTGCAACAGGTAAATTCGTGGTTTCGATTTTTCGGGCCACTCTGTGAATGGCCGGCCTGTGGAATCTGTGTGGAATTCGAAACCGTGGGAGTTTGCGGCCCCGAAAATTTGCAGGCGCCCGTGGGCGGATGGCGTGCTTGAGTTCGGGATAGCTTATAAATAGTCTTGGGATTATTTTGTTCGAGTTTTGGGTTGATTGTTTTTAGGTTTATTTTTCTGAGAAAGATTTAGATAAGTTTTCTGGGTTGGTCCCCTCGTTGTTCAACGACGACTCGGCCAATTTTCCCGTACACATAGGATAGCGTGGGAATACTTATTTCTTGTAATAAAAATAGTTTCAGGATGGTTTTTCCGACGAAAAAACCCCCGTTAATATACCTTTCGTTCCTCTATCGAAGCGTATTTCCAAAATATCGAAAATGCCGAAATCGATGCCCCCCCCCCCCCCCCGTTTTTGAACCAAGATTTTATACTATAAAAACTTTACTACCTTGAATTTTTAGTATCTTTTTGGCGCTCTAGCGAATGGAACTTTGGAAATACAGCAGTTCTTTAAAATATCAGAAATAACGTGGGCCCCGTTATGATCTGTGTACCAATTCTCCCGTCTTTTGCCTTGCCCATTTTTCGATTTACAAAATTAGCCGGCAGACGTGATGACGTCTTGTGCTTGGCCCAAGTCTAGCTTTTCGATGCTTCTCTACCCCGGGGGAGCATCGACTACGAGTGGCGATTGAAAAAGCGGGCTCTCCGGTAGTATGTGTATGTGAGTGGCCGCCAGCAGACTTGTGTTACGTCCCCTCCCCCCCTTCCCCCCCCCCCCCATCCATCCCTTCCCGATGTCTCCCGGGGGCCCCGGGTATTTACACAATCATCCAGGCGCGCGGCCCTCCATCTCCTGGGCCGCGCTTGGTGCGCGGCTCTCTGCGGCTGTTCCCTACTGGCCCGCGGCCATATGATTCATACTTGTTTTTGGCCGCTGACCTACCATTAGATTGCCGACTTTTCTTGCATAGAGGTGTCTTACATGGCTTCCCAATACCTCCCCCCCTCCCCGGCATTAGCCATCTTCTATCCGATTCGGACCAAATTTTTGCCAGGGATGGGAACCCATAAAAAGTATGTGTGCCCGAATTTTCTCAGCAAAATAGTGTCAAACAAAAAAAGTTATTGCTAAATTGGGGTTTATTTTCACGATTTCAGTAGGAATCGGTGGATTTCGACTTAGAAATGTTTGCCACAAAAATGTGGAGGGCAATTTTTTCTGTCTGAAAATTTTTTTTGCCCTGCCGAAATATTGTTTAAAGCGGGGCTATTAATTCATTTTTATCATGAAAATCGGCACAAATTGACCTAAAAAGCTATTTCTGCAACCAAAAGGCACTAATTGCTGGGAAAACAAGCCGGCGTTTCGGACGAGGATTTTTCTAATCCTTTTCGCGGCTTCTGTCAGTTGCCCCATCCTTCGAGATTGCTTATTAGCTCCCGAATCCGTCTAAACTTGATTTTCCAGGTGACCTGGTCGTTCGCCCCGAGGCCCCAATCGCAGCCGATCCCGCCGAAGAACTACTTGATGAATGGCGGTGGGTTTTGACACAGTTTTTACTGGCTTCCAACGTATTTTTTTGGGATCTGGAAAAATCGCGAGGTTTCAAAATATCCGGTTTTCAGAATCTTGAAATGGCATAGTCTGAATCAGCATCAAGGGCTTTAGGAATTGTACGGCTGTAGGGTGCAAAAAAAACCCCCTCAAACTCGGCGCAACAGTATCGGATCGGGACGATAGTTATGTCATTCGACGGCGCATTCTGGTCGGGACGGGATTCGCTTGATGCAAACCCGCCGTTTCATGAGCTTGCTAATGATGTAACTAACGTTCCGGTTCGATACTCCTGCGTCGAGCTAGAGGCTGTGCTTTTTTGGGGACACCCTGTACGTCCTGCATCCAGTATATGCAGATTTCCGTTTCTGAAAATTCGCGATCCTGATAGTTGGTCATATTTTCGTCGAGGTGGTGCGTAATTTCGGGCGATGCCCCCCGAATGATCGTGTAATCCCCCCAATTTCCGAGTGCCCGTAATAAGCGCCCCTTCGGGCCATTATTTCAATGCCCATCACGCCAGTCACCCCCATAATTTTCTGCAAAATTCGATGGGGCCGCCCATTCATTTTTCACCGCAATTGCCGGGGGGCGACCGGGCAAAGATGATTGCTAATTCGAGAAATGTTGATTATCGGCCCCCGCGGGCAAACCCACCGGTGGCCATCTCATTTGGCTTTCGGGCGAATGTGTTCGGCTCGACGGGTGGTGGCCGTAATTACCGGGGGATCGAGGAATTTTGGCGGCTTTTTTGACGGGGTAGCATTGTTTTCTATTTTCGGTTACCCCATGGCCAACTACATGAAAACGAGGGGTAGTAGCGGTTGCAAAATTTTCCGGATGCGATGAAAACGGGCATTCCGGGGGGCAAAAGTCGGACTCAACCCCCTTAGGGTCGATTCCTGGCACATAGCCGCCACGCGGGCCCAAAGGTTGATTTTGCACCAAAATATAGCGTTCTGCTAAAATTTTGGGCTTATTTTGGCAAAAAAAGGCAAATTGTCGGTATTATTAGACGGTATTCCTGTCGTTTTTCGTCCAATAGGTTCGATCGCCCGAAAACGGGAATTTGGGCTTCTTAGCCCTTGAATCAGGGTTTCCCAAAAGGTTCTCACAACTTTCCCAACCCTCTGGCTTCTCGCCTTTCTAATTCAAAACATCTCCCCGGCCGGCGCGCCGGGTCTAGCGCTGATGGCGAGAGCAATCGATTCGCTTCTTGCCATCGGTTTCTTTTGTCAAAAATTTTCGGTGACCAGCCCGGCGCATCCAGCCCCTTTGGCTTCATGCCAAAAATTGTTACCCACACCCGGAAACGCCGGGCACATGAAGCTATCTGGTGGATTTTGAAGTGTTCAGTTCCACACGTTTTCGCCCTGGCTACTTGTTGTTCTCACGGAAACGCAAAAAAACCCTTGGCGGCGGCCTTGCGCCAAACCGTTCCCACATTACACATTCGTTGTGTTCCCCCCCTCCCTGCCGCACCTTCTTCCGGCTTATGAGTGTGTGAGGGTGAGTGGTGACCGACGGCGAAATTTGACCCCGTTTTTTTAGTGAAGGGACGAGAAGTCCTACGGAAAACTGCTGGGGGGGGATTTCCCAATTTGCGTCCCGCCACTTTTCCTAGATAGGGGTAAGGTTTCATTAATTTAAAGTTATATACAGCTGGTACCTTTAGGTAAATTTCAGCATTTCCTCATTTTTACCCGCCTTTCACAGTCACGCGTGCACTTATTTACGCAGAGTGACTAGCATGAAATTGTTTTTAGGCGCTTTTTGGAGTTTTGTGATGTGTCACAGTTCATTCGACAGAGCTTGACATTCTAAACAAACCCCAGCTTTCAAAAAAAAAAAAAAATGGCTAAACGATGACGCGCTTGGAGAAATTTTGCTAGGAAAGGACCAACTTTGCCCATTTTTGACCGGCGCTGGACAATGTGAACTTTCAGAAACGTCGGGCGTGCCAAAGCACCTAATAACGATAGCTTGGAATCCAAAGCGAGAGGCAGGCGCAAACAGGCGCTCCCGTGAATTCCCAATCCCGAAAGTCCCATTCTGGAAACCTCCCATCCGGAAAACAGTCTATCCCAAGATCTCCCTATCCCGAAACTTAGCATTTTGGATTTCCTGGCAGCCCAGATCCGTGAAGGTATCAGAAAATCATTTTATCAAATTTCTCAAGCCGAAAAATATCGGAAAGCAGTTTAGTTCGCAGATCTAGTTTGGTGTTCGGCACGTCAAAGCTAGATAGCTACTTTCGCGATTGAGAATTTTCTGTTTTAGGGTCGCTTCGGGATTGATGAAACAACCCGCCCCGTTGCATTATTGAACTAGATTAACGGGGTGCTCTTTAACGTCTTTGCTTGTAAGTTTTTTTTTAATTAGCCGAAGATTTAATCTCATGATGGCCAATGCCGGCTGCCTTTTCACGATCCGATTCTCAGCCCCCACCCCCAGCGGCAATCCTCCGCTTGCGATCCCCTAATGATAATATCCACCGGATTAGAGATTTCCGTTTTTTTTGCCATCTCTTGTTTTGTGGCCGGTCGCCTTGAAAGGAGCCAAATCGGGGCGCCGCCACTCCGGGGGGTTTCCCCTTAATTAGGCGCCGGAGTTCGGTGGTCCGCTACGTGGCCTTTTCATTATTTTTACAGCTTGCCATGATTTTTGCAGCGCGAAATCCGGCGGCATTATTTGGGTCGTTCGCAGACCAGATTCGGGGTCCCTTTTACTTGATTTTGGCGGTTTCCCATTGTCAGGGCCCCTATTTTCAAGTTCAAACGGTGTACTGCTACATCTCGAATCTGGGCTCTAAAATAACATTTTTTTTTCAGGCACGTCCACCTCCAGCGCGCCGGTCCGCAAATCGTCGTTGGTGGGCGGCTCGACGTGCTCGAGCGGTAACGCGAGCCCTACCGGCTCCCCGTCCCGGCAGCCCTTCTCCAAGCAGTCTTCCCAGGTAGGGCGCTATCGCTTCCATCGAACCGTCCGAAAGCATCGTTTATTTTTTACGGGATTTTCTTATGGAATATAGTTTGGGGATTTGTTTATTTCGCCGAATGTTTATCGCGTCGAGTTTTATTTCGCCAAAAGCTGCTTATAAATGCTAATTTTCTTTTCGTCGCTGGTTTCGCCACTTTTTTTACCTAGAGAATTTCAAAACCAGATTTTTTCCAAATTGAAAACATGGCAAAAAATCAGATTTTTCCAAATTCAAAACATGGCAAAAAAACATCAGGTAGGGCGACGGATGGACATTTGGTGATGGCAGCCAACAAATTGATTCTACTGAAGGATTTGTTTGTTGCCACTCCAGCAAGTCGCCATCCTACTAATTAGCATTTCACAAATTTAACGTTCGGCTAAATGAACATACGCCTTGATTTCGGGCTTGACGCTAAAGATCTTGCGGGAATCAGCCAGCCCACCGGGGAACGGCCACTTTGTATTTGCTATCACAATGTCAAAATTCATAATTTCGGAATTTTTTTTTGGGATAGGATTCGGGTTTTTTTTCTGGGAAATTCGCTTCTGTAAATTTTGGCATTCTGAAATTCGTCATCCTGAAATTCAACGTTATGGAATTTCGATATTATGATTTTCGACATTGAAAAGAAACCCGCTACTTTGTTCCCGATTTATAAGTGATCTCATTTCCAGGACCTCGCCGAGCGCACCCTGACTACACCCCCGCTGCCACCCGCCATCAAAACCGGCTCCAAGAAGGTGAGCACCAGGGCAAGTGGCCTTGAATTTTGGATTTGCGTCTAGTCGGGCTCGTCACCTTTGGCTGCATTAGCATTTTATAGGGATCCGTGAAGGTACTGGATTGTTAGCGGGGGGGGGTACTTACCAACTATACCAACTTCGGAAAAAGTTTTAGCCTTTTGTAGTGTAATTTAGAGTGTCTTTGGCAATTTTTTGATTCCTAAAAATTCATGACGATTTTTCAAATATTATAAAATTTTTACATTTTATCTGTTTTGGCCATTCTTCATAAAGTTTTGACGAAAAATCAAGTGTTTTTCAAAAGTTTGTAAGTTTTAGGAGCTTTCAAAGCTTACGAACTGGGCAAAAAGCTATTGCTATCAGTGCAAGTATTTAATTCCTGGGACCTTAGGCGACGATAGCCCCCTCCCCGGCTAACAGTCCAGAACCGCAGGAAACAGTATCGGGCCTGATTTTAGCAAGGCAATTTATGGAAATTGGGAAAAAACACGATATGAACAATTTGTAATGCTACGAAAAACATCCGCACATCGATTCGCGCGGATTACGCACTGTGCGCACACGATTCTGCAAAATGTCAAGGTCGACAGCGCGGCGGGCTCGTTGCCAAATGATTTTTTTTTCACACCGCCGCCTTGATTCCCGGCGGCGCGTAGGTGGATGTATTTTGTAGTCGGTGAGCCTGGGAACCTGGGAAATCTTTGCGTGTACTTTGCCTTTTCCGGCTTCTCAGGAGCGGGGCATCAGTTCTGCATACTGTTTTGATCATCGGGCATTTTTCGTCTTGCTATTTTGGGCGTGACAAAGACTTGTCTGGTGCTCCCGAAATATCGAAAACCAAAATCTCAAATTTTCAGAATCCCGGATTTCGGAATCTTGAGTTTTTCCCGAACACTTTTTCCCTTAAAGGGGTACTTTTAGCAGATGCGTTTTTCCACGAAGCTGGGAAAAAAATCTGCATGCGAAACGTCTGCAACTCTCACCAGGGCGCGCTCTCTAACCGGAATCCATGCTAATTTTTCCACATTTCATGGTAGAGCCGCGCTGCTGAAAGTGCCCCTTTACGGTTGAAGCGCCCTATGGAAAATTCGGGATTCCGATAGGCAAAGCAAGGAAAAAAGCTTGAAATTCGGCGCGGTGTGAATTTTGGTGTATTTGTTAACCTGGCTGTAACTTGCCGGAAGCCGCCGTAAAGCGGAAAGAAAAATCAAAAAATAGTTCCGCTTTGATGTTTGAGCTTATATCAAACTTTTCAGGAAGGTCGCTCACAACGTAGCATGAGCCTCGGCGGCGCCGCCCACGAGGCCCTGCTCGGCCAGCTCGCCCAGCGCCACGGCACCGTCACCATCGACTTGAGCCCGGAATCTAGTTGGTTTTAAACACCGTTTCAACGTGCAAATCTCTGCTGCCTCCCTTCAACGACCACTTTCAGATGACAAGATCTGTCTGTTCGTCGACAACACCCGCTTCATGATCAGCATCAAGGTAACGGTCGTGTATTGGAGATGATGAGCTTTTTCTTGTTTAGCTGCTCGTCAAGCATCCGGAGACGATGCTCGGCCGCATGTTCACCATGCAAAGCTCGTTGGAGGGCCAGGAACTCGTGCCGGCCAACGATTCCGGGGAATTTGAGGTGAGTTTCTTATTTCTGGCATTTTCGAGCTTCCGTTTTATTAAAATTTACGTTTTTAGGTGGCCGACGTCTGCAGTGCGCACGTATTCCGGGCAATCCTCGAATATTACACGGACGGTCTGATCCGATGCCCGACGCACGTCTCCGTTTCGGATTTGAGGTGAGAAAAACTTGACAAAACTTGGTGCGAAAACAACTCCGGGTTTTTCCTGGCGTGTCCGAATCGATCCAGCTTGCAAATAGCTGGGCGTGGTAGCTTTTCATCATCGTCAAAATCTGGACTTCCGTGCCCCTTGAATTAGTAGTTTTCAGGGAAGCCTGCGACTATTTCCTGGTGCCGTTCAACTCGCGGACCGTTCGCTGCCAGAATCTGCACGCCTTCCTGCACGAGCTGTCCAACGAGGGCGCAAGGGCCCAGTTCACCCAATTCCTCGAGGACATCATCATCCCGAAGCTCGTCGATAGCACTGGGGTTGGTTTTGGATTAATTCGGATATCCGCCGGGTGTTATAGCATATATTTACACGGGTTGCGGTCGGAATCTCGAAATTCGAATTTTAGAGGAGGTGAAGTAATCTTGACAAAGTTAAATTCGATTTATTGGAAACTGGAAATGGGGGAGAAATGGATTTTAAGGAAGATTTCATGCTCTGAAATCCTCTAAAATAGAAATTTCGGCATTCGGAAGTTTGGATCCCGAAATTTTGGAAATTTCGAAATTCTGTTTCCGATTATCATCCAAATTGGCCAATTGAGCAAATTATTTTTTTTTTTGCAGCACGGCGAGCGTGAATGCCACATCGTGGTATTGCTCGACGATGACTACGTCGACTGGGATGACGATTGCCCCCCGATCACCGGCGAGGACACTACGCGAATACACAGCACGCATTTGTACAGGTAATATCGTTCTACTGCTGCCTAATTTTGAAACCAGGTTCTTCAAATACGCCGAGAACCGCGACTGCGCCAAGCAAGTGCTGAAGGAGCGCGGGCTGAAGAAGATCCGCCTCGGCATGGAGGGCTACCCCACGCACAAGGAAAAGGTCAAGCGGCGGGCCAATCGATCGGAAGGTACGGGTTTCGTCGTTTTTGTCAAAATTCACCTTAGTTGTGTACAACTACGTGCAACGCCCGTTCGTCCACTGCTCCTGGGAGAAGGAGGAGGCCCGGTCGCGGCACGTCGATTTTGCATGTCCGATTGTCAAGGTAAATGATTCTTTTTGGGGTTAAGCTCTTTATTCTAGTCAAAGTCGAACCCTTCGCTGGCGGCCGCCGCTTCGGATCCGCTCCCTCAGCCGGCGCCGTTGCAGGGCAACAATGTCGCGCCGCCGAACGCTCTTCTCCAAATCGTGCCGCCGATCCAACAGGTGAATTTTGATCGGTTTTCTCTCGCTATAAGCAAAAATTGGGTGCTTGTGCGCATGGGGGGGGCAGTCTTGACAGCGATAGGGGGCTACGAGACGTTCCGCTGAACTTGCTTGGTTTTAACTTATGCCCAGGCTTGACTCAGCTTTAACTAGGCTTATCTTGGGATTAGTCATAAGCTTAAGCCAAAGTGGGGCTTAGCTTAGCTTTATTTTGCCCCAAAAGCTCAAAAATAAAGTATCCTACTATATATAAAAAAATAGTGTCTGTGTGTGTGTGTGTGTATGACACTTTGCATGCAACTTCCGTCAGCGTGTCCGGAGGATATCTCAAGAAGGGAAGGGATGAAGGGGGCGTATGATACGTCATTAGACGCGTAATAGCCTGTAGATGACTGCACGCATATCAGATTTTTCAACATAGATTGTTTTCGACATTAAAATTAAGTTTTTCCTTAAAAAACGGACATCCTCTTTGTTAGGAAAAAATTAGCATGCGCCGGAAGTGGGATCAGCCTATATAATCGGGGAGAGCGCGCCATTTTCATTTTTTGTCATCGGAAATCCAAAAATTATGCAAAATAAAGAACATCATAGGATTAGACGGGGCCAGGGTTGAAAAGTCGCGAAGCGGCTTTTCAACCCTGGTAGAACCTAGATTACACCCATGTGTATTGTTAGCTTGGCTTAACTTAAGCTTAGACTTAGCTTGAATCAAGTTAAGCTCAGGCTGAACCTTGTTAACTGATTTATTACATACGCGTTGGGTTTCAAAAAACGTGGTTTGTAGCCTCCCGTAGTCAAACGTCCGGACAAGCACGAAAAATTGTTTTCAGGCTCCCCTCCGCTCGCCGCCCGTCCAGGCCCGGAATCCGGACGAGGAAAACTGAAGCAAGGAAACGTGCATTAGCGTTTTCCGGATACATTTTTTATGTGCATTTCGTTGGGTTGCCGTGGTAAATATTCGCTCGTTGTATCCCCCAGCTTTCTTTTGAATGTAATTTTGGGGGATGGCCAATCAAGCAGTGTGCCTACTTTGTGATGGAATTTCTCCTTCTTCTCAGTTGCTCGCCTCGCATTACCGTTGCGTTTTTTTTTGTTTTGCGTCAGACAATCCGGAATAAATGGTGACGCCGTGGATTGGGCTGAGAATTGGGCTCCTTCGCAATTTCGGGGGGATGAAGGCTTTTTTCTCAGGAACTAATTTTTTGACTATAAATAGCGGAAGCGTTTCTAAAAACGTAAAAACTTTACAAACTTTTATTAAAAAATACAACAGTGCACGTTTCGACAAGAAACGGCCGTTTTTGACCTAAATTTAGACTTTTTGAAAGTTTTGAGATAGTTTTTCTAGTTCAAATATAGTTTTTTCCTGAAAGCGTTATGAAAATACTTCCTATTGGCATGTCATGTAACTTAAAATGTGTAATAGTGTTTTGAGAAAACCACGTTTATACCACACACGAATCGCACGGTCAGCAACACAAATTAACATATTATTAGCGGGAAAACGTCCGATAAATACTGGGAAAGACAAATAGACATTTAGATAGATAAATGGAAATCTAGACATCGCGAAAATGGCATCACAAATGGTGGAAAGACATTTCGTTGTATTGTAAAATGCAAAAAATGAGGCGCGGGACGCAGGAATCGATTAAACGTTTTGAAAGCACGCAATTGATGAGCAAAATGTTGTAGAAAGACGCGAAAATAATTCTACGGGCACGGGTATAGGTTATATAGACTAGTCAGATACAATTAGGCTTTAAATTCAACTTTTTAGGAGGGTTTTTGATGGTGAAATCCTGGCCGGCGCTGCAGTTTCACCGTTAGATTTGTAATTATATACTTTTTAAGGCACAATAATATCAAATAAAAAGTAGAAAATGTAAATAAACAAAATGTTCGCTCTAGAATCTCCTTGTGTCATCGCCGGGCGGCTGCCAGACGGGTTTTGGCGCGTTCGGGCGCATCGTGACGATCGTCGAGTTGGAGGAGGCCGGCTGCCCGTCGGCGAATATTCTGAATTCTCGAGTTAAGGAGCTTGGCAAGCGCGAGGATCGACCCCTGCCCTCGACTAGGTCTTGACAACTATGCGACACCCCAATATACGCTTGCAGATACTTTCGCGTTATCGGGGGAGGGGGAAGGTCTAGAAAGCCCTAGTCACTTAATAGGAACGATTACTATTTATTATTACTATTATTATTTTAGCAAAATAAAACTATAGTTTAACTAGAAAAACTATCTAAAAACTTAGAAGATTTTTCAAAAAGTCGCGCTTTTGATCGAAATCGGCCATTGTTCGTCGAAAAATCGAGATTTTTGTATTTTTAATAAAAATTTGTATGGGATTCACATCTAGGAATAGAAAAAACCGCTTCGAAAGGCCTTAAATTTTTCGATTTTGAAGGTTAGATCATAAGAACAACGTTGTTTACATAACCCCACATCCCTAGAGGCTATGAAAAAACGATTTATGCGTCGATTGGGGTTTTCAGGTAACTGTCTAGGCCTAGAAGATCGCTGGGTCGATTAATGCAGTTCTTTTTGCCCTTTTAAAAGTTATTTTGGTTAGGAATGGTGTGATTTTATAAAATAAGCGAGCGATTTGGAAAAAATAGATTTTTTGTTGTTTCTTTGACGCAGAAGGCCATTCCCAAATGTTCTTTGCCAGCCTGCCACTTTACTCACCTATCCAGCCGACCATCTAGCCGCCGCTTCGACGGCCCGCGTGCCGTGCTATTTGCGCCAGGGTTCTCCGAGTCTGACGTGTACGGGTTGTCCTGAATTTTTTAAAGGTGTGGCGAAGTCAATGGAATACCCTTTTATCTAGGGTGCCCCCGAAAATGGAGTCTCTTCTCTTCTCCAGTGCTCGAATCGTGCCCTTCCGCAGCGTCAAGCGCTTCTCCCGCGACGCGAAGGCCGCGTCGGATTGGTTGTCTGGCTGAAATGAGAAACGTCAAATGATCTCTGCTAGCCTGCCCCTTCCATTCCCAAATGATCTCTGCTAGCCTGCCCCTTCCATTCCCAAATGATCTCTGCTAGCCTGCCCCTTCCATTCCCAAATGATCTCTGCTAGCCTGCCCCTTCCATTCCCAAATGATCTCTGCTAGCCTGCCCCCCTCTTTCACAGTATCTTTAAAATAATTTACATTCTGAGACGACAGCGTCTCCCATCTCTTCTTGAAAGCGGCGTCTAGCGTCTCCGTCTTTCGCTTCATCATCGACCGCCGGTTCGCTTCCAGGTTGCTGACAACGTTGCGACGTGAGAACGGCTTTTCCTAGAGTTACAGGATAAGCTTGTCCGTTTCTCTCTCTCTCTCTCTCTCTCCGTCTCTCTCTCTCCTTCTCTCTCTCTCCCTCACCTGTTCTTGATCATCCTTTTCGTCAGCTCCCTTGATCATCTGCAGCAGTTTCGCAATCTCAACGGCGTTCTCTCGTACCAGATCGTCTTCGGAGAGCCTAGAAGCTACAGTATACCCGATAACGGGGCGTTAACTCACTTGTCCACCGGCTTCTTGAAGCAGAACAACTCCGTGGAGGCGATGATGTGGGCCAGGGTGCCGAAACGATGAAACAACATGGCGAAGAACTGGAAAATCGAGGATAGCGAGAGAGAGAAAGAGAGAGAGAGAGAGAGAGAGAGAGAGAGAGAGAGAGATAGAGAGAGAGAGAAGCAAAGAAAACTACCTGAATGACAAGGATGCTCATGAAAAAGACGAGGAAGACGAGGCCGATCGGCTCAAGTTGAAGCCGTGACATGACCGTAATCTGGAACAGAGCGGAATCGTCATTTTCCCTGAGATTCTTTGCTAGCCCGCCCCTTCCATTCCCAAAAGATATCTGCTAGCTCCCTCCCTACCAACCTCCTTGGACGTGTCCCCATGGCAGGGGATGAACGTGTGGTTCTTCTTCGGCCCAAACGGCCACTCAATATGCAGACAATCCTTCTGCAGCTGCAACACCAACACCACGATGATGAAGACGATGTTCAGCATCAGGAACCCGGACGTCACCTGCAGGTTTGGCTATGATTTGTTGATCGGGGCAGTGGTACCTTGTTCCTGAGCTCCTTGAGACCGGCGCGAACCCGGTCTTGCTCCTTGTTTTCCATGTTGATTGGGTGGAGATACTTGTCGATGACGTCGAGCCAGAACTGCTCCTCGTCCGGCTCCAGGTACTCGCGTTCGGCCCTGCGAATGGGAACGTGAATCGACCCCCTGATCGATTAGGTCTAGGCAGCTACGTAACGCGCCAAATGACGCGGCTAAAAGTGGGCTATTTTTGCTTGACTCAGCTTGACTGATGGGCTATTGAAACGTGACAGGCAAGCGTCATTTGGCGCGCCACGTCGCTGCCTAGACCTAGTCGATGCAGGTGGTGGATCTGGCGCATGCGAGCCCCTTTAAAGCTCTCTTACCTTCTCAACGCCTTGTCACCGAGCCAACTCTCCGACTGCTGCTGCCTCCACTTCTTGTTCTTCATCGCCACCTGCGACTGATGCGACATCTCCAGGTCGTCGTCGAGCTCTCCCTAAAAAATTCCAAGGTTTTTCAAGACACCGATTTGCTAACCTGTCCTCTTCCACTCCCAAATCATCTCTGCTAGCCTGCCCCTTCCATTCCCAAATGAACTCTGCTAGCTTGCCTACCTGTTCATCCTCATCCAGCTCGGAGCACTTGTCACCGTGAGATCCAAGTCCTCCGGTCGACAGAATCGAGGCCCTGAAATCGCTAGAAAATGGGCGATGAGCCGGTTGTTAGGGGGGTTGATGTTAAATGGAGTGAGCTAAACGCTTTAAAGGAACTCTCTCCCTCTGTCACTCTCTCGCTCTCTCTCGCACTCTCTCTCGCACTCGCTCTCTCTCTCGCACTAGCTCTCTCTCTCTCTCTCTCTCTCTCTCCCTCTCTCTCTCCTTCATCGACCCTTTAAAGTAACCATTAATGTGTATTCAACAGGGAAAAGTCCAATCCATCTTCAACGCCTTGTACCTCCTTCCAATCCCCGGCTGTGTCCTCCTCTCCAACTTGTCCATCTTGCGCGATATCTCGTTCAGCTTCTCGTTGATTCGCCATACCTACAAAACGAATCTTTAGCCTTCAACGGCCTTTTAGAATCTACCTGTGGGGACGTCTCCATCGGGTCGGGCTTCAGGCAGCACAGAAGTCGGCACGCCGATCCGCAGCCGAACGAGAAGGCGCCGTCGGCCTGGAAATTGTAGATAGCTGATGTCGCGCTCCTCTGCGTAAAAAAATCGTAAGAAATAGCTGTCACCCTCCCTTAAAAAGCGGAGAAATCTCTTGGATGTTCTAAAAAGAAAAAAGCAGCTTAAGACTAGGGGAAGGGCTAAGCCCAAGCCGAAGCCAAGGCGAAACCTGAGCCCAAACCGGAGCCTACTAAAATAAGCCCAAGCCCAAGCCAAGCATAGCCAAAAATCCCGATACTTCCCTTGCCCGCCCCTTTAAACCCCAAAATAATCCCTCACCGCCGCCTCGCTGCCGTCCATAATGTCGAGGTGGTGGTTGCCCTTGCCGCGCTTCGCCAGATCGTTCCGTTCATCGGCTGAAAAACCGCAGTTTAAAGGGACCGGGAAGCCCGAGAATCGACCCGTATCGTTGGCTAGGCCTAGACAGCTTCGCAATACTCGAATAGCGCTTTCATGCGGGAATGGTTCTGGTTCATTAGTGGGGGGGGGGGGGGGGAACTTCCATAGGTCCTCTGGGAAAAGGAAGAGAAGTGGGCGTGGCCTCCCCCCCCGGTAGTGAAACAGTACTGTTCAAAGTTCTTCCCTAAAAATTTCCCCCGCCGGCTCTTTTTCTTTTGACGTTTCAAGCATCATTTGGGGTGTCACGTAGCTGTCTAGACCTAGTCCAGGCAGGGGTCGATTCTCGCGCTTCTGCACCCCTTGAAGCGAAAGGAATAAAGATTTTAAAGGCCTGGAAAAGGCGAAAATCGACCCCTTGCGTCCGCTAGGTCTAGACAGCAACGTGGCCCCCCAGTTCCCAAACAATGTCGGCTAGCCTGCCCAACGTTAAATCGTGTGACTGTCTAGACCTAGTCGACAGAAGGGGTCGATTCATGCGCTTTCTAGCCCTTTGAAATCAGATCCTGGCTTACGTCTCGGGTCCTCGCGTGTGCCCCAAGTGACGGTGTTGAGGTTGCAGATGGAGTAGATGGGCAACAACATGTACATGCACGGGATGGCCAAGAAGTACAGGATACCCGGGATGATGCACGTCATCTCGAGGGGATGTAGAAGGGCTGCCGTCGCGAAACTGAAAAGAGCATGAAGAGAGAGAGAGAGAGAGCGAGAGAGAGCGAGAGAGAGAGACAGATAGAGAAAAAGAGAGACGGCAGCCGTACCTGGTGATGACGGCGAACATGAACATGGAATGTGGCGACAGAATTCCGTCCTTCTGGATCTGCAGCGACGTACCGACGATGACGGCCGTCATCAGCATGGCGAAGAGCGCGCCGATGACTTGGGCGACGATTAGCTAAATAGCTTCGTTAGCTCGCCCAAATGATCTTTGCTAGCCTGCCCCTTTTTACCTGTTTCTCCTGTGTGCACACAAGGCAGACGATGATGAACAGCACGACCGGGATGGCGACGGCGATCAACGACAGCGTTGTGGAGATGTTGAACGAGATGGAGATGGCTCCGACAATCATGAGAAAGATGGTGCCCGGGCCGAGAATCGACGAGATCAGCATCACGACTTGGTAGATGATGTACCTGAGAAAAGGGGATGACATCGTTTTCAAGGGGTGCAAATTTCCTCAAGGGTTTCTGCTCGGCTGCCAGTTAATTGGAGTGCGTTTTGAGAGAATTTTTTACGTACTTGAAGTCTAAATGGCGCGCGAGTGTGTTTTTTGTCGTTTTTTGTATGAGAAACGACTTTTTTCATTCTAAAGGGACAGCGACAGCTAAAAACCCCACCAGATCGAGATGCTCTCGTTGACGCGGACGACGTTTTTGTAGTCCTTCAGAAGATCCATGATATTGGCGATGGTCGATGGGATCCAGCGACGTCGCTGGTTGAAAAACTCGTTGAACCCCTCGGGGGCGAACGTCAGCGCATCGGAAGCGGCACAGTATTCGACACTAAAGGAAATCTTAAGTACAGAAGCAAGCCAAAGTCCAAAGCCTAAGCCTTAGCTTCAGCCTAAGTCAAAGTCTTATCCCAAGCCTAGCCTAAGCATAAGCCTGAGCCTGAGCACTAGCCTAAGCCTGAGCCCGACCTAAGCCTGAGCCGAAGTCTAATCCTAAGCCTGAGCCTACGCTTAAGTCTATCCGGGTGTAAGCCTCAGCCTAACCATCAGCATAAGCCGGACCTAAGCCTAAGCCTAAGCCTAAGCCCAAGCCTAAGCCTAAGTCAAAGTCTTAGCCCAAGCCGAGCAAGCATAAGCCTAAGCCTGAGCCTGAGCCTAAGCCCAAGCCCAAGCCTAAGCCTAAAACCAATATGTCCATACCGATATCCGCGCTGCAACAGCAACGTACACAGCCATCGATCCTCTCCCTGATCGTACTGGATGTAATCCAGCGGAGCGTCCGATTTCGAAGCGTACTTCCTGGTGACGTTGTCGTCCATGAGCGCGTAGGATCTGAACGGAAAATGATTTGAAACTTGCTCTCTCTTTCTCTCGCTCTCTCTATCTCTCTCCACCCACCTGAACAGCGAGAAGCAGCCCGGAGAACACAGCACACAGCCAATCATGTGCTCCGTCGCCTTTTGCAGCCAATGCCCCACGGCGTACTCGAATTTTTGGTACCTGGAATGGAAATTCTGAGGTGTGAAAGCTTTTTAAAGGCGTTAGGAAGCACGAGAATGGACTTCTGCAACCAGCTAGGTCTATACAGCTACGCGGCATACCAAAATACGCATAAAATTGTCTGCGTCGATCCTTCGAAACTCTACCTCACTCTCTCGCTGTATCGCTCACGTTCTCTCTCTCTCTCTCTCTCTCTTCTCTCTCTCTCTCTCTCTCTCTCTCTCTATTTCTGCAGCCTTTCCGCCAAACAACTCACCAAACCATCAACCCAGATCCCCTAGGATGAATTCGCCCGCAAGCAGCCCCCAGTTTCCGGTTCTTCTTCATCAAATCCACGAGCAAATGTACGCAGGACGGCTCGAAGTCGACGTCTCCGTCAAGCGTCAAAATGAACGTATTTTCCGAGATAACCTAAAACATTTTTTATATTTTCTTCTTAAGGGTTTTCCGACCTCCTTGCGGTTCTGCTCCTCCACTTTGCACATTAGTCTGTAGCCGAGGAGGTAGTAGAGGTACATCACCTGGAATTAATTTTTAGAGGAATCTCGATGAATCTCTGCTAGCCTGCCCGTTCCATTCCCAAATGATCTCTGCTAGCCTGCCCCTTCCATTCCCAAATGATCTCTGCTAGCCTGCCCCTTCCATTCCCAAATGATCTCTGCTAGCCTGCCCCTTCCATTCCCAAATGATCTCTGCTAGCCTGCCCCTTCCATTCCCAAATGATCTCTGCTAGCCTGCCCCTTCCATTCCCAAATGATCTCTGCTAGCCTGCCCCTTCCATTCCCAAATGATCTCTGCTAGCCTGCCCCTTCCATTCCCAAATGATCTCTGCTAGCCTGCCCCTTCCATTCCCAAATGATCTCTGCTAGCCTGCCCCTTCGATTCCCAAATGATCTCTGCTAGCCTGCCCCTTCCATTCCCAAATGATCTCTGCTAGCCTGCCCCTTCCATTCCCAAATGATCTCTGCTAGCCTGCCCCTTCCATTCCCAAATGATCTCTGCTAGCCTGCCCCTTCCATTCCCAAATGATCTCTGCTGGCCTGCCCACCTGACTCCATCTCTTCCTATGCCGAATCTTGTTCTTGTCCTTCATATGGACGACCATCTTGTTCTTTCCGGGCAGAATGTACGACAGTTTCCCCCCGTACGGCGTCTTGATCTTCTTCGGCGGCTTGAGGCGCATTTGGGTTTGATGAACACAGCTGAAAGGTATTGGAAAAGGTCACATAGTTCAGGTAATTTTTGGGAAATCGCAAAGACCCACCTGGCAGCCTGATCGACCGCTTCGACGAACTGGCGGACGAACTTGTTGATGACGGGCTGAAAGAAAGGGAGTTACAGTAGGAAGGGGTATAGTACCTCGCCGTACTCGTTCGTCTCGAAGGCGTCGTCGATGAAGATGTGGGCCTCGAACTCGTAGTAGTCGGAGTCGATGACCTGAAGAGGGCGATAGAGAAAGAGGGAGAGTGAGAGAAAGTCACAGAGAGCGAGAGAGAGAGCGTGAGAGAGAGCGAGAGACAAAGTGAGAGAGAGAAAGAGAGAGTGCGAGAGAAAGCGAGAGATCGAGAAAGAGAACGAGAGATGGAGAGACAGAAAGAGAGAGTGAAGGAGATAACTAGAGAAAGAGTCAAGGATAGAGCGACCGGGAGAGTGAGAGAGAGAGAGAGAGAGAGAGAGAGAGAGAGAGAGAGATAGGAAGCGAGAATGAGCGAGAGAGAGAGAGCGAGAGAGAGAGAGTGAGAGTGAGAGAGACAGGACAAGAGCCCCACCTTGAAGTATTTTTGTGCATTCCTCCTCGCACACTGATCCTCATCCATCCTGAAGATACTCTTCAGCATGCACGTCATCTCATGTGCCGTTTCGTGCCACATCGTCGCGCACGCGTAGATTTTTGTAATCGCGTCGGCCGTGGAGGCGGCGTCCCTAGAATTTAGAGTTCTGGACCGTTAGCGGGGCGGGGGGGATTGGGAGCCTTTAACAGTGGGTGGTGTGAAACCATTTTTTGTTTTTCGACCTATACCTACTTGTTGATAATGAATTGTGTATTTTTATGGGTTTTTTGTAGGTCTTGATAGCTAGAAAGTTGAAAACATTTTGAAAATTCGAAATTTTGTCCTTTTTTGTAATTTTTCACACATTTTTGATTTTTTTATATTGTTTTTATGTAAAAAAAAACTATGTAAAATGCTATAAAATGGTTTCGATTTTTATAGGGCCGTAGAGAATCACACGGAAGCTAAAGAATTTGTTCCCCCCCGTTAGCAGTCTAACACCAAAATTAGAGGCGTTGCGTGCAGCGTCGCGTTTGGCAAGTGCGATCAAGGAATCCGCAGGCACAGCCTTCACAACCCCCTTGAACCACCGTACCTGATGAGTCCGTCGGCGATGCGACTACTGCCGTGGCTGCACACGCTGGGCGGAGCCTTCGGCGCCCCGCCCTGATTTCCGGGTATCGTCTCGTACGTCAGCGATGAGTCTTCGTTGTCAAAGTCGAGGTCCTGCAACGAATCGTATTTTAACGGAGTCGGGATGTCACTAACAAGCCAGAACTAGCTTCTCGGCGTCACGCGATCAAACGGTGACGGAAAAATCTATTTTGGAGCCAGCTTCCAGGTTTTTTATAGAGTTGGACATTCGATTTGTCAATTTTCTTGGCTTCATATAACCTCTTTAAAACCCTCACCTCGGCCTTGATCTTCGCCTTATCGTCTCGGCGTCGGTTGAACGCCAACGACTGGTCGACGAAAGCGGCCACGTAGTACGGTAGGATGAAAAGCCTGAAAAATGAGTTGCAGAGATCATTTGGGAATGGAAGGGGCAGGCTAGCAGAGATCATTTGGGAATGGAAGGGGCAGGCTAGCAGAGATCATTTGGGAATGGAAGGGGCAGGCTAGCAGAGATCATTTGGGAATGGAAGGGGCAGGCTAGCAGAGATCATTTGGGAATGGAAGGGGCAGGCTAGCAGAGATCATTTGGGAATGGAAGGGGCAGGCTAGCAGAGATCATTTGGGAATGGAAGGGGCAGGCTAGCAGAGATCATTTGGGAATGGAAGGGGCAGGCTAGCAGAGATCATTTGGGAATGGAAGGGGCAGGCTAGCAGAGATCATTTGGGAATGGAAGGGGCAGGCTAGCAGAGATCATTTGGGAATGGAAGGGGCAGGCTAGCAGAGATCATTTGGGAATGGAAGGGGCAGGCTAGCAGAGATCATTTGGGAATGGAAGGGGCAGGCTAGCAGTGATCATTTGGGAGGCATGAAACCCACTTCTCGCTCTTGGCCAGGCGCTCGTGCTTCGGATTCCACAAATGGATGGTGACCCAGATCTGCGAGGCCAGCCATGCCAGCCAGATCCACGATTGCGTCGATTGGAACAGATCGGAAATTCCGTAGATTCGGGGGCACGTCCAGAAGAGCTCCTGAAAATGAGAAAAGTGAGAGAGAGAGAGGGAGATAGTGAGAGAGAGAGAGAGAGAGAGAGAGAGAGAGAAAGAAATTGTCTTTAACTTACCCTCGACCCTAGCGTCTTGACCATGTGGCAGGCCGAGTGGCGGCGCAGCTCGCAAGCGTGCGTCAACAGGAACACCGTACATGGCACGGAGAGAGCCATCGGCAGGGCAAAGCCCAGCCGCTGCATCATCACCTGAAAATGTGAGTTGGGATCGCCATCCTCAAGGATCTGCGCGAGCCTGTCCATTCCCAAAGAATCTCTGCTAGCATGCCCCGCCCGTTTTTTCTAAATTCCCTACGAATCTCGGCTGCCATGCTTTCCTGAAAAATCTCTGCTAGCCTCGCTGCTTTCTTCTGAATTCCCCAAGAATCTCTGCTGGTATGCCCTTCCCCAAGAATCTCTGCTAGCCCTCGTTTCCTCAAGTATTTCTGCTTGCATGCCCCACCCCTTTTTGCTGAGAATTCCCCAAAAATCTCTGCTAGCCTCCCCTATTTTCACGGTCCCAAAAATCCTCAACCAACCTTGCAGGCAAACTTGCTCGACTGGTAGCACATGACGACGCAGAACACCTGTAGACACCACATCCAGAACGCGTCGTACGGCGTCGTGAACATGTTCATCTCCACAAAGTTGTCGTAGATTTGGAAGAGCGGCGGCTGTTCCTCCTCCTCTTCCGCCGGCTCCTTCTCGATGGCCCGTTTAAAGCGCCTGAAAATTTTTTATGCTCAGGTTTTAAATTTTCGAAAACTTTCGAAACTTCTTTCGAAATTAATTTTTCGAAATGTTGTAAATCTTCTAAGTCGAAAACCTAATTAAAAAAGCTTATCGCCTCAACATTAAGAAAGTCAATTTTTGGACCTTCTTTTTTCTGGCATTTTCGCGTAAATTTGGGCTTTTTAAAGGAGCCCACAAGGCAAAATGTATCTGGATTTAGAAAACTTCATCTTTAGCGCACCAGAAGCTCTTAAAGGGACTAAAAACCCAAAAACCTATCGGAAATTCGAACAACACAATTAGGCAGTGGCAGGCTGTCTCTCTATTGTTCTCTCTCGCGCTCTTTCTCCCCCTCTCTCTATCTCACCCTCGCTCGCTCTCGCGCTCTCGCGCTCTCTCTCTCTCCCTCACTCTCTCTCTCACTCTCTCAATATCACAAAGCACAAAAAGTTACTTGTAGTCGTCCGACTCGATCACTTCCGGGCCAGCGTCAGCCACCTCTTTGGCCTTCGGTGCCTTTGTCGTCTTCTTCTTGCTCATCCTCGAATCCCGATCATCATCCTCATAATCACTACCCCCATGGGCCATGCCTGAAAACTCCGCAATAATCCCTGCTAGCTTGCCCATGCCTTGCTCAAATGATCTCCGCAAGCATGTCCTCGAATTCCACAAGAATTTCTGCTAGCCTGCCCTTCTTACCAGATTGTATCTTCTCCATTCGATGTTGGAAGGCCTGAATCTGGCTCTCATTGATCGAGTGGCCGGTGATTGTGATCAGCTTCGACTCGAATGGGTCCGAGTGGAATAGCGTCTTGTGAGGAATTCTGGAAATTAACATTAAAGGGCCGGCGAAGACAAAATCCCACCTTGATCCGATGAAGAAAAACACGCAGAGCAGGTAGATGAACATTTTCCAGATCGACACGAAAGCGTACGTCTTCGAGCGCTTCTCGGAAAGGTGGGCGGCAAATCTGAAGATCGACAAGGTAATCGGAGTCCCCAAATGATCTCTGCTAGCCTGCGCCTTCCTTTACCAAATGATCTCTGCTAGCCTGCCCCTTCCATTCCCAAATGATCTCTGCTAGCCTGCCCCTTCCATTCCCAAATGATCTCTGCTAGCCTGCCCCTTCCATTCCCAAATGATCTCTGCTAGCCTGCCCCTTCCATTCCCAAATGATCTCTGCTAGCCTGCCCCTTCCATTCCCAAATGATCTCTGCTAGCCTGCCCCTTCCATTCCCAAATGATCTCTGCGAGCCTGCCCCAAATTCCTAAGTAATCTCTGCCACGCACCTGGCGAGTCCTCGAATCGGCGGGAAGATGGACTTGGTGGAGACGAAGTTCTGCCACCACCCGATCGAGATCAGCGTCAAGCACACCGGGATGGTGACCGCATGTTTTTGCACCGACGGGAGGAGCATCTAAAAATTCAGATTTTCCAGGATCACCAAAAAAATACCGAAAACGCCCAGAAACCGCTGCTCTGCGCGGCGATGGCGGCGACGTCGATGACCAGCAAGATGACCGTCAACTGGAATGAAATGGAATCGAATGGGCGAGGGCAGGCTAGCAGAGATCTTTTGGGAATGGAACGGGGCAGGCTAGCAGAGATCATTTGGGAGCTAAGATATACCTTGGAGGCAGATCTGGACACGAGTGTCATGATGGCGGGTATGAAGCAGACGGCATTGGTCAGCATCGCGGCCGTAACGGCATCCAAATCGGGCAACACCAGAAATACTAGCGTGCCCACACCGAGTGCGTGCAACGTCTCGACGACGAACACCTAGAAAACGATATGCGCTTTGAGCGTTTTTAGGAGCGTTTAGCTGTCCCACCCCCTTCAAAATCGGTTTCCAGCCGCTGCTTAAACACTTACGGCAGCAAATTGGAAGATGGTGGGCCGTTTGACGTTGCGGAAGAGGGTACGGTGAAAGGAGCGGATGAAGCACACGGCCTCTGGGGCGATCACCGCAAAATAGACGGCCCACACCCATTTCACGATCAGCCCGTTCGACAGCACCACCGTGTTCACTGGTGCTTCTGCAAAAAGTGCTGTTTTAAGCGTATTTTAAACCAAAATAGGCTCAGGCTTGGGCTTGGGCTTGGGCTTGGGCTTAGGATTGCGTCTGCTTAGGCTTAGGCTTAGGTTAGGCTTAGGCTTTGGCTTAGGCTTAGGCTTAGGCTTAGGCTTAGGCTTAGGCTTATGCTTAGGCTTGGGCTTAGGCTTGAGCTTAAGCTTTGGCTTAGGCTTAGGCTTAGACTTACGGACTTACCAGGGAGGCGATCGTTGCAGATGGTCATATTCTTCCCGGCCCACCCAATGGCCGAGGTCATCAGAAGGAACGTCGTCTTGGACACGGTGGCCGTCACCAGCGTCAGCACGAACAACACGACAAATGTCGCGATTTTGAGCACCTGCAGCGACGTGTCGTGCCAGAAACCTGAAAAATTGACGGGTTTTGGGGGTTTTGTTGTCACGCTACCTTTAAAATTAATTTTACCAGTTTAATTGTTTTGTTTAATCACAGAATTTTTGGTTTCTAGCGGGCCAAACCCCCCGTGAACTCGGTTCTCACCGAGCATTGGCCAAAATTCGGGTGCTTTTGCGATATCGGGGGGAAGGGGGGGTTTGGTGCTTTTTCCTGGCGGTCCCCGTTGGTCTAGTATTTAAAGAAAAAATGCTTTCCATGGGTTTCAGCAAATTTTAACTATGTCTAAATTAGAAAAACTTTCAGAAAAATCAGATAGTGTTTGAAAAAGTCGAAAATTTGGTCATTTTCAATCGAAAAAATCAATTTTTCTACCGGAAATTCAATTTTCAATGAAATTTACAAAAGAATAGTTGAAAACAATGTAAAAACGAATCCGCTATTCATAAAAAAACTTCGGATTGCGCCGAAAAAACCTTGGTTCCCCCGCGAATCCTCAAACGTAAAGACCCTTTCATTTTGCCTCTAAAGTTCGATGCTCGAACTCACGAATTTTGACTTCACGGCCCCTTTAAAGTCCGCTCCCATCCTTTTCGGGTCCAATTGCACCCCGTTTCCACGTGTGTGGGGACCCATTTTGGGCCCTTTCCCACCCGGCGGCCAGCCTGCGCCGCGCGCCCCTATTCACCGGTTTGAACCGGAAATGGACGTGTCACTCTCTATCTATCGCTCTCTCTCTGTCTCTCTCTCTCTCTCGCTCGCTCGCGCGCGGGATGTTCAAATTTCGGGGGATGGCCTGGAGGGTATAAGTGGGTCTTCCCCCCTCCGGGTGTCGAGGGCCACCCCCCGGAAAATTACAATCCAAAAACAGAGAGCAAGCGGCGGGCGCCGGGGCGAGAACGCATGTTTGCATGGCTGTTCGTCTCCCCCGACCCCTGGGGCCGGTCGACTGTCTGCGATTTTTAAAGGGGCCAAGAAGAATTCCAGCCAAAATCCCGACAGCCATAATCCCGACAGCCAGAAACCCCGACAGCCAAAAAGTGATACTTCCGGTCATTTTACCCATAAATGGTTTTAAAATCGGGGGGTTGCTGGCTGTCGATATTTTGGCTTGTCGGTATTCTGGCTGTCGGAATTCTCAGTGTCGGGATTTTCGTTTTCGGGATTTTGAATGTCGGGATTATGGCGTTATCTCGGCCAAAAAGTTAAAAAAGTAAAGTGCAATTCTTCGCTCGGGGATCAAGATACCGAAATTTCTGAATGTCGACATGCTGAGATTTTTTGAATAGGATTCGGGTGGTTTGTCCGAGAAAATTAGCTTATGTCAATTTTGAAATTTTCATAGAAAGCGTAAAAATTTGCGAAGTACAAAAAATTACTCCCTACGCGCTTCAGCCGATTTATGTCGACGCGGAACGTTGCGAAATATTTGAGAGAATGGACATTTTTGGCTGGCCGGGATTTACATGCCGTGATGCACTGGAAAGCGCTCAATTCTGCAATCTCGAAGATTCCGGGGCTATTTTGAAAGTCGAAACAACTCAAATGGCCAGAAATTCGATGAAGATTCTGGAAATCAAGTCAGAACTAGGCCTAGGTTTAGGCTTCGGCGTCGCTTAAGCTTAGGCTTAGGCTTGGCTTAGGCTAGGCTTAGCTTTAGGCTTAAGCTTAGACTTAGGCTTAGGCTTAAGCATACGCACGAAGAAATTACGTACCGTGGCCAAGCTTGTCGGGCGGCGGCGGGAGCAACCGGAAAATGTCCCATCCCTTCGACTCGATGGCGGTGCTGGAAGACAAATCGTTGAGCTTGCCCAAATAAAATCGAGATTTCACGGTTGTCACCATCCCTTTAAGGGTCTCCCGGAGGGTGAATCGACCCCTCCCATCGGCTAGGTCTAGACAGGCTCACGACGGGATAGATCGAAAGTTTGCCAGAAAATAAGCCGACAAGTATCTTGGAATGCCGCGTAGCTGTCTAGACCTAGTCGAAAAAGGGTAGATTCCTTAGACCTTCCTTTCTGGTCCCTTTAAAATGCTTTTTCACAAAATTTTGTGGATCGTGTGCGTAGTTTGGAAGCGGACAGGGCCCGATTTAGGCGCTTTTTTGCATCCTATCCCCCGCAGATTCTGCTTTTTTTGGTTGGAGGTTGTGATGGGTCTCTGTCGCTCTCTCGCACGCTCTCTCTCTCTCTCGCTCTCTTTCTCAACGATCTCTCTCTCCTCAAGACAAATAGGGGAGGGCGAGCCCCCGGGAGGCGCTCCCCCTCTCGACACACCCCCCTCATCAACACTCATCTCCAGATTACTCCCCCCGCTGTTGGGTCAAACAAAGCCGCGCGGCCTTTAAAGGAGCATTAAATGAACTTGGAAGGCTAGGTTTTCAAGCGATAACCGTGGGTTTTGGCAGCTAAAGGATCCCGACTACGGTGCTAGTAAAAACAGCTCGAAGAATGTCGTATAATTGGGTTTTTACGGTTTGATTTGGGGAGTCAGAAGTTGGTTAATGGCGAGAGAATAGATGAGAACGAGAGAGAGTAAAAGGGAGAGAGAGAAAGAGATAGATAGAGAGAGAAAGCTAGAATGAGAATGTCTGAAAGAAAGAGCGAGAGAGAGAGAGAGAGAGAGAGAGAGAGAGAGAGAGAGAGTGATCGGACGCGAGAGCGTTCAGACAAAGAGAGATAAAGAGCAAGAGTACATGAGAGTGAGAGTTAGAGAATAAAAGAGTCAGAGAGAGATAGAGAGCGAGAGAGGAAGAAAACGCGAGAGAGAAAGCGAGAGACAAATAGAGAGAGAGAGAGAGAGAGAGAGAAAGAGAGTGAGATAGAGACCGAGAGAAAGATAGATATCCAGAAACATAAAAATTTCCCCACAACGACGACGTGGCCTCGTATTCCTTATTCCGCAAATTGTCCCGTATATTCGCGTCATTTTCAGGATTCGGACCGGCCTGGGGCGTCACTTTTCGGGGTTGTGCGCCGCGCGCCGTTTCCGTGTTGAAGTAGTACGTATCCTACACAAATTCTTAGTTAGGAAGATTCGAGTATTTTGTGGGACCTGTTTTTTCATAGAAACCGGACCCTCGTCATCGCGCGAATCGATGGACGGGATGCGGCCGTTGGCGGCCAGTTGATTCGGGTCCAGCGTCATCATTACGTTGGAATTGCACGTGGTAAATGATTATGCACGCATCAATGGTAGTTGTGCGTAGAGTACTGATTTGCACAAAGTGTTCTGATTACCACAGCGTAGTCTAGAGCCAAAAAGGTGGTTTTTACGACGATTCCAAGGGCGTATTTTGCAGCGTAGTGTAGCCTCGAATGGAGAATGGGACCGACTGTACGTTGCAGTACGCGTAATTTGGAGCGTTACGTAGTCCGGAATTTGAATTTACTCCTGTAGACCGGAGCGTCCTCTAGAAGTAATTTGGAGCGTAGCGTAGCGGAGCCAGTAATGGAAAATCGAACTGTCCAGTGGCGCCTAGAGTAGCGGTACGGTGGAGCGTAGCGTAGTACGAGTTCAGAATAAATTCGAGTGTCCGATGGAGCTTTGCGTAGCGCGTACAGCGGAGCGTGGCGTAGCTCGGCTTCAACCGAGTGTAATTTGAAGCGTGGCGTAGCTTAGTATGGTAGTAAAACTGCGACGTAAGGTGGAATGTCGCGTAATTCCGTTACACGAAATGTAGTCTGAAGCCTAGCGTAGCTTAGAATACAAAGATCTCGTCCGCAAGGTGGAGCGTAGCGTAGTCCTTGCTGGACTGTAATTTGGAGCGTGGCGTAGCTTAGGATTCAAGGTAGTAACGACCGTAAGTTGGAGCGTAACGTCGTTCTAGGCAATCCAAACGTAAAATGGAGCGTGGCGTAGCTCAGCTTCCAATGAATTTCACCTGGCGGTGTAGCGCAGCGTAGTGTAACGTAAAGTAGCGTAGGGTAGCGGAACGTAGCGTATTGGCACGTAACAAAATGAGAAGCGTGCGGCGCGACGTCCGCGCGTGAACAGCAGAGCTTAGCGGAAAGTAGTGCCCGCGGTTCTTCTTGACGACCCAAGAATAGCCGGAGGGCACGCGGGGAGGGCTGTGGGGGGTTGGAAGACAAGGATTGCCCCGCGCCCAAGCAAATACAGTAGTAAGCCGCGAAATGCGGTCCCTGCGCCACACAAAAATCGTGTCTTCTTGTTCGCGCGCGCGGAAGCGGAAAGCTGGGGGCTTTTTGGGGCGGAGAGAGAGAGAGAGAGAGAGAGAGAGAGAGAGAGGGAGAGAGAAGGTTGGGAAAGCGCTTCGGGGGTTGTTTCTCTCCCTCTCTCTCTCTCTCTCTCTCTCTCTCTCTCTCTATTTGTATGCCTGGAGGGCCCATCCCGCCGCCCCGACTGTTCGACACACGGGGCCCCCAAACGCCTCCGCTACAGCCCCGCGAAAAATTAGCCTGAGAAAAACGATTCTTGAAGGGGCTCCGAAGTCTGGTCCACGGCCCCCTGCCCTGATTCCTGGCAAATAGCCAAATGCGAACGCAACGCGACCGCGTCGCATGATTTTTGCCTCGGTTTGGACGTGAAAACGCTTGAATTTCAAACTTCTGAAACCATTTCTGTAAAAACCCAAAAATCGGTGCATTTCAAGGTACTGGACTCTTAATAGGGGGAGGACCCTTATCAAGGTAAAAACTAATTGTATTTTTCGCCTATAACCTGTTGATAATATACAATGTATTTTCATACGATTTTTTAACAGTTTTTGATTGCTGAAAACTTACAAAAATTATTTTTCATTTGAACTTATGCAGGTTCTGGCCTTTTTTGTAATTTTTTTTAAATTGTTGCTCGAAAAGTCACAAATTTCGCAATTTTATAAAAAAATTTTTGTTTAAGATTTATTCTGTTCGTTAAGGGGCCGTACGGGATCACCAAAAAAACCTTAGGCTTAGGCTTAGGCTGAGGCTACGCTGAGCCGCAGTTATTCACTTGCCAAGGATCCAGAATTTCGTGTGCTACGATACTGTCCAAATTCCGGTAAGCGCTGCGTTCCAGAAGCCGTGAAAATCGTCACATTGTTCAAGGGTTTTTTGAGGGCTCCCACAGTGGTCGGGCTTGTATTACCCAACGGCCAGTCATCAGCAACCACTTCAGAGTGCAGCCTCAGGCTGGTTGGATCGATAGCAGAGATCATTTGGGAATGGAAGGGGCAGGCTAGCAAAGATCATTTGGGAATGGAAGGGGCAGGCTAGCAGAGATCATTTGGGAATGGAAGGGGCAGGCTAGCAGAGATCATTTGGGAATGGAAGGGGCAGGCTAGCAGAGATCATTTGGGAATGGAAGGGGCAGGCTAGCAGAGATCATTTGGGAATGGAAGGGGCAGGCTAGCAGAGATCATTTGGGAATGGAAGGGGCAGGCTAGCAGAGATCATTTGGGAATGGAAGGGGCAGGCTAGCAGAGATCATTTGGGAATGGAACGGGCAGGCTAGCAGAGATCATTTGGGAATGGAAGGGGGCAGGCTAGCAGAGATCATTTGGGAATGGAACGGGCACGCTAGCAGAGATCATTTGGGAATGGAAGGGGCAGGCTAGCAGAGATCATTTGGGAATGGAACCGGCAGGCTAGCAGAGATCATTCGTTTTTGGTTACGGTACTCTGAACATGGCTCCCTGATTTTCAGAGTTCTTCCCGACGGCCAATTTTTGGGCCAAACGGGCTCACTTCCGCGCGAGCGCCTGATTAATCCCGCGCGGGCGCTTGCGCATTAAAGGGATCGTAGCGGGGACGCAAAGGAGAAGCCCAGTCAGGCAGATGGTCAGCAAAACGGAAAAAAGTCGGGCGAGAAGATTAGGCGGCATCGGAAGAAATATGGAGAGGAGGCAGGCGAGAGAGAGAGAGAGAGAGAGAGAGAGAGCGAGCGAGAAAATGAGCGAGAGAGCGAGAGAAATGAGAGAGATATGTAAAATCCAAAACCATAAAATGAAGCCGAGATTGGTTAGGATACTCACCTCTCCGGATAATAAATATTCTGATCTTCGGCGTTCGTTTCGGATCGTTGGCGGCTGCCCTAGAAGGAGGAGTGTAAGGGAATGCTCTCTCTCGCTTTCTCTCTCTCTCTCTCTCTCTCTCTCTATCTCTCTCTCCCACCTGCGAATTCATCCGCCCGGCGTCGGCCATCGGTTGGGCCCCCAGCGAGTTGACGCGGGTGGCGCGCGGCTTGCCGTTTAGGGAGTCCTGCAAGATTGGGGGAAGTTATATTGTGAAAAATACAAATTATCGGCCCTAGAAAGCTTGAAAAAACTTGAATCGATCTTCCTTGAAAGGGCTAGGATGTGGAAGATCCAAAAATCGGGTGTGGGCTGGTTTTAAAGGGGCTCCAAAGGTCGAAAGAAAGGGTGAGAGAGCGAGAGAGCGCGAGTGAGAGAGAGCGAGCGAGAGAAAGCGAGCGAGAGAGCGAGTGAGAGAAAGCGAGAGATAACAAGATAGAGATCTAGAGCGAGTGAGAGAGAGGGTGAGAAAGTATAAAGCTAAATCTCTGATGGAACGAAAAGCAAAACACGCATCGACTTCTGACTCAACGTGTCGAGTAATTATCTAGACCTAGTCGTGACAAGGGATCTATTCGCGCGGATTTCCAGTCCCTTTAAGCGTATTGAAACGTCAAATACTGGATAAGCAGAGCATTCTTAAAGTCTTAAGAAAGTTGATTCATTGGGCCCTCAAGCGCGTCGCGTCGCGGTCCGGAAAACTACATCGAGAATCCACAGCCAAAAAATCCATGGTCACTCCTTGCCCGTCCCTTTAGCGTTGTAAAAATTGCAGAAAAATTTAGAAAATGCCTCTTTGTTTGGGCGCTGAAAGGGGAGCCGAAAATTTGGGTTCGAAGGGGTGCAGAGGGATATCGTGATCGGGCTGTCCGGGTGGGCCCGCACTAAAAGCTGTCAAATGAACACAGAAGCCCCGATCCGCCGACCCGAAACGAAGAAAGCCGCTAAAAAGCGCCCCAAGCAGCGGGTTAGCAGGGGGAACTTGAGAAAATCTGCTTTATATCTCTCAATTCCCGAATGATCTCTGCTAGCCTGCCCCCTTCCATTCCCAAATGATCTCTGCTAGCCTGCCCCTTCCATTCCCAAATGATCTCTGCTAGCCTGCCCCTTCCATTCCCAAATGATCTCTGCTAGCCTGCCCCTTCCATTCCCAAATGATCTCTGCTAGCCTGCCCCTTCCAATCCCAAATGATCTCTGCTAGCCTGCCCCTTCCATTCCCAAATGATCTCTGCTAGCCTGCCCCTTCCATTCCCAAATGATCTCTGCTAGCCTGCCCCATCCATTCCCAAATGATTCAGCTAGTAAAGACCATTCAAGAGCTCATGCTCCTTAGAAACCCACCAGGCGGGCTAGCAGCGAATATTGGGGAATCCAGTCATATCCGGATCAGAACGGATCTTTGAAGATTTACGAAAAAAATGGGCAAGCAAGAGGAGACCATTGCGGAAAAAAGAAGCCGCCTAGCAGAGAAATTTGGGCAGACCGAGGGGTTTGGAGAATGCCCGAGCGGAAATTACCGCGGATTCAGAATAGAAATTCGGCCAAGCCAACTAGCAAAGATCACTTGGGAAATTTGGGGGTTCTCGGGGCCTGCAGCGGATTGGTGGGGGAGGCTCATTTTCAGCTTCAAGTGCCGTGGATGGGACCAGTGTTCTTCTTCTCTCCCTTCCGAACACATCCGCCCCGGGGGTTTTCCGCTTTCCGCGACAATACTGTTGACACGCCGGATGAGGGCGGGAGCAGGGAGGAGATCGTTAGAACTGGGACGCCGGTCTGGCAATTTCGACAAGAAAACGTGAAACCTGGCGAATAAGGAGGGCAAGTTAGCAGAGATCATTTTTGGGAATGGAAGGGGCAGGCTAGCAGAGATCATTTGGGAATGGAAGGGGCAGGCTAGCAGAGATCATTTGGGAATGGAAGGGGCAGGCTAGCAGAGATCATTTGGGAATGGAAGGGGCAGGCTAGCAGAGATCATTTGGGAATGGAAGGGGCAGGCTAGCAGAGATCATTTGGGAATGGAAGGGGCAGGCTAGCAGAGATCATTTGGGAATGGAAGGGGCAGGCTAGCAGAAATCATTTGGGAATGGAAGGGGCAGGCTAGCAGAGATCATTTGGGAATGGAAGGGGCAGGCTAGCAGAGATCATTTGGGAATGGAAGGGGCAGGCTAGCAGAGATCATTTGGGAATGGAAGGGGCAGGCTAGCAGAGATCATTTGGGAATGGAAGGGGCAGGCTAGCAGAGATCATTTGGGAATGGAAGGGGCAGGCTAGCAGAGATCATTTGGGAATGGAAGGGGCTTTTTGTTTGAATGGAAGGGACTTTTCGAAACGTGGATAACAAGCTGGCAGAGGTTCTTTAAGGGAGGCAGGGAGCGAGACATACAGAGAGAGAGAGAGAGAGAGGGAGGGAGAGAGAAACAAGGAGCTAGCAAGCAAGCTAGCAAAGACCCTTGAGGAATATCTAGGCAACGCCAAGGCAAACTAGCAAAGATCCTTGGCCTGGCAGCCGAATGTAAGATTGCGACACGTGCTATGTGTGTCCATTCGTCGACCCGTTGGCCGCGCTGCGCATCTAGTATCGCTTTGCGCGGAAGGGAAGTCGAATTGTGGGCGCGCTGGCTGAGCGTGTAGGCGCGCCGGTGCGCCCTGTATAGAGCGAACGCGGGACACGGAATCCAGATCGGGAACACGCGCTCTCGATACACGGCGTATTTGGTGAAAAACGCCAAAGAAAAAAGGTACCGTCTAGCGGAAATCTCAAAAATCCAACTTAAAACGGGTGTTGATAGGGGCGGGACGACTTAGACCTGGGCTTAGGCTTCGGCTTAGTGATAGAGCGGGCTTAGGCTTAGGTTTCTTTGGTCTCCGGCTTCGCGAATTTGGCAAATTACAGTACAGCGCCGGAATTTTGGAACCTTGTCGAGCTAATTTCAGCAGTTGTTACACGCATTCACCTCGTCGTCCCTCTCCGACTCGTCCGCCGGGGGGTTCAGCGTGGCGCCCCGCCCATCGGACAGTAGCGTACCGTCGAGGCCGAGCAGCGCGTAGCCGTATTTTGACTCCTGAAGATCGCATGTTTAGAGGGGGCAGCAGACCATGGCTCTCTCTCATTCTCACTCTCTCTCTCTCTCTCTCTCTCTCTCTTTCACTCTCTCTCTCTCTTGCTCTTTCCCTCGCTGTTTCTCGGGCCAAATTTCTCACCAAATTCTCCAAATCACTGGTGGCTATTGCCGGCTGGGCCACCACCGGCGCCTCCATTGCATCTGGGGAGTTGAGGCTGGCAAAAAAACGTAGACTTTCTGAATATAATTTCGGTTCATTAAAAAAAACCAAAATTCCTAAAAACGCGGCAGCTTAGTAGAGATGATTTGGGAATGGAAGGGGCAGGCTAGCAGAGATCATTTGGGAATGGAAGGGGCAGGCTAGCATAGATCATTTGGGAATGGAAGGGGCAGGCTAGCAGAGATCATTTGGGAATGGAAGGGGCAGGCTAGCAGAGATCATTTGGGAATGGAAGGGGCAGGCTAGCAGAGATCATTTGGGAATGGAAGGGGCAGGCTAGCAGAGATCATTTGGGAATGGAAGGGGCAGGCTAGCAGAGATCATTTGGGAATGGAAGGGGCAGGCTAGCAGAGATCATTTGGGAATTTTCAACATTTCGTTTCTAAGATACAAAAAAAGATTAGCTCCAAGAATTCCGTAATTTCCAGCGTACGGGAGGTGTTGATGGGGGGTCAAGTGGATTGTGATGATTCGGCGGAGCGGATCGTGCGATCGCTTGAGGGCCAAAGAGCCCGGATATCTCAGGGTCCAATTCGCGCTGACCACGTAGATTGGAAACAATCGGAGGCGCGGAGCGCGCTACGCGCAAAAGAATGTGATTTTTGCCTAGTAGCAAAAAGGGGCAGGCTAGTAGAAATCTTTGGTGTGGTTGGGGGCAGACCAGCAGAGATTTTTGCGGAATTTCAGGATAAGGGGAGGTAGGCTAGCAGAAAGCCTTGAGAAAATAGGCAAACAGGGGCAGGCCAGCAGATATTTTTTTATGCAGGGCGGACAAGCTAGCAGAGTTTGTTGGCGATCTGTAAATCAGGGGCTGGGAAGGCCGGCTGGCAGGGATTCTTTTGGAAATTGTCAATCAAGATATGCTAACAGGGATTCTTTAGATTTTCTAGCGTTTTGTCGAAATTTCAATGCACAGAAAATTCAAATTGCGTACGTTTGCGCGGAATAATCGAGGCCAAAAAAGAATCAAGTTTCGATAAAATAAAATAAGCCAATTCTTTTACTGCCAAAAACTAAGTTCACAGCAGGCCAGCAGAGATCCTTAGGGAAACCTAAACCTACAGCAAGCCTGCCAAAATCTTTACCGAAGCCCAGGCTGTCACTCCCCCTTTAGCAGCCCAAATACGGTGTGTGTGGGCCCTTGAAAGGCCAGGGGCCAAGTGGGGGGTGCGTTGTGCCGAGTACGCGATGCTCCGCAATGACGGAATAGCCGCGGAAATGGGCACCCGGCGGAATACCGGCTCGGCCAGCGCGCGGGGCTGCTACCCAGGCTCATAGACACACCGAAACGCGCGCGACCATCCCCCCACAGATGGCCAACCAGAATCGAATCACAAATATCAGACCGGGACGCGCCGGGTGGGCAGACACATTGCACCGGCGCATCCGGTGCGAAACCGCCATTCCTGGCGGCACCCCAAGAAAATGGGCGGCGGTTCTTTTGCATTATCGGGGGGGGGGGTAGTTTCTACGATTTGCTAACATAATGTCGAAAACCATAATGGAGAAGTTTCGGAATATGGCGGAAAACATCACGCCGAAATCTCAAGACGTCGAAATTTTTTGCAAAGCATTCGGGGTTTTCCTGGAAATTTGTCTCTGAATTTCGACATTGTAAATTTCGACACTATAAAAGGTCGACATTTTAAAGTTTTTTACAGAGGCCAAGCCGCAGAAGGCAAGAGCCAAGTGGCTGGAATGCCAAGACGACAAATTAGTCGATTTACAAAATTTTGAGCTACAGGTTCGTGGGGCCTGCGTCTGAGAACGTGTAACAAAAAGCGCTGTAACTTTTAACATCGGGCTCCTCCGAAAATTTGGAAAATAGATTCGGATACAGCGAAAAATTCTCATTTGAAAGAGCATATTTTTCTACCCCTCATATTTTTTATATTGATCCTGAAAGGATTCTACGGGTTTTTTTTTGTGGAATTTAAAACCAACCATTTCGGGCAGTTTGTAACCAAAAAGCGCTGTAACTTTTAAAATCGGGCTCCTCGGCAAATTCCGAAAAACAGATTCGGGATCAAGAAAAATTTTGCACGAAGTAGGCCTGATCCCGAATCCAAACGCACAGAAAAGCCCGCTTCAAATCGACGTTCAACTACGAAAGTCGCCAACTGTTGCAAAATGAGGCCACTGGTCGCAAAGATTCTCTGCTAGATCGCCTCCGCTTTTCCCCCGCTAGAGCAACAAGGAAAAGAGCATCACGGCCCTAAAAACTAATACAACCACCATAGCCGGACTAGTCATCATCGTCTAGGTGGAGGAGGGGAAACGGGTAAATGGGCCGCTTTCGGGTGGTGTTGTTGGGGTGGCCAAGCAGAAGGCGAAGATGAACGAGAGGAAGAAGAAGTCGGGTGTGGGTCCTGGGTGCTTCGGCTGAATAGGTGTGCCCGACCACCTTTCACCACTCTCAGCGCACACTGTGGCGAACCGGCGTGCAGACAATCAGAAGATGCGCCCCCGGGGGACACGCCAGCAGAGCTTGTCTGGGAATCGTTGGAATTTCAGGGTGTTTCCACGACAATCCTCCATCGCCCGGCGCCTCGAAAATTCCGCTAAAACAGCGTGATACCATAGAAAAATGACAATGCCTCGAAACAAGCAATTGAACGATTTATTCACGTGCAAAAATACAAAACACCCAAAATGAAAAAAAAACACCTATCGTCTGGCGAGATGCGGGTTGAATCCCGAGTTGTACTTCGGCTTCTCGCGCTCCTTCCGCTCGTCGTCGGCCTTGGCCAGCTCGGGGTGCAGCACGCGCCAGCTGCGCCCACGTTCCTCGCGCTCTCGACGTAGCCGCTCCTCGCGCAGCTCGGCGATCCTGAAGTGTGAAAATAGGAACGCAAAAACTCATTTACTAGTCTAGATCAAAGCCAGAAAGCTATTCTGTTGAAAAACTCCAATATTCACCTCGCTTTCTTCGCAGCGGCCACATCTTCCTCGATTTCCTGCTTACTCTTCCGCTTCTTCCGTTCATTCGCTGAAGAATCGCTGCTGGAGCTGCGGCTTCGCTTCCTAAATAACGTACTAGCAGAGCTCCAAAGCGCACCTCTTTTTATTATGTTTTTCCTTTTTGTCCTTCTTCCGTTTCTTCTCCTTTTTCTGCTTCTTGTCCTTTTTCGATTTTCGACCCTCTTCGTCATCGTCGTCCTTTGCGTCTTTCTTCGGTGCCTAAACGGTGTTTCAAAGCAATCAGATGTCGAATACCGGTGGGAAAACGAGGCGTTCCGGTTTCGAGAGCTCTTTGGGCCTTTTCGGAAGTACTTCGTACCTAAAACGAAGATTTTAGTTTGGACAATAAGATCTGACCACTCCTTCTTTTTCGTCAACTCATTCGTATCCTGGCCAAGCTTGACGAGGATGCCCATCTTCTGTTCCCATTCGTCTTTTTCTTTCGCCTTCTCCTGCTTGTACTCCTCGTTGTCGCCGCCCAGATTTTTGCGCTCATTCCTATGATAAAACTGCATACCTTGCAAGAAAAGCTACCTTTCTAAATCCGCAAAGAAGTTGATATGCCCTCCGGAAGTGCCTGGCTCTTCTTCGGCGTCCGGGTTGGCGTCGGGGCGGATGTCGAAGTCGGTCTCCAGCCGTTTATCGGCCTAAAGAAGTTTTAAGTTTTTGTTTAAATTTTTAATTTATACCTGTTCTCGTAAAACCTTCAGCCTGCGCTCGCTGACGACGTTGATCTGCCGCTCGAGCTCGCGCCGCTCTTTTTCGGCTGCCTCCGCTTCATCTCTAAACGAAAATTGGATTAGTTTGGCGAGCGCTTTAATTAGCTTACTTTCGCACTTTGCGAATATTTTCCTTTGTGCGCACGTGCCAACTCTTGTGGTGTAGGATATTCATCCTAAATCAACGGCGGTGAAATGAAAAATGAGCCTTGGTTCTTTCGCATTAGCGAGGGGCAAACCTTTTTGTACGTCTAGAAATGCCTAGAAACTCAATATAAATTGTTTTCATAATGCTTTTAGGTAAATAAAACAAGAAAAACTATCTATAAATCGAAATTTTTAAAAATAAACCGATAGCGGTCAAAAATCGTTATTTTTGTGATTTTTTTATGGAATTTTGTAGGTTTTACGTTTAAGAAAAGTAAAAACCGTCTAGAAACTCTTTCGCAATCTATCGTTGAAAAATTGGATCGTATGAAAAAGTTCGTCCCCCCGATAATGCGAAAGAACCTGCTCTTTTTTGCTTTACAAAAAATCCAGCCGGTCTGTCGATACCAGAAGTCGCCAAAACTTATTCAAGTCCAACACACAGAGAGGCAGTTTAAAACATTTATCAGCAATTCAAATCGTACCCGAAAACGCAAGGAAACAATGAATGACAATAAAAAAGTACAAAGGGAAAGCCATGAAGTCTGAAGAATAAAAATTAATATCTTCCGGCGAATTTGTCGTTGAGCCGCGTGCTGCCATCACCGCTTTGGCTGTCCGGCGGCAGCCAGGTGGCGTATTTGTCGTCCTGGAAAAGTTTTATGAATTTCTGGAGTTCTTTTGCATTATCGGGCGGAACAAATTTTTTCTTGGGGTCCAAATTGTAAATATAAATAGCGAAAGTGTTCCTAACTATTCTTTACTCTTCCTAAACGTTGAAAAATAACAAAATTTTGTTGAAAATGTAAAAAATATAGATTTTTTTGAACAACAAAAAGCGTTTTTCGAGCAACCTTTATTTTTTAAAAACCGCTCGCTTCCCCGAAAATGCGAAAGAACCCAAAATTTATAAATTTTGTGAAATCCCGCTACCTTGTCCTCCATTCCCTCGCCATACTCGGTGCCGGAGACGACGAGCACTTTCTTGCGCTCCTCGCGGCTGCGCTGATTTCTAAAAGGCAGGGTTTTCGCATATAAAGCACGGAAACCGCTTTCTCCTCTGCTTCTCGGCCTGCTCATCGTGGTGCTCTTGCTCGTACTTCTTTTCCTCTTCCGTCATGTTGATCGACTAAAGAAGTTTGATAATGGCAAGCACTTTTTCAAAACTCACTTCGAGCTCCTCCAAATGAGCGGCAAACTTCTTCGACATTTCCGGCTCCTTCTTCTTTTCCGGTTTGGGCTCGGCCTTCGGTTTTCCTTGGCGTGCCGCTGGAATCGGCATTTTGAATTCTTGTGGAGGGGCGGCGCTGGGTTCAGCTTTAGCTGGTTTTGCCACCTAAAAAAGGTTTATTCTAGATTTACCCGATTTCCTTACCTCGTCATCCACTTCCGGCACAAAGCCTGTCGTTGAACCGGCTGGTCCCTGCGAGGCCGTCGAAGGCTGCGCGGCCTGCTCATCGAGCTAAAAATTAAAAATTCCAGAAAATTACAGACACCCTGCCTTTTGCTTCTTTCCGAGCTGCATCATTTTCCGGTAGAATGCCTGTCGATCGCCGGCCTTCCCGACCTCGGCGTTTTTCATCTCGGAAAGGGAAACCTAGAAAAAAAGCGAAATTTTATATTGTTGAAAGCACCCTTACCGGTTTCGCAATCTTTGCCAGCTGCTCCATCCGCTGCACTTGGTAGGTGAGGTCGGCGAGACGAAGTCGGATTTGTGACTTTTCGGTTTTCGTCTAGAACAGATATTTTTGCGCGCTAGAATTTCGCACCTTTTGATCGTCTTGCTTCGTCACCAACGATTCTTGCCCGTCTTCGACCTTGAGATCCGTGGTGGCATTTAGTTTTTCGTAACGCTCGTTCAGCTCGGTAATCTCCTAGAAACATAGAACCTTCCAGAAACCGAAAATATACCTTTTTTGAGTTCTCCAGGTCGGCCAAGATCGACTCGTACGTGTGCGTCTTCGATTCGCGCTCCGTGATTCCCTAGAGGAACAAAGTCGTTGTTGCTGCTCAAAAAAGATTACCAGGGCTCGATTCTTGCGCCGCTCCTGCTTGAGGGTCACATCGCCGGTACGATCGAAGTATTCATCGTCGTCTTCCTCGTAGTAATCGTCTTCCTCTAGCGTGCTGAAATTACTTTGCAAAAGCGCCCATTCAAAATGTCGAAACGCAGATTCGGACCAAGCAGAAAGCCCTTACCGTTTCTTGATCTTGGCGCGGCTCGTCGATTTTCTTAGCACACCGTGGGAGTCGAGGAGACGACAGGCCTCTAGGGCACACTAACAAAAATTGTCGTCCCTTGAAAAATGCCAAACCTGAGCTTGGGCATCTTTTTTCGACGTGGACACAGTCGCCGAGGCCTTCAGCGTGCGGCCGTTCAAGTCGACGGGCAATCTAAAAACATATTTTAAGTTATACAAGCTTTCTTACTCGATGTGGCAGATCCATTTGTGGTTGCTCGAGTTGACGCCCGACTCCGAGTACGTAAACTCCATGTCGAAGCCCTCGCGGTCAAAGAATTTGGCCAGGGCTTTGCGCGGATCGTCCCGGTAGTAGGCCTCGTGATCTTCCATGAGATGCGCGTCGTTGCCATCGAGCTTAAAAGGGTTCGTTTTGCGATGCAATGTGAACAACGTTTGTGTTAAAATGCGAATCTTGAAAGTATTTACTTACATGCATAAGCCCGCTATCTCCGGCGTCATCCTCGAATCGCATGCCCCAGTCGACGCCCTGCTCCTTCTCATCCTCGCGCTTCCGGCGCTCGAACTCCTCCTTGGCTTCGGCGGCCAGTTTGTCCTCGACGGCCTACAAAAAAGGTACGATAGCCTAGATATTTCATACCTTGCGCTTCATCTTCTCGTTCATTTCGGTGGGCGACAGCTCCCACTCGGCGTCCTTCTCGTCCTCAGGCCCCTTGAGCATCAGATAGCGCGTGCTCACTAAAATGCACCAATTTCACGAAATACAGCTCAAACTCACTAGCAAAAGACAGCACCCAGCCGATGCGCACGCGAATCCACTGGCGCTCGGGCACTTTTTGACGGTTGGCCTTGGTGCCGTGTGACGATCCTAAAATACGTAAAGCATAGTGATCATGTATTTACCTAGATCGTACAAATGCCAGCATTTCTTGCCGCTCTTGTGGTCGAGGCCGTACTGCAGGATTGCGTGGTAGCGCGAGAGGGAGAGATGGTCGAATTTGATGTCGCAGTCCGGAATCCGGCCGATCGTTACGAACGTATCTGTAAATAGACAATTTATAGTAATTCTAAAACCATCCTTACCGTTTTTGCGTTTTGCCAGGTCGAATGTTTCAATGTGGTTGCCCTGCTTTATCACCTAAAGGTGGGTAAACTAGGGAGAAAGCTCAAACAAACCTCCATTTCCCATTTCACGCCTTCTTCCGGCTTGCATGCCCATGACGGTGGCTCGTACTTCAAAATCGCGGTGACGCCTGGTGACTTAATCGGCGGCTTCTGTTGTTTCGGCTGTAAAAGAGTTGTCTGATCAAAAATTGTAAAGTTTTTACGTTCCGAAATCGTAAAAATCCGTTTAGAAACATCCATTACTTATAATTGAAAAATTGGACCCTAAGAATGCGAAACCACCGAGTTTCCAAATAAATACGATAGAACTGACCACTTCTCCGGGCTTCGCCTCCTCATTCGTCGTTTTCGAAGGTGCACTCACCGGCAGCGCCGGCTTTGCGAATGTAGCTTCCTCTAAAACTGATTTTCGACAAGGAATTTAATGATTACCGGGAGGTTCGCGGGCCTGATCGCTTGAGGGCGGCTCTTGATCACCCATCCTGCAAAGCTGTATAGAAAAAGAGCAAAAACGGATGGAAAACAAATAGTGAAGCGTAAACAATGACTTGTACTATTGAATAAACAATGGAGAATATATAACCCGCGGCAAATTTCAAGCACTCGAGACCATCATGAACTTATTCTGCGTGTTTTTCGCTCTTTTTTGTCTAATTCTTGCCGCGGTAAGCCAGTTTCTACTATTCGAAATTCCGCTTTAGTCGGCTGGGCCGTTGCCTTCAGACTACACCAAGAGCGAGATTGGGCGAGAGGAGAGGATCGAGGACGCGAAACAAGAGATTCGTATGCGACAGAAGCAGCACTGAAGTTTTCCTTTTTATAGGCAAAAAGATCAATTCACCCGCAGAAACGATGCTTCACGAAGACTGACACTGTCCTACTAAAATCTTTAACATCAGCCATAAAATTGCAAGCAATGTCTTGTATTTTCAATCATGTGCATTTCCTTTTGGAACACGGCCTGTCACAAATCCTTTATTATTGCACAAAAAGTTATTTACAAGAAAAAGCGCTCGCACCTCATAACGGGCGGCACAACAAAAAACACAAGCTATCCCCGAGGTGCGAGACAACCCAAAAAAGCCCCATTCACAAACATGGTCAGGGGAAATCACCCGAATAGAAAGGATTGGTGGTGTAGCGAAATCATTGTGGCGCCGGTTTACAGCTCGTCCTTCTCGTGCGCGTCGTCCTTCTCCTCCTCATCCTCATCATCGTCTTCCTTCTTCTTATCTTCCTCCTCCTTGCGCTTCTTGTCTTCCTCGTCACGCTTCTTGCGCTCTTCCTCGTCGGCCTTCTCCTTGGCTTCCTTCTCGGCTCCCTGAAAAAGACAAATTAATAGATTTTAAAACCAATTTTGAGAAAACTGGGGGTAAAGATTATGTTAAAATCCTTACCTTCAATTTGTCGAAGGTTTCGGCGGCGTGGGCCTTGGCATCATCGACCGAGTCGGCGATGAGAAGGTTGTCGAAGATGGTGCCAGATTTGACTTGCCAGATGTCGATTCCAACGGCGCCAAAATCCTCGTACAGGTACAGGTTGTCGTCGGGGGAGTACTCCGGGTTGTCGATCTCGGGGTGCACCCACTTGCCCTTGTATTCGGGATTCTTGATCTGCTTGGGCTTCCATTCTCCCTTGTAATCGGGGTTATCGATCATCGGGGGCTCCCATTCGCCATCCATATCATCATCCCAGTCCTCAGGCTTCTTGGCATCCGGGTCGGGGATGTGCTCGGGCTTGTCCCAGTCCTCCGGCTTCGAGTCATCGGCATCATCGATGTACTCGCGCTCATCCCAGTCATCGGGCTTCTTCGCATCCGGATCCTTGATCTTCTTGGCCGGGAGCAGATCGAAATCAGCCTCGAGCTCGCCGCTCTCTACCTTCTCGCCATCGATCTGGACCTCGTAGGTGTTGTCGGGGTTCAGGATGAGTGTGTAGAGGTGAGTGAGTTCGTCATCCTTGCAGCGGATCTCCTTCTTGATGAGGTGGTTCTTGCCCTTGTAGGAGAAGATGACATGGACCTTCTTGGTCGGTCCGCAGATATCAGGACCGAACATGACGTTGTATGGGGTCTCTCCGTGGAAATCGGCGAGGTCGGCGTCCGATCGCATCACCTTCAGGTAGCCACCACCGCAGTCGATGCCCTGCTCGTGCTTGACGGTGAACTGGATGACAACGGTCTTGCCCTTGTTGGAGAACTTGGGGTACGAGACACCGCGGGAGTAGAAACGGGCATCCTAAAGCATTTTGATAAAACAAGACGATTGGCAAAGTTTATACCTGAGAAGTCTTGAGTCCTTGGTCGCGCTTGGCATCGCCATAGTACTTTCCGGCAGACAGCTTGAACTCTCCGTAGTCCTCCTTGTGCTTGGACTGGATCCAGCGCTTCTCCCAGGAGTCGTCGTTGAACTCTTCCTTGAAGTAGACCTCAGCGGCCACACAGGCCACGACGGCCAGGAGTGCGAGGGCGGCTTTCATGTCAGGTGAACGGCCCAAGGTTCTGAAAAAATCAAAATAAATCAAGGGCAGCGAAAATTAGAAATTCGGAACGAAGGTAACAGATAAAAAGGGTAGCTAGAATTCCGCGGATATTTTTTTGAGCTAGAATTCAAAATATAGAGCTTTTTTTCCTCTTAACAAATTCTCGTCAAAGTTACAGAAAATGGTCGAGGAACTGAGGGGCGCGTGCTGGATAAATATGGGGGAACTGAGCGAGGGGGGCCGCTTATGCGACGAGGCACTAGCCGAGCACGGCGGTGGCCCAATCGCGGCGCACCAACGAAGAGTGGGCGGGGCCTGGCGACTAGAGCCACGCCGAAGAGGCGAGACTGAACGGAAAGGGGGGCGACGCGTGGGAAAACCAACTGCGCTGCAAAAATAGTGCGATCCGAACGGCCTTGACCGTCTTTCAAAACGTCGAAATTCTGGGCCAAGGTATCGGGGAAGACTGTGAGACCAAGAGAAAAACAAGAAACGGGACACTGTGAGCAATCTAGGAAAAAAACTAGGAAAGGTAAAATTTGTGAAATAGTTTAGTGATATAAAAAAGCGGAAGTTGGAAAGCCAAAAAAACATGATTGGAATGAATTTTACACAAAAATGCGTCGACTACGGACGGGCGCGACTACGGTGGATAAAATAGAGGCCATCTTTTAGCAAACCAGTGCGCGGAGCTTTTGGGGGCTCCGAAATCGAATCCTTTGAAGTCTTGAAGTTTGTAGTTTAACTTTAAATTGGAGGCTTTTTATTCAAGCTGGATTGGTGATACAAAACCATGAGCTTTTCAAAAAAGCTATAAAAGACGCTCAAAAGACTTCGTGATATTAAATTTTCCTACGGGAATGTGAATAATTTTTTCCTCTATTGATCTGATCGATGCGATTTTGGAAATGCGGGCTGGGGAAAAAGTTATGATCGATAAAGACAAAAATCCTTAACATTTTCGATGGCTATATTTGTGACTCTCTAAAAAAACTCTTTCAACGGTTGATTCTCTAACTTTATTATACAAAAACCAGCGCCCAAAACCCGCTTCGCGGGCCTTGGGCGCTGGAATGCGGCCTTTGCATAAGAAATTTGACTTTCCGATAGCTCGGGTCCTTCGGACCCCCCCCCCCGGCCGACCACACTCGCGAGTGCAACTTGCAAGAATGAAGAAATTTCGATTTTTTTACATTATGCAAATTACCCCCAAAAATGAGTAAAACCGGCTTTAACTTTGTAAACTTGTATTTTATCAAAATTCTGAAAGCGCCATTGGAAACAGAAGGGCCGATTCCCCCGGGTGACGGAGAATTGGGGCATTTTATGCACGGGAAGGCCCTCAAATCGGGTCTTGAAAGTGACATCCACACACACACACACAGTTACACACCAAAATTATATAAGGTAGGATGTGCATAATTGTTTTCTCGATAGAACTAGCGCGGCGATGTTGGAAATATGACCAGGGAAAAGAGTTATGAGTGAAAGAAAGGCGGCCCTCTTAACATTTTTGGGGGTGGGGGAAACCCCTCTCGTGCGCGCTTTCCCATAGATCTGACAAGCCGTGAAAAAAATCGTTATAGTTCGTCGTTTTTCTCGTTTGATTTAATTTATCAAATTGGGCGGTGAAACTTTCGGACCAAAACCGGACCGGGCAAATTTCCTAACCGAGAGAGAGAGAGAGAGAGAGAGAGAGAGAGAGAGCCAGAGAGAGTGAGACCATGCAGAACTTTCGGGAAAAGTCCAAAATGCAGACACCCAAAACGCAGAATGCTAAAACGCAGACAACCAAAACGCAGACAGGACAAAACGTAGACAGCCAAAACGCAGACAGCTAAAACGCAGACAGCCAAAACGCAGACAGCCAAAACGCACACAGCCAAAACGCAGACACTGAATATGCAGACACCGAATATGCAGACACCTGATTCACCTAATTCGACAACGATGACAACTTTCGCATATCTTCGCATCATCCCGAAATCTCAAATCCTCAAACATCCCAAAAATGATCTTCTGTGCTTGTACCAGCAGTTGTATTTCGGATGGGAAGAATAAAGTGTTGAGTTATGAGATGGTTTTGGCTGTTTGCATATTCAATGGTGTCAGCATATTCATTGTCAGCATATTCAGTGTCTGCGTTTTGGCTGTCTGCATTTTGTCCTGTCTGCGTTTTGGCTGTCTGCGTTTTGGCTGTCTGCGTTTTAGCATTCTGCGTTTTGGGTTTCTGCGTTTTGGCTGGAAATCGGAACTTTCCAACCATCAAAAAATCGGGCCATATGGCGTAGCCAATCACTGTCTAGACCTAGTCGATCGAAGGGGTCGATCCTGACGCTGCCTAGCTCCGTTAGCCCCTTTTTCCGAAGCCACGGCAACGACAACACCACGCCTTTGATCTCCCACACCAGCAACGTCGCGTTTACGACATCTTGGGAAAAGAGAAAGGCTTCCTAGGCATTGCAGCTAGTCGATCTCACCGAGGTCTATTCGGACTCTGTGATGGAGATCTAGATTTTGTGATAGCAACTCAAAAGAATTCACCGAAAGACCTGAATTTGCCTATCATCGCCAAAGAATACAGCTATCATGGGATTCCCATCATCAAACCCTGCAGTCGTCTTTTCCTTGTATATTTGCCTTGATTTTTGTAGCCTTTATGTTTTGTAGTCTTGGTTTTTACATTGAATAAGCCCTAAATGTATCTTTAATATCGTTGATAAAGAATTTGAGACAGCTAAGAATACGGTAGCTACGAGCTAACGGCATAATACGGATTGATACAGCACGTGGCCCCGGATTTTTAACGCTATTCTTACACAAACATTATTCTGCCTATAACTGGTTGTGATTAAATTATTTTCGGCTTTAATTAATGTATTATTAATATATTAATTACTGCATTATCGCAATTTCTCTCGGAAAACTTTCTGACAACTTTAGGGAGCTACGCAGCACGCCAAATGACGCGCCTCCATTTAGTTTGATAGGGTTACTTTCAAGATATCGGAAATCTTAAAGGGCTGCCGACGGCATGTGTCGATCCCCCCTCATCAACAAATTGGCAAGTAGCCAACAGGGGAGAGAGCGCGCCCAGGGGAGAGGCGCAGAGACATTTTCTTTTCCGCGCCTAACCGATTGACTATGCCGTCGGCATCCCTTTAAGGCCGAAATTCATAACGCCAAAATTTGATAATATATCGTAATATCGTAATTTCAAAATGCCGAAAATTATATGAGCAAAATTTTCACAAAATTCCCGGAAAATCCACACATTTCCAAAACTTCCGCCTGCAGGCAATTTAATTTTTGACCGAAACTGCCGTGTTGTGAGTCCCGGGAAAGTGACGCCAATTCGGCGATTCCTTATCAGCCAGGACGGAGGAAAGAACGAAAATTGTCTGATATTGCAGAGGACGTGCGGCTTCAATTTGTCGGCTAGCTACATTATATTTTCCACCTAATTTTTTGTAGGTATTTTCTCTCTCTTCCTCTCTCTTCCTCTTTCTCTCTCTCTCTCTCCCTCCCTCTCTATCGCTTTTCCAGATTCTTCTGATCTTTTAGTGGGTATGAAATCGGCAGTGCTACTGCTGGCGTTGGCCGGCTTCAGCCTTGGCGACCTCATCCAAAATCTGCCCGGCCAGCCGGCCGCCAACTTCAAGCAGTACAGCGGCTATTTGACCACGGGGACAAATGGACGAAACCGCATGTATTATTGGTGGGTGTTGGAGAGAGTGAGAGCTAGAGAGAGAGAGAGAGAGAGAGAGAGAGAGAGAGAGAGATAGAGAGGGGGAGAGACGATCCTCTAGGTTCGTCGAGTCGCAAAACCAGCCGTCCACCGACCCGCTGCTTCTCTGGCTGACCGGCGGCCCCGGCTGTTCCGGAATTTCGGCCCTTTTTGGCGAATGGGGACCGTTTACGGTAGGCTTAGGTTATGCTTTGGCTTTTGATTTAGGCTTATTTAGGCCCAGGTTTGGCTTAGGCTACGATTTTTAGGTCAACTCTGATGCGGCCACGCTGAGTGTCAACCCGTATTCGTGGAATCGCAATGCCTCGGTGCTGGTCCTCGAGAGCCCGGTCGGCGTCGGTTTCTCCTACACCACCGACCACTTTGGCGTCGGCACCAGCGATAATCAGGTAGGTTTAAAGGGACCTCGAAGCGCGAGAATCGACCCTTGCCAGAGGCTAGGTCTAGACAGATACGTGATGCGCTGATGCGAAGGAAAGCACGCCGAGATACGTATCACATCAAGACCTAGTGAAGGCAAGGAGTCGATTCCCGCACTTTCTTGTCTTGTTAATTCTTCCCGGGAGAGAAACAGACAAAGAGAAAGAGGGAGAGAGATTGAGAGAGAGAGAGAGAGAGAGAGAAAGAGAGAGAGATCCATTAAACCGGTGTACCCTTTCCAGACGGCGCTGGAGAACTGGCAGGCCCTCACCGGGTTCCTCACCGCCTTCCCGCAGTACAAGACCAACGACTTCTACGTGACCGGCGAGTCGTATGGTAGGTGCAGACTCTGTAGAGAATTTTAAAGGGACGCGGAAGGGCCAGAATCGACCCTTCACTTGCCTAAGTCTAGACGGTTGCGCGTCTTCTAACTGATTACGCAGGTTTCCGGGTAGCGTATCTGTCTAGACCTAGTGGGACTAGGGGGTCGATCCCGGCAATTACCCAGCCCTTTAAAAACATGATATGGCTTACCGAGCCATCTAAAACAGTTTTTCAGGCGGTATCTACATTCCAACCCTCGTGCAATACATCCTCGACCACCAGACGGACTATAAGATCAATATTAAGGTAAAATTATGACGATTTATGCGCTTTGGAATAATTCATTTTTCGAAAAGCTTTGTATACGTCAATTGAAGGTCCAAAATTTGCCATCATAGCCCCTTGAAAGCCTAAAAAATGCTTTTTAGGGCATGGCAATCGGCAACGGGCTGCTGGACGACGATCTGGACACGGACGGCCTTGTCGAATTCACCCATAAACACGGCCTCGTCGACCAACTGTTAGTATTCTGCCACTAAAATTGCAAAAAAACCTTCTGAAAAAATGACAATTTGTCCAGGCAGTGGCAGCAGGCGCAGACGAAATGCTGCACCAACGGCAACACCGACGACTGCCCATGGTCGACGTTTTGGGTGGGTTATCGAGATCCTGAAGGGACCAATAAGCCCCAAATCGACCCCTCTCCTCGACTGGGTCTAGACAACTACCTGTCACGCCAAATTCCGTCCGGAAACTTATTTTGAGAGCCCCAAGGGGCAAGAAGTTACTGTAAAAAGTGCAGGACGGTTTCCATAGTTTTTTGGAACTTCGCGTAGATGTCGAGAGCTAGTCAAGGAGCGAGCTCGATTCCTGCAGTTGCCGATCCCCTCAATGCCTAAATTTCCAGAACGGTATCTGTCACCTCTTCACCGAGCAGGCTGTAAACTTGGCCTGGTACGTCAGCTAGAGGGCAGGGAGAGAGAGAGAGAGTGAGAGAGAGAGACAGGGGCAGGGAGAGAAGCGGCAAGCCTCTAGGTTAGTCTCTCTCAGTCTCTCCCTCTCTCTCTCTCTCTCTCTCTCTCTCTCTCTCTCTCCTTCTCTCGCTCTCTCTCACTTTCGCAATGTCTCCTTCAGGCGCTCCGGCTTGAATCCCTACAACATGTACGCCGACTGCGTTAACGCTCAGCTGACGTCGAGGTTCGAGGTCGACCACATGCGCAAATTTGGCGTGAAACCGCACAAGGTAGAGTGAAGAAGCCGAATCTCCCTCTCTGTCTTTTTTCTCTCTTTCTCTTTCTTGCTCTCTTTCTCGCTCTCTTTCGCGCTCTCTCGCTCGCTCTCTCGCTCTCTCTCTCCCTCCAATCCCTACCTTTAGCTGAGCACCCCGCCCTGTGTCGACGAGTCCACACTGACCACCTACATGCAACGCGCCGACGTCAGGAAGGCGCTCGGCATCCCGGATTCGGTCCCGAAATGGGAGATTTGCAGGTATTAAAGGGTCCAGCAAGACAGAAAACCTGGGGTAATGACACCATGAAATTTAAGCAGGTTGCCTCTGACCAAAAAGGTAATTTCAGTGACGCCGTCAGCCAGGGCTACCACCGTCAGTATGGCACGATGAAGCCGCAGGTGACGAATGCGGTGAATGCGGGCTTGAAGGTAATGTAATGGGCTTCTCACTCTTACTCTCTTTCTCTCTTTCTCTCTCTCTCTCTCGAGCCGGTCACTCAAATTTCTAGGTCATGCTCTACTACGGTGACATCGACATGGCATGCAACTTCCTCGGTGGCCAACGCTTCGCGGCAAATCTGGGGATTGCGGTACGTCACCATGTATCTCTCTCTCTCCCTCTCTCTCTCGCTCCTATCTTTATTTCTCTTAAAATCCCTCCATTTTTAGCAAAAAGAGTCCAAGCGCACCTACCAGGTGAATGGCCAGGTGGGCGGCTACGTATCCGACTTTGGACAACTCAAATTTGTGACGATTCGGGTGAGTTTCTGATTTTAAAGGGGCTTGTAAGCACTGGAATCGACCCTTCCCATCGGCTAGGTCTATACAGCTACGCGACGCGCCAAGACACTACGCTCAAGTGCCCCTATCTTTTGTCCAAATAGCCTTCTAAATCTGGTGGCACCGAAATGAGATCTACGCGTCGTTTGGAGTGTCGCGTAGCTGTCTAGACCTAGAAAATTAAGGGGGCCGTTTCTGGGCTTCCCAAACCCTTTAACTGTCCTAATCCATCGCTTTTTAGGGAGCGGGCCACCTCGTGCCGCATGATAAACCCGCCGTGGCAGCATACATTCTCGACGCTTTCATCAACAACAAAAGATTCTAAAACGCAAAACGCGAATTTGTACAGTACCAGAATAAAGTTGCCAATCATTTAAGCGGTGTAAAGTCTAGCGGGGACCAGTAAACCACAGAATCGCCGCGCGCAATCGACTAGGTCTAGACGGTTACGCGGTGCACGCAACGCTTTACTTATACAGCGTCGCGACACGCAACGCGTTCCCTTTCGGCGCGCACAACCGCTCTCGCTGGTTTATTGCGCAATATAAACGGGCCTGTGTCGGCATTTAAAGGGGCCAGTAAGCCACCGAAATTAACCACCCCGTCGACTGGGTCTAAACAGCTACGCGACACTTCAAGACACGCAGAAATCGCACTTTATTCGCCGTAAATGGTACCATTTTGGAATGATGGAAATCATCTTTAGCGGTACGCGATGTGTCGCGTAATTGTCTAGACCCAATCGACGGAAGGGATCCTTGTGCTTCCTCATGCCTTTAAAATGTAGTTTTTCTCTCGTCATGGAGCCGAACGTCACTATTTCCGCCTGAAGCCCGGGCCGGAAAATTTGCCCTTATCTGCGAAAATTCGTGGAAGCGACGGCGGCTCGTCGGCTGACCGCACCGATACTGCTGATTACGAGTGGCGGGCTGGATTTTAGTCGGACCGCACTCTGCACTCCCGGATTCGCCAAGGTTTTGGTTTTAAAGGGACTGGGAAGGCAGGAGTCTTTAGAGCTTATTTCTCTCTCTCTCTCCCTCTCTCTCCCTCTCTTACCGAATATTTTGATCTTTTAGTGGGTATGAAATCGGCAGTGCTACTGCTGGCGTTATCCGGCTTGAGCCTTGGTGCTCTCATCCAAAATCTACCCGGCCAACCGGCCGCCAACTTCAAGCAGTACAGCGGCTACTACTCGGTCGGCGCAACCGGAAATCATCAGCTACATTATTGGTAAGGGATAAGGTGGGAGCGAGAGAAAGAGAGAGAGAGAGAGAGCGAGAGAGAGAGCGAGAGAGAGAGAGTGACAAAGAGAGACAGAGACAGACAGAGCGAGAGATATGGAGATATAGAAAGAGATAGAGAGAGAGAGGGCGAGAGAGAGCTAACTCTTTTTCTAGGTTTGTCGAGTCGCAAAACCAGCCATCCAGCGACCCGGTGCTCCTCTGGCTGACCGGAGGCCCCGGCTGTTCCGGTCTCTCGGCCCTCCTCACCGAGTGGGGACCATTTTTCGTACGTTTCTGAACGATAAGTTACGGGCCTGAACCCTAAAGGACCGTGCAAAACATTACTACATTACTACATTGTCGAGCTTGTCGATCACGTCGCCTTTTCAGATCAATCCTGATGGCGCCACTCTCCGCGCGAACCCTTACGCCTGGAACCGCAATGCGTCGGTGCTGGTCCTCGAGAGCCCGGCCGGTGTTGGATACTCATATGCCAAGGATGGCAATGTCGACACTGGAGATGACCAGACGGCCTCCGAGAATTGGGACGCGCTGAAAGCCTTCTTCACCGAGTTCGCCCAGTACAAGAACAACGACTTCTTCGTGACCGGCGAGTCGTATGGGGGCATCTACGTGCCGACGCTCGTCCAGACGATCCTCGATCGTCAGTCGCAGTTCAACATTAACATCAAGGTACGGTTTGAACAGCTGGTATCTTTCTCGCTCTCTCTCTCTCGCTCTCTCTCTCTCTCTCTCTCTCTCTCTCGCTATCTATCTGTCTCATTCTCGTTCACTCTCTTGCTCGCTCATCCACTCTGCTTCTCACTTTCTCTGTCTCTCTGCACCTTTCTCTCGCTCTCTTTCACGCTCTCTTTCCTGCTCTCTCTCGCTCTCTCTCGCTCACTCACTCTCTCGCTCTCTCTTTCTCTCTGTTTCTATCGCTCACTCGATCTCTCCCTCTCTCTGTCTCTCTCTCTCTCTCTCTCTCTCTCTCGCCATCGTGACTATCCAGGGATTCGCCATCGGAAACGGGCTGGTCGATGGAGATCTGGACATCGATGCGCTCATCCAATTCGAGCACAAGCATGGCATGATCGATCAACTGTAAGTCTAAAGGCGTCTGAAAATCACCGAATCGACCCCCCGCAACGTCTAGGTCTGGACAACTACGCGATACGCCAAAACCCACTTCAAGCAATTGAGCGTATGTCGAGACCTAGTCGCTGGACGGGGTCGATTCTCCATACCAAATTTTAGGCAGTGGCAAGACATCCAGAAGAGCTGCTGCAGCAACAACATGGACGACTGCCCCTTCCACAACTTTAACGTATGGGATTCGAAGGATACTGTATGATAGGTGTTTTTTAGGATGCGGACAAATGCGGAAACTTTGTTAACGACGCCGGAAATAGGGCATGGTAAGAGAGAGAGAGAGAGAGAGAGAGAGAGAGAGAGAGAGAGAGCGAGAGCGATACAGACGGATAGAGACAGAGAAAGACCTAGAGAGGGAGAGAGATACAAAGGCAGAAAGAGAGTGATAGAAAGAGAGAGAGAGAGAGAGAGAGAGAGAGAGAGAGAGAGAGAGCTAGCCATTTTTTTCAGGGGCGGCGGTCTCAACCCATACAACATGTACCAGGACTGCGTCAACCAGGGCTCCATCCCGAAGCGGTTCGCCCTGGAGTTCAAGCGGAAAATGGGCCGCCTGCCCAAGCCGGAAGAGGTGGGTCAAAAATGAATCTCTTTCCCCAAGAATCTCTGCTGGTCTGCCTCTCCCGTCTTTTTCCATAATAGTGCCCATAATTTTCAGTTGGGAACCGTTCCGTGTATGAACGAGACCTCGGCCACTGTATACCTGAACCGACGGGATGTGCGAAATGCCCTCGGAATCCCCGGGCTTCTCCCGGCCTGGAGCATCTGCAAGTAGGCGAGAGAAAGAGAGCGAGAGAGAGAGAGAGGAGAGAGAGTGAGATAGAGAGAGACCGATCCGTTTAGCGATGACCTAAATGAAAACTACAACCGCCAGTACAACACTGTAGCCCCCCAGGTGAAAAACGCGATCGCCAAGGGACTTCGGGTAAGAAAAGCCTTCGCAAAAAATTTCAAGTTACCTTCAAAAACTTAAAAAAATTGAATTTCTAGGTTATGCTCTACTACGGCGACGTCGACATGGCTTGCAACTTCTTCATGGGCCAGAAATTCTCGGCAAACCTTGGCATTACGGTAATCGGGGAATTTTCACAATATCTGCTAGTCTGCCCCGTTCTTCCCAAATGATCTCTGCTAGCCTGCCCCTTCCATTCCCAAATGATCTCTGCTAGCCTGCCCCTTCCATTCCCAAATGATCTCTGCTAGCCTGCCCCTTCCATTCCCAAATGATCTCTGCTAGCCTGCCCCTTCCATTCCCAAATGATCTCTGCTAGCCTGCCCCTCCAAGCAATATTTTACCTACCCTTTTACAGCAAGTGAATGCCAAAAAGGCCTACCACGTGAACGGACAGGTGGCCGGCTACATGACCGACTATGGACAGTTGAAATACGTAACGGTTAAGGTAGGTATTAGCCTGAAAAAGCTAATAACCATTTTTTTGAATTTGTCACCAAAAAGCAAAAAGCAAAAAGTGTTGAGCCGGTGCCGGGAATCGAACCCGGGTCTGGCGGGGCAGCAACCCACCCGTCCTGTACCACTAGACCACACCAGCCAACCGACCGGGCCCGCCAAACGCTATTTTTGGTGGATCGTGAAAATTTTCGCCAAAGTCGTAGGGGATCTATTTTTACACTTCACGCAATATTTTAGAAAATTAATAATTTTATTTTAGTAAGTTTGATAAAAATCCATCGTAAAAGGCGAAATTGTTGCTAGAAAAAAGATAAACACTTCCTTTTACGCGTTTTTGATAGTTTATTTAGTTTTTTGTATTTAAATCGTCTAATTTGAAAAACAAGCTAATAAAATATGTATAGTGTTTCGCCTAACTAGGGAGGTATCTGAACTCGGCATCGAACCTTGAGAAGTCAGATACACCATTCGACGCGCCTTGTCGAGGGGATTCCAAATATGTAATAAAATCAACCAGAGCCTATAACGATAAAAAGTTATGAACATTTTAAGTTTTGCAGCGAAAACCGCCGCGGCGATATGAGCCCCTCCCAGCGCACCCTGTTCATCGGCCCCGTGGCCTAGTGGTGTGCGCATGGGACTCCGGTCTGTGCGACCAGGGTTCGGATCCACTCATGATTTTTATTTTTTGCTTTTTGACCATTTCCTACTTTTTGCATTTCCAAACTCGGGAATAAGTGTTTCTTGACTGTGTGACCCCTAAAAGGCACCAGCGATGATGAAATAACCTCGGGCAACAAGACCAGGATTGGACGCTCTCTATATCAAAGTTGGCAAAATCATCAAAAACCGCCCTTTTAAGGCTTTGTACGAATTCGAAGAATGTAATTTGTCGAAAACGGAACAGTACATCTTGATCAGCAGAAAATTCTCTTTCGAATGGGCTATCTTACATAAGCTTTACGCAAAATTCTCGAAACGTCTTCGGCAAGCTGGCCATCCCTACCCTTACACCGCATTCCAAAAATATTTTTTTACGGAAATTTTTGGCAGCCGTATGTAATATAGCTCATTTGAAAGAGCTTTCTTTGTTGAATAAGGAGCACTAATCAGTTTAGGCTAAATTCCATTCCGCGGGATGATACAGGGTCTCAAAGATACTGTTTTTCACCATTTTGTCGACTTCGAATGCTCATAACTTTTTACGGTTATAGGCTCTGGTTGATTTTATTACATATTTGGAATCCCCTCGACAAGGCGCGTCGAATGGTGTATCTGACTTCTCGAATTTCGATGCCGAGTTCAGATACCTCCCTAGTAAAACAAAAATTTCAGGGTGCCGGCCACATGGTGCCGACCGATAAGCCGCCGGTTGCCTTCCACATCCTCGACTCCTTCCTCAACAATAAGAAATTCTAAACCAAATGCCAATTTTGGGGCTGAGATTCATGTAGATAAATGATTTCCTGGGTTTTGCAGCGTTAAAAGAAGCATAGAAATTCGCAACACAAGGCGTTGCATCGTAAAGAAAGGCGAAAAATTAGTTGTTTGATTCCTAGATACGCCTAGCAACAACAGAATTTATTTTTATCGTATTTCTAGTAGTTTCGATAATTAACCAGTGCTAAAATTGTAAAAAATCTGAGTATTTTGGACCTTCTTTCGTCATTTTTTTGCCAAAAGTAGACTTTTACAAGGGTTTAATGCTGTTCCGCTCCTTAAAAACGGCCAGGAATGCTCTAAAAATGGTTTATTTACGATTTTTTCGCTTTTGGCTTTGTAGACAACATTCCTGTAGCGTCAAAACGCATCGTTCGCGGCGCTAAAAAAACCCTTCAAAGGTTTTTATAACTATGAAAAAGTGGAAAGCTTCCAGATCGGTACCGTCAGAACGATGAAATTCCGTTGAGAGCAAGACAGTTGCGCACCGGGCGCGAGTCGAACCCGCGATGGTTCGCTCCACAGTCCGACGCGCTAGCCACTACACCACAGGGCCAAGTGGGGAGGGGAGTCAGAGACGCCCCAAACCCCAGAGGGCCTTTGCCCAGTACGGGGCACCACTAATGACGCATCTCTCTGCGCGTTCTTGGGGGCAGCACCCTCGGGGTGACAGTGCGCGTTCCATCGTTCTGGTAGTCTTTAACGTAAAAGCGATAAATTCAAAGCCAAAAACCCCTGGGAAAGTCGAAGAAATGTATCACCATGCCAATTGCGTCATGCACCCAGAAAGCGGACAGGGTGGACCGGAAACAGAGAAAGAGGAGCAACCCAGGGAAGATCGGGTCAGTTTTTGGTCATACTCGCCCATCTCCCATCTCGCTATCCCCCACCTCCTCGCCTTGCGCGACAATCATCTGGTAATCACATCATAGCCTGAATCACGCAAATACAAACTGTTTTCCCGGTCTTGAGATTGGTCTAAATCGCGATGTTATTATATTAGCTTATAGTTAATAACTTATCTATATTATCGCTAATCGCTAATTTTCCATCAGATTTCAAGCTGTCTGTCTGCCGCGTTTACTCCGGAAAACGTAATTAAGACCATTTTTATTGTATTGTTTTTTGCCTATAACGTCGCGCCTAATTATCGATTTTAACTATCACGTTTGAAAGATTTAACTAAACAGGTATATTATGATCAGTAAATATTAATAAACATTTGCCGCTTTATTCTGCTTTAAAAAAATTAATACAGGATAAAATGTTCAAAAACGAGAAACGCTACGCTCCATTCCTATGTACATGATTCCGTTCATTGAATCATCCGGAAGTCACTTTTTTCTACTTTTCCTTTTTGGAATTTCAAAAATTATTTTTTTTTCGTTAAAAAATTCCTATTGTTATAAAAATTATGCTTATTATTATAAAGATTATTCTTGTTGTTCTCTAATCAAACTCTTTTCTTTCTGATTTCACAAAGGAGGCGCTGCCAATTAAAACATGTTTTTTTTCAGGCCCTCGATGAACAATGGAAGTGCTGGAGGCGGACGGCTCCTCGACGGCAACGCACTTTTCGAGACGATCGCCTCTTCTTCGACCGGCGCCATTATTACGGCCCTGCTGATGACCCCGATGGATGTGGTCAAGATCCGACTTCAGCAACAGATCAAGCCGCTTACCACCGGGGAATGTTTCATTTACAGGTTCGTCTTTCGAAGCGAAAATTCGTAGTTTTTGCTTGTTTTTCCTTTTTTTTTGGACGTTTTGGCATTTCAAAAAGCATCAAACTTTCTCTAGATACTTTTTAGCGGGCGCAAAAAGCGTGCTTTCGGCTTATCGAGGCTTTTTTCGAGAAATTTAAGTCTAGAAACGTCTAGTAGCGTAATAGTAAGCGTTTTAATGGTGTTTTTAGTCAAATTTCACTATAATTAAAAGGGAAAACAGACATTGGCAAAAAAACGATGTTTTGGTTGAGATTTTGCTAGAAAACCGACCTTTTTGGGGCTAAAAATCGGTAATTTTTGCGTTTTTTAACCAAAATTTGTATAGTTTTACGTGTAGGAACACTCAAAAACTGTTTAGAAACACTCCCGCTTTTTATATTTGAAGGGTGGATCTTTATCTTGCCCCCCCGATAATGCAAAAGAACCAAATACGCTGTTGACGATTGATACTTCAACTTCTAGCTTTTCCAGCAACGGGCTGATGGACCATCTGTGCTCGGCGTGCGCCCAATCCGCCAAGAATATACCCTGTGAATGGTATCAGCGCCCAAACTACTTCAACGGCACCGTCGACGCATTCGTGAAGATTGCCCGCTACGAGGGCGTGCGCTCGCTGTGGAGCGGCCTGTCCCCCACGCTGGTGATGGCCATCCCGGCGACCGTCTTCTATTTTTCGACGTACGATTTGTTAAAGGTATTTTGTTGCATCAAGTTCGTTAAGGCTTAATTTTAGAAGCTCCTACAACAACGCGAGTTTTCCGGGGTGGCCGTCCCGCTGCTTGCCGGCGGTCTGTCGAGAACCATCGCCGTCACCGTCGTCTCGCCCCTTGAGCTGATCCGGACGAAAATGCAGAGCGAGAAAATGAGCGCTGTTGGTTGGTTTTTTAATGTCAGCCAAAACATCTCGCGTTTTCGGCCTATATCTTCTTCGCGAAAGTTCAAAATCTGAAATTTATCTAAAAAGCTTCAAAGGACCATTAAAAACTACAAAATTGCTTTTAAATAGAAAATAGATAAAGAAAACTAGAATTAGAAGGTTCAAAATTTGTATCAGAAAAATCTAGATTTTTTTAACAGTTTTGAATCGAAGCTTGTGAAATTTTTAAGTTTAGGAATCGTAAAAACGGGTGAGAAACATTATCTCTGCTTATATTAGCTCAACTGGATACAAAGGAAAATAGTTTATATTTTTAGAATGGTTTTTCACTTGAAAATTAGCTAATTTTTAGTAAAAACACGATTAAAATCTTTGCTATTACGTTACTGGACGTTTCTAGACTTGTGAAAACGTCTTATCACCCCCGATAATGCAAAAGAACCGATGCTTTGAAAGCTTTTGGAAGTTCCTAAATTCTAGAAGTCGGCCAGGCCATCCGGAACTCGATCGCCGCCCACGGATGGATAGGGCTTTACCTCGGCTGGGCCCCCACGTTACTCCGCGACGTTCCATTTTCCGGTATCTACACGTTTTTCTTGCCAATTTAGTTATTTTCAGCGATTTACTGGTCCGTCGTCGAGGTGGTGAGGGCCCGATTGATACGCTGGACCAACCGCACCGAGTCGCACATCGGCCTCAGCGCGCTGGCCGGCGCCACCGGCGGCACGATAGCCGCCATTTGCACGCAGCCATTTGACGTCGTGAAGACGAAGCGTCAGATTTTGCTGGGCACAGCGATAGCGACAGGTAAACCTGATCTTTTTCGGGATTTTTTCATTATCGTGGGGTAGGGGGGGCAAAATCTTTGTATCGATCTAGAAAAGCCGTGTAAATTAATAGGAAGTATTTTCATAATGTTTTTAGTAAGATAAACTATACTTTAACGAGAGAAACTATCTATAAGTTTTGAAAAAATGTTCAAAAAGTCGGAAAACGGCCATTTTTAGTCGAAAATTCGATGTTTTTTGAATTTTGCAATCAAAATTGGTTTCTAACAAAAAGTAACCCCCCCCGATAATGCGAAAGATCCTAATTTTCCCTTTTAACCCTTTTTAGGAAAAGCGGCCCCAGAGACCGGCGTGATCAGCGTGATGCGCCAAGTCATGAGCACGGGCGGCTGGCGTGCGCTTTGGGCCGGACTCGCGCCAAGAATCGCGAAGGTCTCCGCGGGTTGCGCCATCATGCTCGGCACTTACGACCATCTGAAGCTCTACTTTGCACGAAGGAAATTGCCGCTGAAATGAGATAAAAAGCAATAAGATACCTCCAATTTTCGAATGTATATTACTTGTTCCCCGATTTTTGCTTTAGCCCTGTCAATCGATCTCTTTCGTATTAGCTTTCACAATGTGCACTTGTCTTTTCGGTTCTTTTGCGTTATCGGGGGGGGGGCAATTTTTATCTACAGGTCCAGATTTGCCTAGTAAAGTATTAGTAAGTGTTTTAATGATGTTTTTAGTCCATGGATAACTATATTTCAACGAGTAAAACTATTCAGAAGCTGTCAAAAATTTGAAAAAGGAAATTTTGGTCAAAATTAGCTATTTTTGCGGCGAAAAATCGTTGGTCTTTGTATTTTGTTAATCAAAATTTGTAAAGTTTTCGCGTTTAAGAATAGTAAAGACAGTTTGAAACAATTTCTCGATTTATATTAGAAAAATTGAATTCCTATGTAGAAATTGCCCCCCCCCGATAACGCGATAGGACCGTTTTTTTCAGATCTCCATCTCCTTACCTGAACCTAGCGCTCCTTTCCGTTGTAAATTACTTTTGGCTTTAACATGGCTTTTCGTTTGTTTTCCGCTTCACACCGCTCGATCTCATTCGCATAATACGATTTTTCAGGTTGATGAAGAAGGACACGAAAAAGGAGGGCGCCCCCGTCGTCGTGCCCGCGCCAGGGAACCCGCTCAAGGATGGTCTCATCGATTTCGCCGCTGGGACTATGGGTGGGCTTTTGGCGCTTTGTGAGCGTCTTTTTGCCTAATTTTTCTGAAATTGGGCGCTTTCGCATTATTGCTGCGAAGGATGGGCCCATTTTTCTAATCTAAAAAAGGGGACGTGATTCTGAACTGTCTTTTACTATAAAAAACGTTAAAAATATATAGATTTTGGTTAAAAATACAAAATATCCATTTTCCGGCCAAAATGCCCGATTTTCGACCAAAACACTTGAAATTTTTGGTTTTGACAAAAATTTTTTGGTTTTGTTTTTTACAAGCTTGTTTGTTTTCACCCGGAAATTATCTAAAAACGTTAAAAACTTTGAAACTTTGTAACTTTGAAAAATTTACCCAAAAAATTTTTGCAAATTGGTTTATGGTTTCCCGATTTTAACCATAGTTAAATTTTACTAAGAAGACAATTACGTTATTAGGCATTTCTGCGGGTATAAGAAAAAGTTGGTCCCCCCGGTAACACGAAAGAACCACATTTTTGTAGGCGGAATTGCAAACGTGTACGCCGGGCAGCCGCTCGACACAGTCAAGGTGAAGATCCAGACGTTCCCCCACCTCTACGCCAATTGGGTCGTCTGCCTGAAGGAGACGTGGGGCGTCAGCGGACTGCGCGGCCTTTACGCAGGTATCTACCGGCTAATTTCTCGTATATCAAATTGCAGGAACGGTCCCCGCCCTAGCGGCAAATATCGCCGAAAATGCCGTACTCTTTGCTGCTTATGGATATTGCCAAAAGGTATTTTCGATGTGGTTCCTAGAAAAAAATCTGTAATTTAGGCGATCGGCTCGCTGTTCGGCCACCCGGACCCGAAAGCCATGTCACCACTCGAAAACGCGGCATCCGGCTCGTTTGCCGCCTGCTTTGCGGCCACGGTGCTCTGCCCGACCGAGTTGGTCAAGTGCAAACTACAGGTCTGCTTGTTCACTCAAGACTGAACGTTTTCTAGGCGGCCCGCGAGCTCAACCCGACCAAGAAGTTCACCCCCTACTCGGTGTGCCGGCAAATATTGAAGCGCGAGGGCCCGCGCGGCTTCTTCACCGGGATGACGCCGACGTTGGCGCGAGAGGTCAGGGATTTTGCTGTTTTTGACGATTAGATTTTAGGTGCCCGGCTACTTTTTCTTCTTTGGCGTCTACGAGACGTGCCGATACATGCTGACGCCAGTCGGGAAGACGAAGGACGAGATCGGGCTGTTCAGGACGGCCGTTTCCGGTGCGGATTTTTGCTTTCCCCTTGTTTCTGTTGCCGAGCGCTTTGTTGTGCATTTGTTGTAGTTTGTGTTTTTTAGGGCGTTAGTAATGTCGTATTTTTTAGGCTCGTTCGGCGGAATGGCACTGTGGGCCTCGATCTTCCCGGCCGACGTCGTCAAGTCGCGAATGCAGGTCGGCGTACGCGGCGGCTTCAAGCACGTCCTCAAGCAGATACTCAAAGAACAAGGTAAACGCAATCGCCATTGATTTACAGGTTATGGAGTGTTAGCAAAGGGGGGGGGGGGGGGGGGAGCCACCTTTGGTTTTTCCACCTCTTCCATATTTATAGTGTTTTTAGTAGTTTTTGATTCCTAGAAAGTTATAAAAATATTTTTCTATGGAAAAATGGAAAATATTGACCTTTTTTGGTCATTTTTCACCAAGTCAAAACCTTTGGCAAATTTTTCTTATTTTGTATTGTTTTAGATCGATGTAAAAGGCTATAAAAATGGTTTATATTTTGTTATAGGGCCGTAGAGAATTTTGTTCCCCCACTAAAAATCTCCCCCCCCCCCCGCTAATAGTCCAGAACCGATTTACACCCCAAATTTTAGGGATCCGCGGGCTGTACACTGGCCTTCTGCCCACCCTCATCCGGTCGGCGCTCGCTTCCGGCTGCCTGTTCGTCTGCTACGAGGAGACGTCGCGCGTTCTCCAGGCCCTCTGCAAATAATCGATTGCCAAATTTGTCCAGAGATTTTATCGTTCGTTCGTTTCGCTAGTTTTTGCTTCTAATTTCTCGCGTCGTCGTTGTATTTTGTATCACAAAATTTGTAACGTTCCCCCAGCCCCCGCAGCTAATTCCTCTTGATCTCACCCATCTATCTCTTGCCGGTTGTTCGTACTTTTGCTGTTCACTTTTTGGCACAAGCATGCATTGCGAAATACAGAGTTTATGGACTTGTTTCAGCTGCCGATTTCACTGGTTGGTACTGTGGCATTTTCGGGGGGTTTTCGCCGAGGTGCCGTTTTTCGTGCAGGAAAATGCTGTTGCGCATTTTCTGCTTTTCCTAAGCATTAACGTTAAAATTTAGCGATTTTCAGTTGTTTTGGTGCTCTTAAAATCGATGAATTTTACTACAATAATTCCTAAAATGGTTTTTCCGGTGTCGTGGGGGAGCCAATTTTTTTCCGCTTTTCCCTACCTTTTCATCTGAAACAGTGCTTTTGACGCTGTTTTTAGTAGTTTTTTGGTTGTTAGAAAGTTCTGAAACATTTAAAAAACTTTTAAAATGCCAAAATTTTGATCTTTTGGTGATTTTTTCAAAGTTCTATCAAAAAGTGAAAAAGTTTTAATAATTTTTATCAATTTTAGGTATCGAAAAACTACGTAAAATGGTATCAAATAGTTGATACTTCGTTCTAGGGCCATACGGGATTACTGGTGGGTAATTGGTTCCCCCGCCCCCCGCTAACAGCCCAGTACCCGCGAAAGTACGTGATGAATCCTTGAAATTTCCCCAATGTTTATAGCCCGACGAACTGTTGCATATTTTGCAACAGAACTCCCCCGCGAATCCGCCGACGCTAATCGCCCGAGCGTTGTGCATTTTGCAGCCAAGGTGCGAACGATTAGGCCGTCGATAGGGCAATTTCAGCAGCGGCACGTCGAGCGTAAATACGCGCACACGTGACGACAATTATCATATTCCGCGTAGAAATCTACCAGCAAACATCAAAAAGTGGTTTTTGATGCGCGGGCCGTACCAGGGTTCGTGGCCAGTTAGCAAAGAAGTTTAGGAAATTCAGCGACTTGTAAGCCTCAGGAAATAGTGCGATGAAAGAGATGGATTTTCAGGCAAGCTAGCATGGTTTCTTTGCGGACTAGCGGTTGTAAGAACCCTCAATGCTAGCATGACTTTTGCTAGTTTCGGCTCTTCCCTCTTAAAGGGATGCCGACGGCATAATAAATCGGTTACGCGCTGGAAAGAAAATGTCTCTGCGTCTCTCCCCTGGGCGCGTTCTCTGCCCTGTTGGCTACTTGCCAATTTGTTGATGGGGGGGGATCGACACATGCCGTCGGCAGCCCTTTAACGGGGGTGGCAATTTTCCCCCAGTAATTCCGTACGCACAAGCTCATTATAAAAAACATACAAATTCGAAAATTTTTGACTTTCTGGTCAAAAATGTTTTGAAAAAGGATAAAAAGGACAAAAATTAAGGTTTGAAGATAAAAAATACTTTGTGCCACTCTATCAATCAAGATTTACTAAAACAAAAAGTTTAACAAGTAATATAAAATACAAAAATATGGATTTTCGCTCAAAAAATGACCGATTTTCGACCAAAATTTCAGCTAAAAATGACGTTCTGGTTGTTTTTCATTGTTTTTAGGACTTGAAATACCATTAATTTTTCTAAAAAGCTATTAAAATACTTACGATTGCATTCAGGGACGTAGCGTAAGGTGGGCCCCCTGGGCCCGGGGCCCCCCCCGAAATCGGCCGGGGCCCGAAAATTTCATAAGGGGGGACCCTTATGATTTTTATTTTCTCAAAAATTTTGCTGCCTGCGGCGCTATTTTTTCACGTTTTTACTGTTATTTGTAGAGCTATATAGCCTTTTTCCAAAATTTTTCGCCTGCGGCGCTGTTTTCTCGTTAATCTTTTGAGTGTTGCGAAAAAATTTTTTCGGGGCCCTCCCCGAAATTCTTTTCTGGCTACGCCCCTGATTGCATTGCTAGGGATTTTTGGACTTCTGGACCAAAATTGGGCTGCCCCTTGCCCACTATTGCGACAAATTTTGTTTGTAATTTTCTCCTAACCCCCACTACTAATATATGTATCAGCCTGTCATTTCCACGGCCTAGACGGCTTTTTTTGCGCGACGCTCAAATCGGCCATTTCTCCGAATCGCTTATCAGGTCGGCTTCGAGATCACTTGGCGCGTCGCAGGAACTTCGGGCCAAATTTCCTTTGTTCCGCAGAGTAATCAGCTTTCCACGAATATTCCGGAAAAGGCCGGGTGGCGATAGTATCATCTTGTAGTCGTTGCTTTTCTGGGGCGGCTGGAATGGTTCCAGCGCTGTAAAATGGGGTAAAATGTGCGGATTTTTACGTGGTTGTAGGGTACGTGACGACGGGAACACCAAAAATTAGGTAGTAAATCGTAAAAAAATGTTTATAAGTCGAAATTCGCCATGTCGAACTGTCGAAATTTCGTATTTTTAAATTTTCTTAATGGGGGAATTTCATAACGTCGAAACTTTTTAACGGTGAAATTTCTGAATTTCAGCATTTCTTAATGTCGGCATTCAAAAACCGGAAAATCGAAATTTAGCCATTTTTCATATTATCAAATTTTCTTGATGTCGAAATTTACAATTTCCAAATTTTATAACGTCGAAATTTCTGCTTATCGGGCAAAAGGAGCAAATTTTTTAAGGCTCAGTTTGTCAAACAGATGCATGTTTCAGATGTTTTTACTATTCCTGAAAGCACAAAAAATGTCGAAATTAGGATGAAAAAAAAACAAAAAAAAATATGGATTTTCGAGCATAATTGAGAAATTTTGACGTTAAGCAATTTGACATGCTGATAGCAAACTTTAGCGTTCGTTCTGTATCAGAAATTTACCTGAAGCTAAAGCAATTTTTCTGTCCTTACTCAGGAATTTGAGGAATTTTCAGCCTCTTGTGCCGTTTTTTCCGAATCACCACTATTTCCGGGCCTCCCCCACGAGACCCGAATGTCTCACAACACAAAGCATTCGCACCCGCCCACGCAACCGGCAAATATTTGTGACCTCCCGGCGAAAAGTACGCGACGTTCCGCTAGGTCCACTGTGGGGCGGAAGACCCGGGTTTTTTACGGTTCGGTTACGGTGATTTCGGAAAGACAAAATCTCTGCTGGCCTGCCCCTTCGATTCTCAAATGATCGCTGCTGCTTATCCTTAGCTACTTGCAAAAACACGCATCAAAACACTTCAGTGTTCAACCTCCAGAACCCAAACAAAACATACAAAAAAACAGGCGAATATTGCTGGGCCCAACCCCGGGTGGCCCAGTTTATTTGTCGACCGGCACACGCGTGGCGGTCAAGCTTTTCCTTTCGGGCTGTTCACTGTGAAACGCCGCGGCGCCAGTCTCGTCTCGGAAATTGGCGACCAAACTGTCCAAATTTCGACCACCGGCAGGCACTGGTGGCTCGCTAAAGTGTGGGTAAACACCGTCTGGACTAGCAGCAGAGTTATGGCTAGCAGAGATCTTTGGAGAACTGGGGTGCTACAATACCTTGAGATCGTGGCTTTGTGTTTAAAGTTACTGTTTCTCTCTCTCCCCCTCTCCCCCTCTCTCTCTCTCTCTCTCTCTCTCGGTCTCGCTCTCGCTCTCTGTCGCTCTTTCCGCGCTTCTATAGCCGCGATCCACGACTCCAAAAATCCAGAAGTATTTTCGCTTCCCAACGGTCACGTTTGAGGGCCCAGGGCGCCACGCGGTTCAACCGCTGGCTATCTTGGCGCCGGCGAGAGCGAGAGAGAGAGAGAGATAGAGAGAGAGAGAGAGAGACGGAGATAGCAACAGATATCACCCGGGTCGCCCCTGCCATTCTCACCACGCACCTCTAGCACTTGGATGTTGGAGTGGTCTCCTCGGGAGGGCCAAGTTGGCAGAGGGCCCAATTGGCCATATGCGGCTAAGTATAGAACTTTTTCCACGGGTAAAGTGAGATTTTGTATTTGCGGTTTCAGTACGTCTAGCCGGGTATCAGGCTCAGTTTAAAGGAACAAACAAGGCATTCAACACGTACAATAATGCTAAAATTGTGTCTTCTAGATCGTCTAAAAAATTCAGAAAGTCCCCAGTTAACCCCGGTTTTCCGCTTCACACCAAACAACCGGCTGTGTGGGTGGTGACGTCCACAAACAGCCCGCGCTTATCGAAACTATTTTTGAGGGGTGAACCCCCCAAAAACGGGTCGCGTGTGCCGTTGTGATTGTGTTCGCGGTCCATAAAATGTGTACCTGAAGTCATTCGCTCTCTCTCTGTCTCGCTATGTCGCTCTCTCACGCTCTCTCTCTATCTATCTATCTATCTCTCTCTCTCTCTCTCTCTCTCTCTCTCTCTCGTTCCTTCTCTCTTGCTCTCCTCTCACTCACGCTCTCTGTCTCTATCTTTCTCCTGTCTCTCTGTGTCTCTTCCATTCTATCTAGCTCTATCTCTCGCTCGGTCCATCTCTCTCTCTCTCGCTCTCTCTCTCGCCCTCGCTTTCTACAAAACCCTAACCTCTCAACTTCCGCCCAAAAACAAAGTACAGGGCCCTGCTGCAAAATTGGAAACACCAGCAACCCAGACACCCGCTTGTTTTCGCAAAACCAACAAAAAGTGCATCAGATAACGGATGGCTAGTGGGGTGACTCCAACAATTTCCGCCGTAGTGCAACAGCACCGAGAAGCGCAAAAATCGACCCTTTCCATCGGCCGGGTCGAGACGGTTACGCGATATGCCAAAAAAGCAGGGCAAATCCCATTTTGATTTTTGATTGTATTTTGACACAGACGTGGCGGTTCGATAAAATTGCTTGCGTGATATTTGGTGTGCCGCGTCCCTCACACACGGTCGTACGTATAGCACCCATTCTTTCGATCTCGGTGATTCTCATTTTCATTATTAAAAAGTCTTGAATGGTCAAATTTCCATCAGGTTTACATCCATAGCTTCAGAATTTTTAAATGCAGCCGTTTTTACGTCCAAACCGGGGAAAAGATCATGCGGAGCGGTCGCGTTGCGGTCGCATCTGGCTATTTGCCAGGAATCAACGCCGAGGGGCATGCACAAAATCTCAAAGCCCCTTTAAAGGGGCTACGAAATGCCAAAGATTGAGTGACAGCCCGAAAATCTGAACCCTGTACGTCGGAGGTCTCTGTACACCTAGGGGCGCGGGAAGCTCGCAAAATTGAAATTGCCTGTTGTCACCTCGAAATCACGTTCTCGGCTGTTTCTGGGCCAAATTTGATCATTAAAACACGAAAACTGTTTAAAATTGAATGAGGATTTCAAAACTGAGCTCAGAATGCGCGAATTGGAGTGTTTTCACAAAGAAACCGGGCAAAAACAACTTCGCGCAAAAATCGAAAGAGTGAGGGCTCTCGTCTCGCAGCGCCCGCTGGCAATTTGCCAGAAATCAAAGAGGCCTCCCAAAAGGGCTTTGATTTGGCAGTTCGGAGCTCCTTTAAATAATTTTAGGTTCAGTCAACCGGGCGCGGCAAACAATGCTGATCCCCTGATCTCAACCGGCTCTGATCTACAGCTGATCGTTGATGTTCGGATCCGATGGGGCTGCAGCTATTTTCCACGACCTTTCCCCCCCATTTCTTGCCTTCTCTTCGCATTTGATGACCCCCGTCGTCCACGCGGCGAGTGTTTATTTGGACGGTTGCGGAGAACGCGCGACGGTTTTTTTTTTGGGGACGTTCCGGTCGAAGAAACGCGATAGCAGCGCAAATTGGGCCGTAAACTGCTCGGTTGCGTCAGTTGCGACGGGGAAAATTGATGGCAGAATGCCAAACGAAGCGCGGGGTACTGTAGATTCGCTCTCTGTCTCTCTCTTGCTCGCTCTCCCTCTCTCGCTTTCCCTTTCTCTATCTCCCTCTCGCTCTCTATCTCGCTCTCTCTCTCTCTCTCTCTCTCTATTTGTCTCTCTCCCTCTATCTCTCTGTCTGTCTCTGTCTCTCTGTATCTCTCTGTCTCCCCCCTATCTCTCTCTCTTTCTGTATTTTTCAACTATATTTTTGAAAATATCTTTATTATTTAGCAAAACCCCAAGAGATAGAGGCCATTTTTTCAAAATATACCAGCACGGGGGTAGGCGGCGCAAAAACGCAATGCGTAGCGTAACGGAAAAATTCACATTCAAATGCTTGCAGCAAAAATGACAAAACTGTAACTGCAGAGAGAGAGAGAGAGAGAGAGAGAGAGAGAGTGAGAGAGAGAGTGAGCGAGAGGGAGAGACTTGCACAAAAATTGAGAGAGAGAGCGAGACTTGCACAAAAAAAAACTTACATTAGAATACCTCCAAACATTGTGACTTCATCGGGGAAAATCGGGTGGAAAAATTCGAAGATACAGTAACCCGCTGGGCGCGTAAAATGGAGACACGCAACGTGTCATTTTTGCGTAAAACCGGAGCAGGAAAGGTGTACAAAAATAGGAGCACAAAAAGGTATTAAATGCCCTCGGGCTACGCAAGGCACCTATAGACACGCTAATGAAAGCTGAGCGGAAGGGGCCTGGCTTGGCATCGTTCCAGAATTTTTGAATCATTCGTTTTTCGGATTTAAAGGGCCGGGCAAGGCATTTCTATGGAATTTGGATAAATGCGGAGTCTTTCTAGACCCTGTCGCGGCAAAAAATCTATAGCATGCCTTGCCGAACCCTTTAAGAATTTCCTTGGCTTTTGGAACTTTGCCAAAGGGGGTAGGCACTGGGAATAATATAAGCAAAGAAGAAGGTATGTACAGAAAATGACAGGCTTGGCCTGGCTTGGGCTTAGCTTAGGCTTAGTCTAGGCTTAGCTTAGGCTTAGCTTAGGCTTAGCTTAGGCTTAGCTTAGGCTTAGCTTAGGCTTAGCTTAGGCTTAGCTTAGGCTTAGCTTAGGCTTACGCTTGGCTTCGGCTTAGGCTTCCGGCGCATTAATGGTGGGTCCAGCGACGGCCCTCCTCAATTTGCATCCCGGCCAGCCCCTCGTCCAGCTCGTCCTCGTCCGTCTCCTCGGCGTCGAACGATTCCCACTTCTTCTCGATGGACAGGATCTGAAACAAATAGGTTCTCATGATTTTGCTAAAACTGGAATATGCCAAATTTGTTTGTGGAAATTTTCCCGATCTCGCTAGACGTTTTTTCTGAACGAAGCTGACCAACACGCACCTGGAAGGTGGGCATCGAGGCGGAGAGGGGCTCAGTGTTGGCCTTGTCCTTCTTCTGCGACAGTTTCCGGACCGGGACGGCGGAGCTTGGCTCCTCGATACGGCAGTGGCAGGCAGCGCAGCGGGGAGGAACCGAGCGGGAAGACGGTTCGGCGGCTAAACAGACAGTTTTAGATGGAAGGCAAAATAGCATAGATCATTTGGGAATGGACGGGGCAGGCTAGCAGAGATCATTTGGGAATGGACGGGGCAGGCTAGCAGAGATCATTTGGGAATGGACGGGGCAGGCTAGCAGAGATCATTTGAGATTTCTAGTGTGAACAAACCTTCTTGATTCCTCCTCCTAGCCAGCGAACGGCGGGCCGCGCCGTATCCGTTGTGGTTGGCCGACGCCGGGGCCGAGGAGTAAGCGGAAGTGGCGGTGGTGGCGGTAGAAGAAGTTGAGGGGCCAGAAACGCGGAGCGAATCCTAAAATTTTTTGATTAGCATGAGCTTTTCTAGCTCATTCTCCCCTCCCTTTCTCTCCTTCTCTCTCTCTCTCTCTTTCTCTCTCCTCACCTGAGTATTATAATTCTCGTCCCGATCAACCGATCCCTTCCTCGACGGCCAGATGTAGTACTTTGGCGGCACGTGCACCTCGATCACCTGAAAATGCGAGTGATTTTTTGCTTGTCGTTTAGACCCTATTTTTTCGTATTTCTTCCAGTTTCTTAAGTGATTTCTGACCAAAATCTCGCTTTCGGGTACTTTCCTAATCCCGGAAATCCCCCTAACAACCCTCAAAATTTTCATTTTTTTTGGGTCCTGCCCGCTTCCGGTGGCCCAGAAGCTGTTTGTGGGGGCCAGATGGGACCGGGGGTTCAGCTGAGTAAATTGTCCTGGGACCCGGGGCGAGAGAGTAGGAAGAGAGAGAGAGAGAGATAGAAATTAAAAAAAAACGGACAGCCAATGAGTCACGGGCAAAAACGCCCCTACACTAACAAACAGCTGGGCGGTTTTTCTCACAATTAGTGTAATGAATTGCGAAATTCGAAATGATCTTTGCTAGCCTGCCCCTTCCATTCCCAAATGATCTCTGCTAGCCTGCCCCTTCCATTCCCAAATGATCTCTGCTAGCCTGCCCCTTCCATTCCCAAATGATCTCTGCTAGCCTGCCCCTTCCATTCCCAAATGATCTCTGCTAGCCTGCCCCTTCCATTCCCAAATGATCTCTGATAGCCTGCCCCTTCCATTCCCAAATGATCTCTGCTAGCCTGCCACTAGAATTCCCAAAGAATCCCTGCTTCCGCGATTACCGAGCAACGGCTCCCGGCCGATACCACGTGTTCGGCGTAACCCCAAAAATCAAAGTATCATTTGTCAATCGTCTATCCTTTTTGAATAGAGAGAGAGAGAGAGAGAGAGAGAGAGAGTGAGAGAGAGAGAGACTGATCTCGCATCAGGGAAAAGTGATGTGTTTGCGTGGTGGGACTGGCGGCTGATGATCCCGGGAACTGAGGGAGAGATAGGTTTTTGGCAGTTCCCTGATTAATGGGGTAATCAACCGGGAATCTGGTATTGCGGTGGGACCACGCGGGATTTCCGTGAATTGCGTAAAAAAAGAAATTGACGATGAAATTGGCAATACCCCAGAATGGAAAAATTTTTCTCTAGGTCTCTAAGTTTTCTCCAAAAATTCGGCTTTTAAGAATTTCGTACATTTTCTCGATTCCAGGCCGTTCGTGCCGCCAGGGCATTAGAATGTCGCCATTTCTAGGGGTCCAAAAATAGACTAGGGGTCGGCCGCAGGGTCGCTAGTATTTCCGGGGGCCAGGGGTTAAAACGACGACCCAATTTTGTGTGGGCGCTTCGTCTCTCTCTCTCTCTCTCTCTCTCTCTCTCTCTCTCTCTCTCTCTCTCTCTCTCTCTCTCTCTCTCTCTCTCTCTCTCTCTCTCTCTCTCTCTCTCTCTCTCTCTCTCTCTCTCTCTCTCTCTCTCTCTCTCTCTCTCTCTCTCTCTCTCTCTCTCTCTCTCTCTCTCTTGCTCTAAGGCCCAAAATTCGATTCAGCTCTTTTTTCTGGGGTATCTTGGCGTGTGTTCGTATAGCGTACGCCTGGAAACTCTGAACGCCGCTGGCTGGTGGTCAAAAAAAGTGTGGAGGGGAAATATGGGTCTGGCCACCCGGCTGGCCACTAGCAGTCACAGACTATAGTGGGAGAGAGCGAGAGAGAGAGAGAGAGAGAGAGCGAGAGAGGGAGGGAGAGAGACGCATCTCTGCCATTTTCCTTACCTTAAACTGGTAGTCCCGTTTGACGGGCTTGTGCTGCTCCCACAGCGTGTTGTTGGCACGGTATACTTGCATGATTATTGCTGAAAAAAACAGATTTAAATCCATTTAAAACTTACAGTAAATCGAAATCTAGAAAACACGAAAAATTAATGATGAAAAAAGTCCAAAAATTGTTTAGAAATTCAGAAAAATATCTGCCGATTTGCCCCAAAAATTCTGGGTGGCCTAAAATTTGAATGGGTCGCGCGCGGCGGCGCGGTCAAGCAGCGCACCATGTGCACTTTCCGGTCTCGGCAGGCATGGATGGTAATGGGGGAGTTTGAAGCGCGGGTGGTCCCAAAACGGATCCCCCTGGAAAGTTGGAACGCGTAATGGTAATTTACGCGCGCCGGGGGAAAGCGAAAATGGCTGCTAGCAGAGAACGTTGAGGAATGGTCAAGCGTTAATAGAATAAACACGATAAGCTTAGGCTTAGGATTCTGCTTAAGTTTAGGCTTAAGTTTAGCTCAGGCTTAGGCTCAGGCTTAGCTTGGCTGGGGCTTAGGCTTAGGCGTGGGCCTCGCTAAGCTTAGGGTTAAGCTTATGCGATGTGCTCGAAGCAAAAGTCAGCTAGCAGAAAGCCTTTGGGAAAACAGAGGCGAACGCGGGCAAGCTAGCAGAGATTCTTCAGAAAGAATCAGAGCATTAATGAAAACATGGGGGGGGCAATAAAATTAGATGGCTAGTCGAAATTTTTTGAAGAAATTTTGGGGCAACAATGCGAGAGAGAGAGAGAAACAGAGAGAGATAACCAGAAAACTCGAGTATTTCGCGGCCAACCGGAATAATTTTCCGGTTGATGTTGCGGGGGGGGGGGCCGCACTAAAAATACTTCACTCAACGGAAAAATAGAGCGATTTGGGGGCTATTTTTGGACCCCGCCAGAACCGCGAGGGCACTGATGGGTCATTTGAATAAATAGAAAAAGCTCGAAAGGCCACACGGGCAAAATCTAAAAAAATCTGGACTCCACAAAAAATACATACTTGTGCCCAGGCCGCGTGAGCACTTCACCCAGGGGTCTTGAGTGCCGATCACTTGGGTGTCATGTGGGCAGGCTGGCAGAGATCATTTGGGAATGGAAGGGGCAGGCTGGCAGAGATCCTTTGGGAATGGTAGGGGTAGGCTAGCAGAGATCATTTGGGAATGGAAGGGGCAGGCTAGCAGAGATCATTTGGGAATGGGAGGGGCAGGCTAGCAGAGATCATTTGGGAATGGAAGGGGGCAATTCAAGCTTCTGGCAACAATTCCGAAGTGGCAAAACGAGCCGTTTCGCCTCGGAAAACCCGAAAACTGTGGGAGGATGAGGTGGGGGGAATGGGAGCGTTAAAGGCCTACTAAAGAACCTTAAGGAACTCGCCCACCACCCATCAGACCCAACCAAGAACTCTGCAAACAGAGATCACGGGTGGATCGCAACCTGAAGGGGCCCTGGCCGTATAGACAAAAAGCAAAAAGGGCGACTGGCGCCAGACGGGATCGAACCCGCCCGGCGCCAGCCACGCCCCACGGCCCACGGGCCCTGCAAAAACGGAAAAAACGGCGGATCACAGGTAAATATGACGGTCTGGCCCGGCGCCAGAGTCTGTTTTTCTTGAGGAACATGACTCAGGTTGTCATAGATTTCCAAAAATAAATTCCTAGAAGATCGCTGCTAGCCCTCCCCTTCCATTCCCAAATGATCTCTGCTAGCCTGCCCCTTCCATTCCCAAATGATCTCTGCTAGCCTGCCCCTTCCATTCCCAAATGATCTCTGCTAGCCTGCCCCTTCCATTCCCAAATGATCTCTGCTAGCCTGCCCCTTCCATTCCCAAATGATCTCTGCTAGCCTGCCCCTTCCATTCCCAAATGATCTCTGCTAGAATGACCGGCGGTCCGAAAAATCCCTGAAGATCTCGGCTAGTTTGCCCGAACAGTAAGACCACAAACTTGGAAAATGTTAAAATTTGCAAAACCGGCTGGTTAAAAGGAATAGGGAAGTAAGGAAAATCTGGAAATTTTAACCTAAAAGCACCCGGGAACCACGAGACGAACTGTAAATATTGCACAAGCGAGAGAAAAAGGTGAGAGAGAGAGAGAGAGAAAGAGATAACTGTTTCCATGTACTTTCCGTGAGTCAGACTCAACATCGGAACAAGCAAGGAAATTCGTCGGCTCGGGAAGCGAACCCTGATGTGGGCGGGGCTTGGCAGAAATGGGCGGCGCTCCGGTTGAACTCAAAAACCTGATTCAAACAGATGACTGAGTTTTTGAGCTCGGGATCAGGAGAGAGCGAGAGAGGGCGAGAGAGGAGAGAGACTTCAAAATTTTCGGGTCGAAATTAGCCGCTACAGTCTTCCTAAAAAAGACGAGACGCCGAAACTGCCCGGAGGGGCTACGGATGGCCCCTATTTACACGGAAGTTCCCCCCGGGGCCTCCCGGCCCTCTTCCCAGTCTTAAAATCCGTACATACGTGTGCCCCGGAATGGGGGGTGGAACGGAGTGAGGCGTACGGTTGAAACACGCATTAATAGGCAGATAGAGATAGAGTGTGAGAAAGTGAGAGAGAGAGGGAAAGAGACGTTTATTAAAACCTATTGCATCTTATATACATTTGATGGATCTAGAAAGATGATAAGATAAGAACCTCCCCCTTCCCCATCCATATCAATATTTCGCCCCCAATTTTCGGGCCAGCCCGATCGGAAATCCGTCGCGCACACCCCCATTTTGAGCCCGCAACGGGTTCCTCGACATTTTCCGGGTTAATGAAAAAGATTAGCATATTTCCGGATTTTGATTCATTTCCGGAAACGGAAAAGAGGAGGCCGGCTAGCAGAGATCATTTGGGAATGGAAGGGGCAGGCTAGCAGAGATCATTTGGGAATGGAAGGGGCAGGCTAGCAGAGATCATTTGGGAATGGAAGAGGCAGGCTAGCAGAGATCATTTGGGAATGGAAGGGGCAGGCTAGCAGAGATCATTTGGGAATGGAAGGGGCAGGCTAGCAGAGATCATTTGGGAATGGAAGAGGCAGGCTAGCAGAGATCATTTGGGAATGGAAGGGGCAGGCTAGCAGAGATCATTTGGGAATGGAAGGGGCAGGCTAGCAGAGATCATTTGGGAATGGAAGGGGCAGGCTAGCAGAGATCATTTGGGAATGGAAGGGGCAGGCTAGCGGAGATCATTTGGAACCGAAAATTCCTCAACTGAACAGCGCTTCCCAAGAAAAAAAATCGGGGATTTCTGATGCCTCAGTCCAGCTGGCCAGCCCCACCTAATTAGCATCAAGCCCGAAAAAATACACGAATGCTTTGATTTTTGGCTTTCAGCCTCTGGGAAAATGGGGTCCCCCGGTCGGGTGATGCTGATTTTCTGTCCCGGAGAAAATATTGGCCCCGCCGCCAGCCGGATGAATAGACCGGAAAATTAGCGTGGAATACGGACGCTGCTGGGATAGACTCTATTGTTGTCATTTTTTCGATTTCTCCCGATCTTGAAATTTTATAGAAAATCCAGAAATCCTGAAAAGGGAAAATTATGAAGCATAATTCTATCTCGCCCTATTTTTCTCTCTCGCTTTTCTCTCTCTCTCTCTCTCTCTCTCCGTCTCTCTCTCTCTCTCTCTCTCTCGCTCTCTCTCTCGCTCGCTCTCTCTCTCGGCCGGCGAGAAGCAAAAACAATGGCCGGAATAATGACTATTTTTCATCGTTCATATTTTTATTGAGATTTTGGTCTGATCCGGAGAGATAACCCGATTTCTTGAGGCGCTTCTGGAGACCGGGGCGCGACAATAGGATAATGTCGGAAATTGGAATGAAAATCTCTCTCTACCGCCCTCTCGCTATGTCTCTCTCGCTTTTTTGGCAGGTATTTTAATGGCATATTCTTGCGTTCTGGGACGTCACATTCCTATGCACGATGGAGGGAGCACGATTCAGGACGTCGCGTTCAGGGAGAAGGGGAGGTATTTGTGTAATTTTCAAAGAAATTCGTACAACGGCTAGCTAGCGAAAATCCTTCGGGAATTCAGAAGCGGCTGGCAGGAACCATTAGAGAACTGTTTTTCGAATTATTGATGGCCTCAGCGCACTTGGCACATCGCCGACAGGGTCAGACTGAAAAATTGGGCAGCTCCCCAGTTGGCGGTGTAAAACTCGACTGTTCCGGGGGGGATTCCCCCGGATGGGGCTGGTGGTGATCAACAATGGACAGTGGACCGAGAGAGAGAGAGAGAGAGACGGAATGGCCATCAGTTGGTAGGTCACAAGCTGTTTGTTTCGCCCCGCCATTCCTTCCTGGTCGTCGGTTTTTTAGCCGGACCGGCCGTGCCGACACGTGCTTTTTCAGGACCTGCGAATTCTCAAGAGATCTCTGCTAGCATGCCCCTTCCATTCCCAAATGATCTCTGCTAGCCTGCCCCTTCCATTCCCAAATAATCTCTGCTGGCCTGTCCCTTCCATTCCCAAATGATCTCTGCTAGCATGCCCCTTCCATTCCCAAATGATCTCTGCTAGCATGCCCCTTCCATTCCCAAATGATCTCTGCTAGCATGCCCCTTCCATTCCCAAATAATCTCTGCTAGCCTGTCCCTTCCATTCCCAAATGATCTCTGCTAGCCTGTCCCTTCCATTCCCAAATGATCCCTGCTAGCCTGCCCCTTCCATTCCCAAATGATCTCTGCTAGCCTGTCCCTTCCATTCCCAAATGATCTCTGCTAGCCTCCCCCTTCCATTCCTAAATAATCTCTGCTAGCATGCCCCTTCCATTCCCAAATGATCTCTGCTAGCATGCCCCTTCCATTCCTAAATAATCTCTGCTAGCCTGCCCTAGTTTTAAACACAAAGTTTTCCATATTTAATGACGTTTCCAATTTGAGAGTCTTTAAAGGGGTAATGTAGCCCTGGATGTTCCAAGAATTGCCCTGAATTTTCCCCGAAAGCCTCAATTTTGCCGAGTCACCCCTCTCACCCCAATGATTTTTAGAGACTAGCCCTTTTGCCTTCCAATAACTACGCAGCCATACAAAAAAACGAAAACCTGCGTGGACTCGAG